TGCACAGATGCAGAGGAAAGCAGCCGACGGCATACTCACAGAGATCACCCGGTAACCCCATCCCGTCAGAGCCAGAACCTGCTGGAAAAACACATCCGCCGTGCCGCTCACAGGTGGAAGGAATATGATGGGACACCTTATGTTTTTTGGCCCTGCATCGTACAGGGACCAAACCTTACTGTCGTCATCATCCACGATAATCTGTGGGAAACATTACACAGACATTACACAGACTCCAAAGGTACTGTTTAACACATGAAAGGTGAACAAAGACCATGTCCCTCCCCCACCGTCCAAACTGACTCACACCAGGGTGAGATGAGTCTGAGGGCTCTTCCAATTGTAATGAAAATCTAGGAGCACAGCCTAACCGTTTGCCATGTGTACTTTGTCACCTAGTTTCTGAATGGCAGCACTCATCTCGAGTGGTTTTTGAGAACTATTTTTTTTACACGTTATAAAAAAGTGTGCTTAGGTCACATGAGAATCACACGTTGCCGACATGTTGCAAAAAGGAGATTGCAGCCTAAGATAACTGCTGAAACAAATCAGCCTCTCATGAGCAATTCTTCAACTCCTGGTAAAGAGCTGCACAGAACAAGAAAACTGAAAAATGACTATAATAAATATTAAAAGTAGTTAATAAGTTATTCTTTAACAAGTAACCTAGCACCTGTGATGCAGATTGCTTGTTCTGTGGTACAGTTTAGCTTCTGAATTCCATGTTGTGAATAACAGCTGACAAACCACAAGCTCACCGAGGGAAGTTACAAGAAAGTATTTTTGGCTCTTAGAGTTTTACTTTCTTTGCTGAGTTTTTCATTTACAAGAACCAAACCTGAAAAGACAGGATGAGAGAGAAGAAACCTACCCTTTTAAGTGGAACTGTGCTTCTGAACCAGTTGTAGTCAGGAGATACTCTTATCTCCTCCATGGCTTGGAAGGAGGAAGGACGTTGCTCAATATTGCCTTAATAACAACACAAAAAACACGTATCCACAAATAAACCGACTCTGGTGATGAATGTACCAAGGGAAAAAAATCTATACATTCTATGGCTGACCTGCAAAGATGTCAAGAACTGAAAGTCAGGAATAAAAAAAGGCTCTTTTGGCTTGGCATCACTAAGCTATTGACAGTTCAGATTTCACCATGTGAGGATAGACTGACAGCGTATCTGTCACTCTCACCACATGATTTGTGTGGAAAAAGGCCATCGTGACCAAAGCTTTCTCTATTTCACTTTGTCATTATAATACGGCTTGAGATATTAAATTGATTACACTGCCCCTGCTTTTAAAGCTTTAAGCACGGTGTCTGACAGATCTTTATCATGATGAAATAATATTCTGTAACGGGGGACATGAATGGTTTAGCAAGTGACCTTTTGCAGTTATTCTCTTGAAGAATTCACATCAGGTAACCCTCACCGGTCACCCAGCATATTCAACCCCAGCCTGTGTCACTATTAGAGTTGATGACAAATCACTGGAATAATTGCAATCCTTTAATTCTGATATTTTGTTACAACTGGTCTGGGGAAAAAGACATCTCGCTTTATAAAATGTTTATCTAACCATAGCCCTAACAACAACTGTAAGAACACAACTTTACATTTAGTGCGTGTGCCAGTCAAACATAGCTTTCGGGAAACAATAAAACAGGTGGTTAATAGTAATAGTTCTGGAGAATATACTTTAGATTACTATAATGTAGCCGCTGTGAACGTCTTTTTTTTACTCGGTACTTTTTCGAGCAGCTGTTTTCCTTTTTCTATGTTGATAGCAAAATTTAAAATTGAATCGTTCTGAATTTAAACGACTTTCTCATAACATATACGGGGGGGAAATAGGTGTTCACATGTGCTTAAAAGTATCTGAGAGAGGTTTTGGCAACACTCGGCAATGAATTTCAGTGATTGGGCTTGATTATGAGCTGAATGCAAGAAATCCACTTCAGTGATTCAGTTTTAAAAACATGTTTGGGTAAAAGCGCTTCCCGAGATATGGTTCATTGAGTCGTAGAACAGGACATATTACACAAACATCTAAAAACCACGCAGCTTTCACGAGCTCAAAGGAGCTTTATTCCAGTCATGTTTTTGCAGACACATACACGAATCAGATGCGCACCGTTTTGGCGTACCAGTGTGCCCTGAATAGCATTAAAAGTTACTTTCTCTTCTTAAAAGAAAAACTGCGAAAGTGGCCCAAAAACTGTGAACTTCGTACGGATAGGGTAAAACTGAGTTCTACCGTCAGCAACAATAACAGAGATCCTAACTTTCAACGTATAAATAAAAGAACACACACACCAAACGTAGGCGCGGACGTCTTTGAAAAAAGGTTAACCATCGTATCTTTCGAAAGAAAAAAACATAAAGCACAAAGAAAATTACCGTGTTTGTTTTTGGTACCATCCAGCCCCTCTCTGTCGTACACTTTCAAATCCCTGGATTCGCAGAGAGCTACTCCTCTCTTCCCAAAGTCACATGACACACACACACACACTGCAGGGCACTTCCGCGATCTGCGCACTGATTCTGCGCGGACCAGAAAGGCTTCACGTTGACCCTGACGCTCATTAAAGATATAGCGACATTTTTCACTCTTGGATAAACAGGCGGTGATGTGCAGCCCTGGTCCTGGACGAACACCGCGTCCTCCTGTTTGTTCTCCAGGCGAGGTCTTCATCGCAGGCTTGTTTGTGGATTTGAGTTTTCTATTTGGGGGCAGAACGGTACATTTATTTTCAGGTCTTGAAAGGTGGAATGGGATTTGTAATAGGGATATCTCACTCTGTACCAGTTTCTGAGTTTCAGAACTTTCCTCAAACAGATATGTTGGCTGTTCCAGCCGTTTCTTGAAAGACGCCAGGGTATTGCCTTCAACAGTATGGCTGGGTAGTCCAGATTCCCAAAACCCTGTGGGTAAAAAGGTGCCTCCTTTATTCGGTATTAAATGCACCCCCATATAGTTTCCACTTAGCTGCGCACTTGGAAGTAAGTTGCATGTTCTTTTGACACTCTGGACTGACCAAAGAAACAAGTTACTGTAAATAATTTGTTTAAAATTAAGTTTAAAACGCAAACAGAATGAAAACCAGCAGGTACAGTGTTCCCCCAGGACCAGAAATAGAAACCACTGATTTACAGCAAACTGTAGTCTGGGTACTACTACTGTGCAGCATATATATATTAAAGTAGATGAAAATATCCTAATTGCTGTCTCGCTTCACTGGGTTCAATTCTGGACCGTGGGTGCTGTTTACTTGGAGTCTGTGTGTTTTCCACCTGTTCACATGGGTTTCTTCCTGGGGCTCTGGTTTTTGGCTTCTGGCTCCGGTTAAATGGCTTTTTTGGAAACGTGTCCCTGCTGTCTGTGTGTGTCCTGCAGTGGACTGGCTTCCAGAGGGTACTCCACTTTGGGGCCGTTACTTGCCGTGATCCTCCGGATTCCCCGTGAATTGGAAATAGTGTACGTGCATTCATGTTTAAAATGTGCTAAACATGAGGAGTTTTTAGAAAAAGAGGTTTGAAAACACTTCAGTTTACATTACCAAACACTGTTTCGAAAGCACAGCATTTCACTTGACAGTTCTGCTAACATGAATTCACGTCGCCGAAACGGAAACACAAACGTCCTATGACTCTTGCAGTTTGTCTTTAGTTTAAAAAAAAACTCTAATGGTACACACACACCCCCCCACTGCACGAAACAACCATCAGCATCTTCGCACTACAGTACTAAAGTTGCACTTTTTTAACTATTTTCTCCACCCCTTTGTGACATGTGATGTAACCCAAACAGCTACGTAACACTGGCAGGTTCGTGCAGTTAGCTCCATACCTAGCTGACCTAGATTGAAGCGGTAGGGGGGTTACATCACACTGAGTGCAATACAGTGTCACTTTATAGCACGGAAAAAATATTTTTTTTCCCCGTGAAATACGTTTGCGAAGTGTACTCCGCTAGACAAACAAACAGCCTCGTCCGAGCCGGAACCTCCTTTTAAAACGCCGTGACTCGACGGATTTCTTTCCTCGGTGTGGAGCTGTAGCTTCGGGATAGTTTGTTGTCGTTGAGGCCACCTGAGAAACGGCTTTTTGACCATATTGTTGTTTGTGTTTCACACCGACTGCTCATCGTTTGCATTGTGTACATTTGCAGTCACGGGAAACGGTGCTGTCTTAACGTTTTAGACGCGGTTTTATATGTTCTTGCTATTCGTTGGTTTGTGTTTCGGTGTTGACGGGCTGTGGCCTACCAACAATTTGTCAACATCGGCACTCCTGGAACAGAACGTGCTGTTACAAGGCTGTAGTGCGGAGTTAATATACTTCTTATTTTCTGACTGGACTTTTTTCTTAAAGTAAAGGACACCAGTGAGCAGCTATGTCCTGCACGTGTTCTGCAGCCGCGAGACTGCTAATGAATTCCGCTCATAAAGGTAATTAACTCTTCTGAAACGTTTTTTTCTCCTATTTGGTTTACATATGGCTTTTTTGGAAATGGTATTGTATTATAATCCGTGTATTTGAGTAGATTGCTTTCCTGCCTTTACACACTTTGCTGCATTATAATATCTGGGAAATGCGAAATGCGTGTTAGTTATTGAGTTTTAACAATTTACATCTATAGTATTTCATGTAGAGCTTTTTGTAATACGATGTTTCTTGTTTGTACTTTCTTTCCCGACCTATTGTCAGTACCATTTTGATGTTCTTCTGCGTCGTTGTTGATAAGCATGAGAATTTACCTGCCAGAATACTGTTGCTTGATTTTTATTTTTGCTATTGGAAGAAAGCACTTGGCAACACCTTAAAACCATTGATAAAAAAACAATGAAATACACCAATTTAGTCTTTGGGCGTCTGTTAAAAATTATTGTAACTATTAAGAATATGTCTAAGCCTTACTCCTGTGAGCCGTGAGTTTGGTGTACTCGGTCAAAGCAACTCAGAAATTTGAGCGCTTCTGTGCTAATGTGCATTATCAGGCGATTCGCGTGTTTAAAATGTGTTTAAAATGTGCACTACAATATCTGCATTCCTCTTTTATAAAATTGAATATGAAATTACTTAACGTTAACCTTTAACTACACCTTTTCAAAAAAAATTCTAGTATTCTGTATTTTTTCACAGAAATGGCGACTTTCTTGACGAACCTGTGCATGAAGCTTTTTAATTATCCCCTCGGGGAAATGTTTCTGTTACAGTCTAGCACAACAGTTGCAATAAAAAAACAATCAACAAAGAACTATAAAGGCTTTCTTTGTTTTTATTTAAAATAGGTCAAGAAACAGTTCTCTTGTCATGGTGATATAGCATTGTAACTGATATTTTACCCATTCTTTCATTATGTGTTCCTGGTTCATTGTTGCTTGTGATGTAATCATTTTTTTTTTCCTGGAAGAAAAGTGCTAGGTGTGACGTCTTCTTAAGTGGAAGTCATGTGAATTTTCTAGCCTCGAGATCAACGTAGGCTTACCTGGTGGTGTGTTGGTTCAGGAATATCCTCTGACTTAAATAATAAAAACCCAGTGCATTCCTCCAACAGGATCTCACTCCGTTTGCTAATCTCTTGTGTTACAGGAATCTCCTGCTCTCGGATGCACTTATATACATTGACCAGAGCAGGGGCACAAGAAGTTCACTTGGCAAGGAGACTGCCTGTCCGGTCGTTTTCAGAGACAGCTGTGTATTTTGCATCAAAGGATAGCTCAGCTAAAGATGGTCCTGGAGATGGGGGAAAGGTAATCCTAGTTCATTTGTTCTCGTTCTGATCACAGAAGTGAACGTCAAGCTTTTTAACAAAAAAATCCCTTCGTCCATGTGGTCAAATGCTGTATTGGGTGTGTAATGTTAAATTTTTTTAGTACATCTGAAAAACACATCTTCATTTCTGATCGTTTTCTCTTAATGTTTGTTAAAAACCAGAAATCCGTTGGCGAAGGCAGTGGGAAAAGGTCCACAGGATCTGGAAATTCAGGAAAAGGAGGAAATCATCTGCACTGTCCTAAGTGTGGGGACCCATGCACTCATGTGGAAACCTTTGTCTGTAAGTGTTATTTTAGGAGTATTAGATCTGTGTAAAAAACAAAGACAAGCAGACGACACTTCTTCAGAACATTAATACTGACTGAATAAGTCAAGTTTGCCCTTCCTCAGAATTATATCTGCAATGACTTCATCACTTTGTGGTATGTTCTCATTGACTCTGAGAAGCTGGGTCTGGTTATGCCTGTATTCAGTAACTAGGTGACTGGTGAAGGCTTTTTTTAAATTTTAATATTTATGTATCTAGTGATGCAATGATACTGTTTTCATGCATTGTCGCTGGAATCCAGTAGTTTGTGGCTGAAGGAAGGAAATCTGAAACAAATATTGACTGTAGGTTTCAGAATGAGCGTACTGAGATTTACAGTTGGTAGTGGAAGCATCACTGCAGTACAGAGTGATTGCATATGAAGCTGCGTTTCCAAAAAATGAAGCTGTGTTTTCCGAGGAATGTGGTGTGCAGGTAGGCCAAAGCTTTAATTCAATCCAGCCTGAAGATGGGGGTCAAATCCATCCTGCTGTAAACTTTTTGTTTGTTAATTTTTTTTGTGTTCTAGCCTCAACCCGCTTCGTGAAATGTGAAAAATGCCACCACTTTTTTGTGGTGCTGTCAGAGACCGACTCGAAGAAGAGTTTAAACAAAGAGCCAGAATCGGCTGCGGAAGCTGTGAAGTTGGCTTTTCAGCAGAAACCCCCTCCCCCCCCAAAAAAGGTGAGGGAAAAAAAAAACTTGGAGCGAGGAGCCTTAGTTCCGAACTCGGATGTAGTTATCCAGTATTTTTTTTCCACATTTGGAAGATTATCACACGTTTTGATTTGTGCCAGTAATATTTCAACTAAAACAGTATGAAAAATCTAGCTGTATTCTTCATTTATTCTTTCTTTATACAACTTGATATCATTATTAATGTAGGAAAGCTTAATTACTCGGCCGATGTCCTTAAGGTTGTCTGCTAACTCCTCTGCTACCCTAAGTAAAGGAATACTTCAAGTACTTTTCACCCCCTTTCTCGCAAGACTTCGTGCTTTCAGGAAAGATGCAAAGATTGCGTTTGCTAAAACTGTCTTCCAGATCTACGCCTACCTCGATAAGTATGTCGTTGGCCAGTCGTATGCGAAGAAAGTGCTTTCGGTTGCTGTGTACAATCACTACAAACGAATTTACAACAATATCCCTACCAGCATGAGACCGCAGGCAGAAGTGGAGAAGCAGGCCTCTCTCACACCACGAGGTCAGTACAGTAGTGTCAGTTGCATCAATACAGTCACAGGGAGGCTGTCTTGTTTTCCTTTTTACAATCTTTTGCTTTTAATGACCTTTTTATCTTTACATTTCTGAATTTCTGTGGGGATTCTGAAGGCTGTTGCATTATTATATAAGTGTTTTTTTTTCTCTACTTTCCATATTTATCAGTCAAGTACAAAATCATTTTTTTTTTCAGCACTCGCAAGCAGAATATATTAACACCACAACCTGTGCATGTCAGATCTGTTGCATGTGTAAAATGTATGAATGGTAAATACATTTTTGTTTGCAACTTACCACAGCTTTGCAAAAATGCTCCAGTAGTACAAGTAGATGGTGTTGGTAATGAATTACAGAAAAGCTGGAACTATGCTGCGTGTGGACAATTTCAGTTGCAGCTAGGTTTATCTTTGTGATTGGGGGTGTGTGAAAACCTGTGGAGGCCAGCTGATTTAAAGAAAAGTGTCTCTTAATCCTGTTATGTGTCGGTCGGCTTAATTTTTAGAGGCTTCTGTGCAGATCCGTTGTCTGTGTAGCTATATGCGGGACTGTGATGGCACAAACACTGATCCATGTGGATGTGCTCAGTCGGAAACTGATCTGGCATGAAGAAATCAAGCAGGACTCCACTTCTGTAGTGACCCTATAGCTGCATTAGCCCAAATCCTGTGGATAAAAAGTTGCATTGCAAAACTGTAAGCATGCAGTTTAGCTTCCTGTGTATGATTTGGCATTTGTACAATAGCTTTTTAATGTATACATTTTGTACCCCCTTGTTCGTGCATTACAGCTATCCTGTTAAACTTATTTGAGGACTGTATGGAAAGGATAGCATTTACTCTCAGGTGAAAAGCTGGGACATGTACAGAACACTGTCTGTCTGTCTGTGTAAAATATCGTATATATGATGATTTTACCTGGAAAGGATCTGCTGATGTAGCCTGATAGCGCTGTCTTTGATATTGCAATTTTCATCCTCTTTCTGTAGAACTAGAAATAAGAAGACGGGAGGATGAATACAGATTTACAAGTAAGTAAACATCCCTCATGTCTTTCACCACTTAACTCTGGAGTTCTATTGTAGAGGATTAATAAATTAACATCTAAATGTTGTGGTTCACAGCTAGTGCCATTTCCCATTCCATTGGTTTCATTTTGTAATATGCTGATTTTTTTATTGTACAAATGCCAAAATCCTAGCTATCTACACAATACAGTGTATTGTTTTAGCATACGTCCATCAAAAATCAAATCTGATGTTTAAATATGACATGCAAATTAGGAATTGGTTCTAAGCTGTTTTAGGTATTTTGTTTTATTTCAGGGATCAAATAGTGCATATATTTGATCGTGTTTGCTCTTAGTCTTTTTTTTCTGAAGGAGCATTGAACTCATTTCAGCCCAGAGGTAAAGATGTTTTTGAAGAAAAATGAAGTCTCCCAGTGACCTACTTAATCACTTTTTTGCCACACAGTGATCACAAGCATTTGGCAAACATTTTGTAGGCTGTACCTGCATTCTCATTGGGAAGTGGAGACGTTATAAAAATGGCTTGAACTCGTAAACGCTTCCCGACATATTGCTGTGCAGACAACAAACTGTTCAATGAAATTGCCACATGTCCTTGTGGAAAGGAATTTGCATGCTGCAATTCTGTAAATAAGCTCTGGTAGGCATTGAATCGCCCAAAGACATAATTAACTTCTGGCTAGGAATGTTATTTCTTTCCCTCATTTGTGGATTATAAATTGGGTGTTTTCCAAGATTTTGGGATTAAAATATAGTAGCTCTATCAATTAAACTGCAGGTTTCGGTTCACTCCTCTGAATTTACTGGGAACCCCCAGTTTTTTTCACTTTCACTGTTGGACAGATAACTGGGTATAGAAAGTCACCACCTCCTTTCAAAATTTGTACCTTTTGTTGTATGACACTGAAAATAAAAACAAATTAAATTAGGCTTGTTCCATTTTTATTTACGCACAGTAACCTACATTAGCCAAGTGAAAATAAAATTCTAAAACTTTATTTGGATAAGTGAACACCCCCCTTACAATTGCATTTGTAAATTTGCTCGGGTATAACCAAGCACCTTACAGATCACACAGCTAACTAATGGGTTCCATCTGTGATCAATTGTGGTGATTTTGATTAGTTCAGAATTAAACCAGCTGTTTCTAGAGGATTCCACTGCTTGGAAGTGCATTTCAAAGCAAAGAATCCACTATGGGCGGCAAGGTGCTTTCAAAAGAACTTTGAGATAAAGTTGTAGAAAGGCACAAGTGAGGAGATGGATATTAAAAGATTTCAAAGGCTTTAAGTATCCCATGGAGCACAGTCAAGATCCACACTAAGATGTGGAAGGCGTATGGCACCACCCAGACCTTGCCTAGATCAGGCCATCCTTCCAAACTGTATATAACAAGTATATCTACTGACAAGAAATCACTTACCTCTAAAGTCACTGAAATTCTTATTTTTTGTTAAATTAGTGGCAGTACAGATAGCAGGTTGCTTCATTCAAATTGTATTCGCATTTCCTTTATCCTGTTGTACAAGTAGTGCTAGAAATGTTGTTTCTACTTCACCTGTATGGCAGCAGAAAAAGACTTTAAAGAAGCCCATCAGATCTCACTGGGAAGGAAAGTTGTCATAGAATGCCTTGTTACATTACTGTGTGAAGCAATCCCAGCAGTTGGTGTTTCAGGGTCTGGTTTTAGATTACCTGCATAGCAGTGAAAATCATTGAATCATAATTGTCAGCAAAGAGTTGTGTCAGGGAGCACATAAGAGTTTATGCAACAAACGGGAAAATATGCACCAGAGAGATGTTGACAGTATAATCATCCTGTTAAAGAATGAGAGCGCCCAAACATCAGTTGAAGAGTTTCACTCTGGGTTGAGGAAGGAAATAACATTTCAGGGAATCATTGTAAGTTTTGAGCATCCTGATGTAGTTACTGTAGAGCCAGATTTAAATACTCTGTGCAGCTAACTGGCATTTTGCTGTGTTCTTAATTTGATTTTAACTACTTGTATGTCCTTGTGTAAATGTCAGTGTTTGTTCAGATTTGTTTGCCCTGTGTATGTTTTTTTTGACAGGAATTTGATGTATAACTTCCGTATTGATGTCTTGCCTCTTTAACCTGCAGCCTTGTGTTGTTTCAGAGTTGCTGCAGATTGCTGGGATCAGTCCACATGGCAACGCCCTGGGGGCATCCATGCAGCAGCAGGTGAACCAGCAGAGCCCTCAGGAGAAGCGAGGAGTTGAGGTGCTGGATTCGAACAACGATGAGATTAAACTGGAAAAAAGCAACATCCTGCTGCTTGGCCCAACTGGATCAGGTGGGTGCAGAAGCAAATAAGTATTGGGAAAGCCTGCATGCGTTGTGTGCGTGTGTTTTTAGCACATCTCTCCTCCTTGTGTGTGCTGTCAATAGGTAAAACTCTGCTGGCTCAGACCCTCGCAAAATGCCTCGATGTCCCTTTTGCAATTTGTGACTGCACTACACTGACTCAGGCAGGATATGTGGGGGAAGACATTGAGTCTGTCATCGCCAAGCTGCTGCAGGACGCTAACTACGCTGTTGAAAAAGCACAGCAAGGTGGGTAGCAGAAAGGCACTCTTTCCTCTGGTGGGAATTGTTTCTAATGTAGAGAAATGGATCTAAAGTCTGTCAAGATAATCCTCTAAATGTTTTAAAAATTAAAATTGGATTATGAAAAAGTTCCACTTAATCAGCCGCATTAGGGAATATCATATATTGACTTATTTTTATGTGGTAACTAAATTTAGCAGTTTTTGTTCAACTGTACATCAGTATTTTTTTCACTAGTGCTATAATGCAATTGTAGCGGTTAAAGGTTCACTGCAAGCTACATTTATGAGTGCCCAAAGAGATTTCATCTGGCTTCTTGGGGCTTTCTGCTCATCTTGCAGGAATTGTCTTCTTGGATGAGGTTGACAAGATCGGCAGCGTGCCGGGAATTCACCAGCTGCGAGATGTGGGTGGGGAAGGCGTTCAGCAGGTCAGTGTTGGAAAACAAAATTGTTCTTTAGAGGCAGTGCAACAGTGACTTAGCCTTGTCTCATGCAAGGAAGTGAAACTGCTTGAAACCTTGTGATAGTAACCTTCTACAGCAGCATATATTCTTCTCGACTATCTGTATTAGCCAGGATATAGCATTTGAATAACCTACAAACATGTTGACAAACGTGCTTTTTGTACACAAGTACCACTATGTCATTGATCACATGTTGGCAGCTCTGTCCTTGACCAAATCGTGGAGAAAGCATACTAAAAGGTTTATTTACCCTTCATAAGATTTGAATATGTCTGTTATTATATGGGTGTTTAACACATCTTTTGTGACCTTGTTGATGTATTGAAAAGGAATTTGTGTACATTACATCCCAAAACAAAATCTCAAGCCCAAGAAGTAGTTTTGCCTTTGTATGACTTCCAATTGCTTTGTTTTTGGCATAGGGTCTTCTGAAGCTCCTGGAGGGCACCATTGTTAATGTTCCAGAAAAAAACTCAAGGAAACTGAGAGGAGAAACTGTGCAAGTGGATACTACCAATATCCTGTTTGTGGCTTCAGGTGCCTTCAATGGATTGGATAGGATCATCAGCAGAAGGAAAAACGAGAAGGTTGGTGTTGGTTAGTGAGTTGCAATAGCAATATAAAATAGATTATTGTGACTTTGAGAGTGCTCAGGTATTACACATATTCTGGTTATATTTAAGGCCACAATTCTCTTTTTATTCTATAAAAATGGCAATGAGATCTTGCTAAATTCTGATGTACAAACATGATGCCCTTATAAACTGATAGTGGAGCATTCAAAATAAACCTTATTTTTTAATGTGATTTTCTTTTTTGTTTCCATAAATGAAACTTTATAATGTTGGCTTGCTTCTTATGAGTAATTCATACAGATGTTCCACTCTTTGAAAATCGAGAGCTTACGGCCTGGTTTTAAGTACAAACGGGTTTATGATGCACTGTTTGAAAGTTTGTCGAAGTCCTCCTTTTCTTTTTAATTCCCTGGCAATTCCCCACTCTTGTCTGCCGCAGTACCTGGGGTTCGGCATACCGTCCAACCTGGGGAAGGGCCGCAGGGCTGCGGCGGCTGCCGACCTGGCCAACGCCAGCGGAGAAGGAGGCACCGTGCAGGAAATCGAGGAGAAGGACCGGCTGCTCCGCCTCGTGGAGGCCCGGGACCTGATCGAGTTCGGCATGATCCCGGAGTTTGTGGGGCGTCTGCCAGTGGTGGTGCCTTTGCACAGCCTGGATGAGGACACGCTGGTGCGAATTCTGACCGAGCCTCGCAATGCCGTGGTTCCCCAGTACCAGGCGCTGTTCAGCATGGACAAGGTGAGCTCTTGCTGGCCTTTAATGTCTTCTCTGCTCCTAATATCAACAGAGCATCCTGCATGTTTTAAACCTCCTGCTGAAGTTGAGTCTGTGTGCCATCACATTAATAAAAATGCAAGTTAATCCCTGGATGCTGACCGTAAGAAATTGTGCTCATATTTGGCACATGGCATGTCATCTGCTTTGTCATGTTTGATTGAAACGTGCTGTCCAATCTGTTGTACGTTATTTTTCAAATCCTTACCCCATTTACTGCTCTAGAAAAGGACAAAACTCATAATCTGCCATATTATCATAAATAATGATTTCTCCAAATCTTTTTGCAGTGTGAACTCAGTGTAACCCAGGGTGCTTTGAGGGCCATAGCCAGGCTGGCTTTGGAGAGGAAGACGGGCGCTCGTGGGCTGAGATCTATCATGGTAAGGATGTGGAAGTTAACTTACAATAGTACTTTACATGCTGATATGGTGTTCAGATGGAATGATATGTGTGTGGGTTTTTTTTTGCATTTCATTAAATGGTAACAGGAGAAACTGCTGCTGGAGCCCATGTTTGAAGTGCCAAATTCGAACATAATGGCTGTGGAACTGAGCAAAGAAGTGGTGGAAGGGAAATCTCTGCCCCGGTACATCAGGCAAGTATCCTGTCTTTCAAGGGTTTCAAAAGCTTTGTGGAATCGCAAAGTGGTTCATACTTACACACTTTGTTTTATTTTAGGGCACCAGCTAAAGACCCCTCTGAAGAGGAGTACGACTCAGGAGTGGAGGAAGAAAGCTGGCCGCGACAGGCAGATGCGGCCAACAATTAAAGTGTTGCGGTTTATTTTCAGAAACGTTTTCTCAAATAATAAAACACGGAATCTTATCCTTTATTCAAATAAGCTGTGGATCTTATGAAATCCATTATTCGGAACTGTTAAAACAGGATGTCAGTGGAGAGAGGCCTGATGTCTACATTGGAAAGTGATTATGTACAGCCAGGGTGTTTGTATAATAGTGGTTTGTACAATGAACGTTTTGCTTCACAAAAAAAAACTAAGATAGTTTTCCAGGTATATTGGAACAAAACATTGCTTTAATATTTGAACACTCTTATTTCCTGCAAAAGTATTCTTATAATACAAGGTGCGTTAATTATCTGAACTTTATAAATTTCCTAATATTGGGGTGAGGGGGCTAAGGTGTTTGTCTATATTAAGGATCCTTGCATTTTATTCTTGCTATGTTACATAAGTATTATTCTGGTTTCAAAGTATATTGGTTGAAATGGTTTGGGAACCAAACAGATGACAATGGGATCATGAATCTTAAAACAATTAGGTAGTTCTTCCATATTGCCAAGAATTAGGATAATTTAGGCTAACCTATCTTTCTCATTCGTGCATGGAATCCCACAACCAAATTCAAAATCCCTTTTTTTTAAGAAATCTTAGCTGATAAGCTGTTCAGTTGAAGCCAGGTTGCAAATATCATGCGGTTCATTTCAGTTCTATTTCAAAAGTGGAGTCTTTTGTGGTCACCAATGTTCAATGACCATTCACACATTTCTCAAACTGTATTTTTTTAATTTTTTTTTTATTTAAACCAGAACATTTTATGGGGTGAAATATTAGTCATTTTATAGTTGTTGAAAGAATTAAATTCCTATAAAAACTGCTGCAAGAAGGGATTTTTCTTGTATTTGTATCATATAAGAGGTGATTGTGTGCTGGTTAAGCTGCACATTGTGAAACGAGTAGCTTGATAAGCTCAGCGAAGTTTAAAGATCTGGGTCCTGTTCTCTCTATTGAACTGCTTGCCAGTCTTCTGGGATGTCCGTCTTGGCTTCTTTGTGAAGGATAGGACTTTCATGGACATCAGCCACTAGACCTTTATCCCTGTCCCCAGGAATGTCCTGCTGTGTTGGCTGAGTTCTGTTTGCTGATTTTAGATAAAGCTTCAAGTGGAAGAAAAACTGAAGCATATGAAGCTTTTTAGTAATGTTTAAGTTTTAAAATGCACCCTTTCTCCCTGATATTTGCAGGGTAAACTTTTGCCCAAAATTCCTTTGTAAAAAAAAAAATGATTTGTAGATGTGATTGTTTAAATATATAAATAAAAAATGTACATACACATCTGTGTATAAACTGATTCCTTTGAAATACTGCAGTAGCTTATATCAAAACTAATATTCAATATATAAAATATATTTGTCTTATTAGACTTATTATAATGTTTAAAGTGCAAGATGTTTTCTACAGTGTTGCTATGACGACGTGGTGTTTCAAACTGGAAGTCGTGTAAAGTTGAGTTTAGGGTCGATAATAGTACCATTTGCTGGTATAAACAATATTACATTTTATTTTTGAAACTATGTGCCCTGGGAAATTTAGTGTGTGTTTTTGTAGCTGAAACGGTTTGGGTTTACGTATGGGACGGCAGGTTGTGTTCTACTGACTGCAATTGTATAAGTAAAAATACGCACCAATTCATTTAGGGAAAAGCGAGCGGGCACTGCTCTTCCAAAACACGAGGTGGCGCTCTCCAATTTTTCAAACATTACATTTTGCATGTCTACATCTTGACGGAAGTCGTTGCTAACGACTTCTTTTGCGAAGGGTGTTTTGGTCGTGTGTGTAGTTTATTTAAACGTATCGCAGTGTTTGGGAAGATAAAGATTTCGGAGAGGATATGTACTTCCACATATTAATAATCATTTAGTGTTTGAGGCCAAATGGACAGACCGCCACCATTTCATCATTTTTCTGGTAGACCCCCGCAACAGTCGTTAATTAATCCAGGATTTTCGGAGGGGGCAGCTAGCTTCTCCAACCCGAGGAGTGGAAGTTTTCCCAGGGCAACCCATGCCCTGGGATACGGGCCATCTGATTTTGAAGCTTTTCAGGGCTCGGAACAAATGAACCAAGGGACACTGCAAAGCAGCGGAGTGGTTGCGGGTTTTTGGTCTGGGCAAAATGCGTTCCGGCAGTCTCAGCCCCCACCCGAGCACATTACGCCTGGAAATCAAAGATTCAGCGCAGTTCAGGCGGAATGGTCAGCCTTCCCACCTGCCCTGGATTCTGGCAGGCAAGAGCAGACATACAAATACCAGTTCTCCCAGTCCCAGGGTTACAGTGGTGCCGCACCAGACCTCGGGCCCCGGGTCAACGACTTCGACTTAGCGAGACCTCCGCCTTTACCCGGCTTGGCACCGGATCATTTTCGCAGCAGGCTTGAGGATGAGTCGAAGCGCGGTGCCGCTGGCGGGCCACACACGGAGCGGGACTACAGGCCACAGCTGGCCTTCACACAGAGGCCCGGACACCCGTGGCAGCCGAACCCAGAAACCTCTCATTTTGACAGGATCTGCGAAGACCCCCCTCTCTCTTATTCTCACGCAAGACCGCCACAAGCTCAGCACGGTTCGTCGCTGACGGATACCTCCGGTCTGAGCTGCCAGAGACCAAATGACCCCCAGAACAGACTTTCTCAAAACGCGTCGCGGCCGGACCGCAACCCGTCTGGACATTACAGCGGAACGCAGGGAGAGCAGTATCGGAGCGGACGGGATCCGGCCGTCTTTGAGAGAGCTGAGGGGGGCTACGCAAGGGGTTTCGAAGCACCGGCTGATGCCGAAAGCAGACAAAGACAGCAAGATGAGCAATGGATTGCACGGTTTTTGACAAAAAGGAGAAACGTGACGAAAAAGGACCCGGTGCGTGCAGGAAGCGGCTGTTCTGTTGGGGAGTTTAAAGAAGTTCTGTACAGCGCGGCTCGGCTCGTCTCGGATTTATCCCTGGCTTGCCGCTTGCTCAAAGAAAATGTGGAGAACGAGAGCTTCTGGTCCGAGTCGTACGCCAGAGCCCTGGAGATGAAAGCCGAGCTTCAGGAGAAATTACATCTTCTAACCGATTCAGCCCGCATCGAGAGAGTCAAGAGGAAGCTGGCGACGATCAGTAAAAAAAGAAGCAGGCAGCGGCAGAAAAGCCGAGAGCGACTGGTGGAGAAGCAGGAGGAGGAAGCAAGAGCCGCCGAGAGGGAGGCGGCCATAGACAAATGGAGAATGAAGCGCATCCAGGAGGTTGAAGAGAAAAAGAGGGTAACTACTGCTGAGCAAGAAGTCGTTTTGGGCCCTTTTAAAGCAGCAGAGCCACCACAGCTTTTGGTGGGGTTTGTTCCACATAAGATCTGTGACCAGCTGTCAAGTGGCAAGACGGGCCCTTGTTTCTGGATCTTAAAAGATCCAAGTTTCTGCTTCTGTTACTGATACTGATTTATAATAATAATAATAATAATAATAATAATAATTGCTTACACTTATATAGCGCTTTTCTGGACACTCCACTCAAAGCGCTTTACAAGTAATGGGGACTCCCCTCCACCACCACCAATGTGCAGCATCCACCTGGATGATGCGACGGCAGCCATAGTGCACCAGAACGCTCACCACACATCAGCGATCAGTGGGGAGGAGAGCAGAGTAATTAAGCCAATTTATAGAGGGGGATTGTTAGGAGGCCATGATTGATAAAGGCCGATGGGGAAATTTGGCCAGGATGCCGGGCCAAATTTATAAACCAGTACATAAACCAGTATTTATGTACTGGTGACCCTTGCCATGTCCCCCTAGGGGGTCTAGGTTACATCAGTTGCATTAAGTAATTGACATGTATTAATGCATTTCCAAAGGGTGCATGAAAGGAGCTCTGTAGGGAAGCTTTTCTATGAACTTTTAAAGGAAATTAAAGAGCAGCTTTCCTGTTATACACTTTTCTCTGTTTTAACTTTTGTATCAACCAGGTTCTGCTTAGATTGTTGCCGAAACAAGGAGCTCGAAGGAGGAATCTTTTTTTTTTATCAGTTCACTCCAAGCCTTAATATCACCGGCGATGAACATAATCAAAGTTGTACCACTAAGAGCTCTTTCCTTTGTGTTCACAACAGGAGCAGGAGCTGAAGGCGGCAGCAGACAGTGTGCTCTCCGAAGTGAGAAAGAAACAGGCAGACTGCAAGAGAATGGTGGACATTCTGCGCTCCCTGGAAAAACTGCGCAAACTGAGGAAGGAGGCGGCGGCCAGGAAAGGTGAACGCAACCCAGTCACGGCACTAGAGTGCCCCCCAGAACGGAGACTAACGCAGGGCAGTTTGTTGTGGGCAGACAGCTGGCGTGTCCAGATTATGAAGTGCATACGTGTATTCATGGACTCAGCACTTGGCATGTGTATTTATAACCTGGACAGATACATGTCGTTCCTCAAGTTCCCATTACCTCAGCACACCTCTAATCCCTTTGTGTTCTGTGGTGATATAACATTATTGTCGTGGAACAATTAGGAGGTTGCATGTAAAGTTTAAGTAATATTGAGCAGTGCTGTTGGTGGACCTATCTCCTAAAGTCACAAACCACTGCTAAAATCCGCAGATGAGTGTAGCCCAGAACAACCCTGCGTGTTTATAACATTCCGTGACTAGTCCCCAGCGCTCATCTTTCGTGCGGTTGTACTGCTGTGCAGGAATATATCCCGAGAAGGAAGCGGACGAGGTTTTCGAGGGGCACCTGGCCAGGCTGCGGGCTCTGATCAGGAAGCGCACGGCGGTGTACGGCGCGGAGGAGAAGGCCCTGAGGGTCATGCTGGAGGGGGAGCAAGAGGAGGAGCGCAAGAGGGAGCAGGAGAAGCGGCAGAAAAAGGAGAAGGAGAAGCTTCTGCAACGGAAGCGGGAGGTGGAGGCCATGCTGTTTGGAGAGTCAGGTAACTCGGCATGAACCTGGGGAAGAGAAATCCTGAGAATATTTCAGTTGCAGGTGTTTAATTCCCACACTGTGTTTGAGAAAGTAGTGTTAGTGTGTGTGTGTGTGTGGGTTAATTTTCCACCTTCCCAAAGAAATCAAACATAGAGGAATTTTGATTGCAATCCACATATTTTTAGGCTATGATTTCTTAAGGTATTCCTTGAATGAAGTTCCTGAGATTTTACTGGTTTTAGTCATAGTACTTTTCATCATTTAGGGGGGCAATTTAATTAAAAAAAATTCAGTATAATTCATTTTTTGTTATTTCCTCTTAACATTTTTGCTTAAGATGGATTTTAAGGGAAACTGGGGTGTTGGAGTGACCGGGAGTAAAGGACTTGAGTCTTGTCATTATTTTACAGCTGAGATGCATCCAGAGCATCCTGTCCAGCCATTCCGACAGTACTACTTGCAGGCAGAGCATTCTTTACATGCCCTGATACAGATAAGGTAACTGATGTCACATTTTCTTTGTGCTTTGGACTGGTCTGGGTTTTTTGTTTTTGCACTGTACTTACGCATTTCAAGAAAAACTTTCACTTTACCTTGAAAGGAGCAAATGATTTTAAGAAGTTGCATTTGTATTGCCATTCATGGCATTACTTTAACATTTGTTTTTTCATATTTATTATCAGAAATAAAATTGCTAGAATATCAGAAAATATAGAGTATTGCAAATATGAGCAAGTATAAAGTCTTCTAATTAGCATTCTTTCCAGATTCAACAGAGGGTGCAGAGCTAGGGAGAAAGGAGGGAAGATGAAAAGGAACATTCAGAAACATAAACTGAATATTATTATTGTAAAGTAAAAATAATCTGCCTCTCCCAATATCTCTCAAAGACCTCCTTCTGGAGTCTCAACTAATAGGGTAGTTTTCCCATCTCATCATTCTCTGAAACGATAACCATCCAGTTTTCTTTGGTTGGAGGATCTCATTAGAGACATTTATTCTACTACTGCCAATAATATACTTACACTTTTCTGGAAACCACTCAAAGCACTTTACAGGTAATGGGGACTCCGCTCCTCCTCCACCAATGTGTAGCATACAAAGACCTCGGGTTTACAACAGTCTTACGTCTCATCCGAAGGACGGCACCTTCTTACAGTAGTGTCCCCATTACTATACTGAGCAAATAGGACCCACACAGACCGCAGGGTGAGCACTCCCTGCTGGTCTTACTAACACCTTTTCCAACAGCAACCTTAGCTTTCCCACGTAGCCTCCCATTCAGGTACTGGCCATGCTCTCGCCTACTTAGGCCCAGTGGGTTGTCAGCTGTGATTTGCAGGGAGATATAGCTACTGGAATTATAATTTATGTATTATACTGTAGGTTTCCTGCTCACTGCCATTAATACTTTAAGCGGGTAGCTATCCCTTCCCTCATCATGTATTATTTTAAAACTTTATATAAGTTCTATTTTGAGTAAGTGCTTATTTGTTGTATTAGAGAGAATGTTGACATTTCTTTGTCATGAATTTGAAGGTGATGAAAAACGTGAATTCTGATTTTATCAAAATTCATCTGAAATGATTTCCTCTTCTTTATTGACTGATGGGAGTTTTCTTTCTGCTGTGTCTGTCCTTTGCTTTTCCCCCAGGAGGGAATGGGATCAGTATCTGGTTCCTGTAGGACATCCGGATGGCAGCTTCATCCCTCATGGTTGGGTCCTACCAGAGCCACCCTCAGATGAAGTGTGGGCCACCGCCCTGGTCAAGGCCGACTGAACCCCTGAATCACGACGTTCAGAGAGACTGGCCTGACATGTGACATTGCCTGGGATACCACGATCCTCACCATACATTCTGTACAGCTCTGAGCCTAGTCCGGTAAAGAACAGATGGACTTCCAGCCTTCTCAGTGCAAAATAGAAATGTCCCAGTCTGGTACAAAACTCAACTCTTTCTCCAGAAATGTATCAGTTCTGGATTCTGCTTTATTATGTCTTTCTGCAGTGAAATGTGTTATAGATGTGTGCCATTTGTTATTTTCTTTTAGCAGTGGGACATTTTATATATTTATTTTTGTAAATAAAAAGAGAGCCACTTGATAAACTTGTCATGTTTTATAACACCACATACTATGATTGGGAGCTTTAGTTTGATTTTGACTGTCACACAATATTGTTTGGGTATTACAGTACAAGGAGGGTACAGTCTCACTGTACGATCATTCAGAATTTACAGTACATTTTTGCAAAACAAGTGACGTTTTCTGATCTGCTTGTTTAAGTTAACGTGTTAACTTTGGTTATTACCCAGCGTTATTTCCCAAGTGGAGTCCTTCCCCTCACCATGTGTTGTTGCTGGTAAACAGACGACGCTAGATATCCTGTTATGTCAGGGGATTAATGGGTTTTCAGAGAATTAGAAGGTGTCATCGCTGATTCCAGGCACATCATCCAGTCTGAATAACCGGCTGTGTAGCACTTTCAAGCTCAAATACCTCAGAAGATTTCAACAGCAAGGACTTCTCTTAGAAAAATACAGGTGAGTTCTTCTTAAGAGCCTCATGACCGCCAACTCCTGGAGAATCATGACTTGCCGGAGAATTGTATGTGTTATTTTTGGCATGTAGTATGGGCATGGATCATCATCTAATCTCCCGAGAACCTTGGAATTTTTTAATTAAGAATGGAAAGAGACTTAATTTTGGCATGCAAAACTGATCATTATTGTCTTGCCACATCTTGCCTCCAAGATGATATTAGCTGGTGAGCATAGCTGGCAAGAGATTTGAAAGAAAGAAGAAGAAACTTGTATTTCTGAGATTGTTGCGTTCTTATTTTTTTCTGGAAGGAGTCTATTGAAGATATTTTAATTCCCAAGTGTGGTTAGATGCAATACTTTGTTTTTGTAAAAAGGTGAAGGTAGTAATTTTAATTAAACTTTTAATCTAGAGTAGAAACTGATGTGTATTATTTGTTTAGTATGTATCCATATGCTTCGGTACATTTCTCAGCATTCTTTCTGAGGAAGGAAACATTGAATTATATCTCCCCAGGTATGCTTTCTGGATAATGGCATAGTATTTTAAGCTATGTTACCGTAGTGGAGGTGATTTATTTTCTAGTAAGTGCACAAATTAAATTAAATATACCCATAATTATTTAATCATAGAACATTTGCTTCTCCTAACTTATTTTCAGATAGCCACAAATTACATCCTCAACCAGATAATTCCCAAAGCAAGGGTTTCTTTTATATTCATTAGGATTAATACATTAGTGTTCCAGCCCTACCCTTTCTGAGTACTTTCATTATTTTCTATTTTTAAGAATCTAGATGGTTCTAAAATACTCCAACATGCTACTAAACTGACTTTCAACTGTTTTGTCCAGATTCTGGACTTTAAAACACTTGTGGAAATAAGTGATATAAAATAATATCTAAGCTAAGCATTACACTAAAACAATTAAGGGTACAATCAACTGGTTTGTTTTTTTTTTGTTTCTTCTTTTGGTTGGATTAATTCAAATGCCAAAAAAAGATTTAAACTGGACAGCAAATTATAAGGCAGATGGTGCTTAAAGCACAATAGCCTAGGCTTCCAAAACGTGTATTTAAAATGCGTATCCCATGAGTGATTTAGCTGCTGGCATGTGGCCAGGGAACAGTGACAATGTGCATGAAGCCTCTTGTCCCACAGACCAGGTGCTGCAGAGATGGAAGGGTTTACTGGTGACATAAACACACAGCTGCCCAGGGCCTATCCTGTGGCTGTCAGACCATTGGAAACAGTGCTCACTGGCTGTTTTCCATATGCCTGAAGGACAGTGAGTGCCTTAGAGTGCTTTAGAGAAGTCTGGTAATCCCTAATCCATTTATTGTCTGGCTGTTCCCAGGTTGGGATTGTGTAACTAGTAAACAGAAGTAAAGAAACATGCCCAGAACCCTAGACTGGTTCGGCTTTGCTCCTTTAAGCAGCAGGGTCGAATGTCCTTCACATTCGGCACACTGACGTTTAGCACAATTCGGAGCTAGAAGGAATCTGACTGAAAAAAGAAATGAGGATTGCAGGTGTGTATTGGTTTTTCCTCAAAGACACCTGTGGTGGTCACATTGTATACCTTTCCTCCACTGCAGCTATTCTGTATTTTAATAATTAAAAAAACTAGTTAGAAAATATTGTTTAATGATGCAAAAAGAGAAAAGGGATCAGTAAATGCATAGAAGCTGTCCATATGATGCATTTGCAAAACATGCATGTTGCTTAACATATCAGTGAGAGGCCTATTTTAGCTATATTTGTCATAAAGTGTCATTTTTTGCTAAAATGTAGACACGTCCTCTTAAAATACGAGTAAGTAGGGGATGTGTTATAAGATCCTAAGTCCATAGATGAGGAGTCATTTGGGATTTGTGACCTGTAGTTTTCTGTTATCGTTTAAAATCCATTTCATTCAGAAAGAAGAATGAACTGTCTGGAGGAAGTTCCTTTTAAGATCCCAGCTGGGTCTTTGGATGAGCCACTGGAAGAGGTGCAGTTAGTTTCTGCCCCTGAACTCAACATCCCAGATGACATTCAAATCCTGCAGCAAACCCAGGTGAGCACACAGCTCCCACCCTCCAGCCACAGTGGATTAACGGATCTCTTCGTTAACCCATCCAGCTTCAGTATGATTCAGTATGATTACTTGCTTTATACATGTTAAACTTCCACAAGTGTGCACATTATGTTTTGCTGTAGCTACTGCTTAATTGGGTCAGGCCTTGCCCTGCTGTGAAACTATCCATTTTCTAACCGCTTTACCCAATACAGGGTATCGGGGAATCAGAGCTTATCCCAGCAAACAAAAGGACACACCCCAGACAGGACGCCAATGTATCGTAGGGCACATACTGTACACGCACCAGGACCAATTTTCCCAGAAGCCAATTAACATCCCAGCATGCCTTTGGGCTGTGGGAGGAAACCCATGTGAACATTGAGAGAACATATAAACTCAATGCAGATAGCTGCCCAGTTATTGAACTCGGGGTCCCTGACCTGCAAGACAGCAATGCTAACTGCTGTGTCACCATGCTGCCTACCCACAGAATCAGAATTAGAGGGCATTAAAGTCTGTAAATGTCTTATACTTCTCCCATAACTAAAATAATGATCACTTCTGCTCCTGTTTCCCTTAGACCCTTGGCTCTGCAGAATTCACAAATCAGGCTTCCTATTGCAATAACACTGCCAAGTCATTTTCATTTCGAGTTACGATTTCACCACGCAACCTCATGTACCATAATAATGATATCATGTAACGACACTGACATAGTTATTTAAAAATGTAACTCCCCTGATCTTTCACAAGTGTCTCTTAAACTCCAGCTACTTCATGCTGTAGTTGTTCCTTGAGACCAATGGCAGTAGCACAACTGTTGCCATGGAGCTTATTATGCAATTTTTGTTTTTCAAATCAGGAGTAAATGCTGAGATCAGAATGCCGCTCTTGCTTTTCCTTAAATAGCGTGCAGCTGGACATTTGACATGTGGAGCACCAACATTAGATGGCATTGTAGATCTGTTTATCCAATACTCAGAATGACCTGGAACAACACACTTTATTTGATAAGGGTTAGGTTTATTGGGACAGGCCTAAAAAAACACCATTTATCTTTTCATCACATACTCCATTACACTGTTAAACCCAGGTTATGTTTCATAGTTTAATTATAACAAGGCCTAAAAACTCCTTTTTTAGGAATATGACTATTGAAGCTTAATTTTTGTTTAAATTATCCAGTCTCCTTCGTTGGACAGCAAAATGTTTCAAATACTATAATGCAGCTAACCTTTCCAAAAACAATAAACCCAGTTTGGCAAAAAAAAAAACACAAAACCTTGGTACATATCTAAATAGAAAAGTGAGAAGCATGAAAATGTTTAAGCCATGAGAACAAGCGCAGCGCAGTGTAGAGTTTCTGTCACTGGTGTCTCTGGGAAATTCTGAATCCATCTTCTAGACAAGGAAAACAACATTCATCTGGTTTTAGTTACCTCCAAGATGGTGATCACGATTTGGGCAGAGAGTAATGACTCGGTGTAATGTAAGGAAATGCAGTTTGTTGATTGCAATCTCAGCAGGGCGGCAATGGTTTTAAGAAACGTTTGCCAAACGTGATGCACGTGATGAGATAAGAGGGGAGCTGCTCTGGCGATCATCTTTCACGAGGCGGTGGTTTATGTGATCAGCAAGGTCATCGGATGGACCTCAAGAGACAGTTTTGTTCCATCTTCTCCCGTTTCTTCTGCAGTACGACTTCGGTTTGGAGCGCTGGGTCCTGCAGGGGCTGCAGAATGACCATCTGGGCGGCCCCTGCCCTCCCTGCGAGACTCAGCCCTCCTGCCCGCCGTACTGGCTGATGCTGAGCCGCCGGAGGAGCGAGCCGGGGTCCCCCGCCCCCCGCCAGCGGAGCCACAGCCTGAGCGCCGCCGACATCAGGTGCCTGCACCCCCGGGTGAAGTTCATCATCTCGGACTCCGAGGGCGACGACGGCTACTCGGAGGACGACGAGGACTCCTCCTCGGACGGGGACCGCCCCCTGAGGCCCTCGTGCGCGACGGAGCCCCGCCGCGGCTCCTCGCTCCTGCGGCTGCAGCTCCCGGGCCTGAGGGACTTCCGCCCCGGCTCGTCTCCGCACCTCCCTAACCTGCCCTCTCCCGGCCTCGCGGCCAGGCAGAGGAAGAGCTCCTTGACCTCCTGCTCCTCCTCGTCCTCCTGTCTCGACCCCAGGCAGTCCCCGGGCCCGGGCCTGGGCCTGGACCGGCGGAGGGTGGGCAGCCCTCAGTGCCAGTGCCAGGGCCAGAGGCGGCCGAAGAGGAGGCTGCACCCGCTGGGCCAGGTCGGCCGAAACTACTCCCTCACTCCACAGCCGCCTTCCTCGCCCCCCTCCGCGCACCTCCAGCCCCGGCCGTCCACGGCGGGCCACGTGCCCACCATCAGGAGCCACAAGCCGACGCTGGCGGTAAGAGGCTGCTGCTTGCTCCTTTCCTGGCTGAGACGAATTTTCTGAATATAATTTATTCCTTTGGAGTTCTTTTTTTAAAAGCCCATTTACTAAACATGTGGAGACTCTCTGAAGAGTCTCTGTCTCTCAATGGCCAGACACTTGCCATTGAAGCAGTCCTGAACACTAGGTCTTCAATCGTGTAATTGAGGTGTTAGCAGCTCGTGGGGAACATCGGGGAGGGTCGTTCACTACTCTGTATCCAGGGGTGCCCTGCCGTTTGGAGGACATGTAATATATATTTCCCAGGCTTGGCTTACAGGTCATCTGATAACAGACGCAAGTCGCCCTCTGAAGTCTTTTGGGAAACCATACTTAACATTAGGAAATGATCATTTGTTTTGGGGGATTTGGGGGTCGTGGAAGTGGCCCTGTGGAAAGCACCGTGCACTAGTGATGCGTGGGTCAGGCTGGCTCGGGTTAAAAAAAAAAAGATTTTAGCTCGGGTCGGGTGGGTGCGGGTTCGTTTCTCACAAAACAAAAAGCCGACCTGCATCACTACTGTGCCCTGAAGAAGAGCTACACTTCCCTCTGAATGGGAGGCAAAGGAAGACGTGGATGTAAAGAGTCTACAGTCCCGAGAAGGCGTTGGTTTAACCTGCTTTTCCACCAATCTGATAGTAAATTTATACTGAGAACTGTAAAAGACTCATCGCCCTGTGAGTCTGTTTGTGGAGCAGAAACAATAGGAGGATAGGACAGAAACTGAGGAATGAAGCAGGAAATTTGTGCAGACCCGTTACAGAAAATAAGTTAAAGTGATTTAATGAGTTATTTTTAAAAAACTGCTGGATCAAAATGGCAGAGCTTACTATTTATAGTGAGCTTGACCTCACTATAAATGGGAGAGATCTTTTCTGTCAGTGTATAATGTATTTGAAACATTCTCAAGTATGAGGAAATCTGTAACTCTGCTGTCCTCTAGAATGCTAAACTGTTCTGGCAGTGGAATGTTGTTGTTCCTTGGCTATATATCCACAAACCAAGGAAGAAAATTGCTCTAATTAAAGATTTCTGATACTTTGGAGTTCAGCCGCATTTCTCAAATGCTTTTCTCTTTTTTTATACTTAGGTCTTGGAATCATGTATGTACATACTAGCAACAAAGTTCTGTGCGATAAAGCAACCTGACTGGGGTTTTTTGTATTAAGAAACTGGGGAAGTTAAGGAAATAAATGCTTTCAGAGGTCTTTTTTTTAAATGAAGTGCTGGAATAACCTGATCCCTTCACAGCTCCTAAAACCGGTAATGCTATTCATCTTGGAATAATGTTCCCCTTTGCTAATCTCATTAACATAGACAAAGTCACAGTCTTTTAACCCTGAGTTTTGTAATATGGACGCTGGCACAGACAGCACCCTTAGCGAAACATCCTTGGAATGGCTTTCCCAGAAAGCTCTTGGACAAGCAGCGGTATCGAAGCCTGTCCATCTCACAGGCTCCCGGTCCAGCCTGCCCTGGCTGCCACGCCTCTGACGCTGTGTCCTCTGTTTGCTCCGCAGTCCCTGAGCCCCTACTCCTGCCTCCCGCCCCCTCCTTCGGTGGCTCGACCCCTGAGTTCCCACAGAGCCATCCCAGACTCCTCTGCAGAGCTGCTCTCAGCGCTCAGCCCCGAGGAGCAGGAGCTGCTGGAAGCCATCACTGACCAGGGCTACTCCCTGCGCCGAGCCATCTGGGCCCTGCAGAAGACAGGCCGGCAGAGCCTGGAACAGGTCGGTTCCTGCTTTTGCGGCAAACGTTAACTCTTCTACTGCCGAGGTGCCGAGAGCAGGCGAAATAGAATGCTAAACCGGCCTCCTTTGGAAAATAAACAGTTGTATATGAAGCAGGAGAGCCCCCTGCTCCCCAGGGGCCGGAGCAGCACGCTAACATCCTGTACTGTGGGAGTGCAGTTCAGTTATTCCCAACAGGAGCCACATCTGCCAAGTCCCTCTGCCCCCCTCAGTTTTTTTGTCACGTTGAAGGAAAGTTCTATCATTCTTAATCCGTAGTTCCAGATGATTATTTACAGAGTTTATGTACCAGGCCGTTACACTGAAATCACAGGCACAGTGTTACCAAGTTGCGTAGTTAGTATCTGCCAAGGAGCGAATGTGAAAACTTACTCATATAGGCATTCATGGAAAGTTTAACATGGATTTAATGTCCCTCGCTTCCCCTAACCTATCCAAAGAAAACCCCATTGATCTTATAGGTGGTTTTAGTTACTGCTGTATTATGTCAACACACCCCTACTAAGTGAAGGTGTTTGCTAGCTTAAAAAAAACAAACTCGGGTGCCAGTTGTATACATTTTTCTATAACATGACTCGCATTATGGCACTTTGAGAGAGTACTGAAATGTCCTGAAATGCCGCCTCATACCCAGTGTCTCTGATTGGACCACGGGGTTTATCCTCATTGGACTGAGGACAAAAGCCTTTTGGCCTAAACCCAGGGCTGGCCATCTGTGAAAAGAACATAGACACCAGACTCCTCAGCTTTCCACACCCTGGAATTTATTATCTTGTTCTCAGTGTTGCACATCCCTGCGTCCGTGAGAGTGAATGAGTCATGTGGCCGATTGCGAGGCTCTTGGGAAGGTTTTCTGGAAGCACACTGAAGGACTGCTCGTTCGTGCTCGGTGTCTTGCAGCAGAATCAGGGTGGCATCACAGAGACTAGCAGAGTTGCGCAGGAGGCAGCTGGCTCCTCTAGGCATTCCCAGTTTGCCAGAACAATATTGTGCGTTTTTTCAAGCCCTTCAAAGTTGGTGTTTCACGAGACATTCTGGGTTTTTTTTGTACGAAGAAAAATGGTTTCTTTTGATTAAGATCTTTTCAAATGTGTTTTTTTTTTTCTCGAAGAGGCAACCAGCAGCCTAGAAAGCACTTCATCAAGAGCTTTGGAATGTTCAAAATGATAAAGTGCTTACAGGGGGGGAAAAATTGCATTACTTATCTTAGAACAAGATTAACAGGGGCCTGTTTTGAAATGTACTTCTTATTTATTGAGCGTAGATAATGACATGTTTTCAGCACCAGAGGGTTTGGAAAGGTACGCTGAACTTTAAAAACTCCTTCACTCAATCCCTTAAAAGTCAGTGATCCCACAGAGAGCTGGCAGATGGTACAGCAGGGATAATCAGAGGTCTTAACCTTTCAGCTTTTGATCTTGTAAATCAGGATAATGCTTTCTATCTTCTACAGAAATGTGATTGTGCACTGCTCTATTTTCTATACATGGTTTCAAATGACTTCTTTTTCTGATTAATTATTTTTGTTTATCCTCAACACTGTTTTATTTTAAGGCTATATTTTAAAGAATATTTTAAATACATCACAAAAAAATGGAAATCTTTTTTCTCTTATGGTCTTTTGTTTGGGGCCCTGCAACTCTTCTGAAACCTTTTATTAAATGTTGTATGTTCCATAGTTTTACAAAACCACTATTACTAAGGAAGGGACAAGCTGATGTTCCTTTCTCACTGGACTCCTTTGCACCTCCGTATCTTTCGATATCTGCAGGTCTTGAATTACCTGGTGGCCTGTGACCGGCTGTGCAAACATGGCTTTGAAGAAGCGCAGGTCGAGGAAGCCTTGGAGATGTTCCAGAACTGTGAGACAAAGGTGATTGTCCTCTGTGACATCATTATTTCTTTGGGCAACTGGTACTTGGTCTGGTGTCTGGGAAAAGTGGTATAGTTTATCCATCCATCCATTTTCCAGCCACATCTTCCACTTCAGGATCGTGGAGAAGCCAGAACCTATCCCAGAAAGCAGTGGGTGGAAAGCATGATACACTCTGGTTGGGGCACCAGTCCATCGAAGGGCAGACACAGACACAAACAGTACCAGGCTCGGTTTTCCCAGCTGCCTATTAACATACCAGTATGTCTTCTGGGGGACCACCCAGAGGAAACCCATGTGAACATGGGGAGAACATACAAATTCCACACAGACAGACCCCAAGGTCCGGAATTGGACCCAGGCCCAACTCTACAAGGCAGAAAGTGCTAACCATTGTGCTACTGTGCTACACTGGTTTGGCTTATTTCCAGTGGAATTCTGTGTGTATTTTTCAAAGCAGCTCCAGGCAAGAAGATTGTTAAATCAATAGGAAATAAGCAGTAATAATAACAGCTTAATGATACCTATATCTTTCTTTGTCTTCTATGGTTTAAAGAACAAGTACTGCTGTCCCAAAGTGCCTTAGCATATATTGTATGTCCTCTGTATGTCCTCACCTATTGAACCAGTGATTAGTTCATTTTTCTAACAGGGTAGTTCTCAGTGTCCCACCTAATATACCAGCACCTCTTTAATGCAAACATACATTTCGTTGTTGATTCTGTCCAAGTTACATAGTAACAAGAGAGCACCACTGGTTTAGATAATGAAAATGCACATTTTCAACAAAAAGGAGAACATTTTTGTTTTTGTCAGTGTTTAATTGTGAGCTGCATCAGTTATGATGTGAAAGTGTTTGCTGTGGCCTATTACTATCCCCTTTAGTCCTGATTTAGGGCTGAACTGGATTGATAGCAGCACGCAGGATTCTGGAAGAAGTAATAATTGTAAAAAATTCTGGCAAACAAATTGGTTGTCCTAAACTGAGGACCGTTTCTTTTTCTTGATGCAGTAGATTCCAAGCTGCTCTGTACCTACTTGGAGACAATGTTCAATACAATCACTGTACAAATGAAAAGCCTTTATCGAGCTTTTTATCATGATTCAAATAGCGCCTGAATAGTGAAGAGCGTTATTTTTTTTCTTTTTCTACCCCTGCCAGGCTGCGGAGTTCCTGCACTTATTGGCTCAGTTTAACGAGATGGGCTTCCAGCAAAACGCAATCAAGGAGGTTCTGCTAGTCCACGGGAACCATAGGGAGACGGCGCTGGAAGAGCTGATGACGCGCGTGGAGTGAGGAGGGCACACCGGTCACCTGTACATGTCTTAAACACGCTGCGCACTTAGCGTCTTTATTCACCGACATTCTTCTACTCAGGCATTTTACCGACATCTTTGTCCTTGTTTACGAAGGTGGATTCAAGTACTCAAGTCTAACAATGTTGCTGAATTTTAACCTTTTTGTTTTGCCTTTTTGCAAAGACGTCCTACCTAGTTCGTTGGCTGTTATTTGAAAATCTTGCGACTTGTGTTTGTGGCTGATAACTCCATCTTTCTGGATGTGAACCTATCTTGGAATTACAATCCACACCACTATATATGCATCTGGTGTATTTCTGGTGAATTAGAAATCATTCTTTTCCAAGCAAGAAAATATGTGGTTTGAAGTTATTTTGTTTTAATGAACCTCAGAAAAATGTTTATTAAAACAATATTTTTGTTTTTCTTTGTGATGTTTGGCTACTGGGTTCTTTAACATTTCCCATGTGATGACACACAAGCTCCGGTTTTAGTGCGCTTGCAAAAATGTTGATCCTCTGGCACACTGTACCCTTCTGTGGTTCTTGCACTGGAGAATTGTGTGAGGATGGGCTGTATTCAAACGAGAGGTGAACTGGGAACCAAACCAAGTTTTATTTAATTGTCAGAGTGACAAGGGACATCAAAAGGAGGAATGAACTTGGCATCTGTTAGAGATTCTTATCTTGCGATGATAGACTAGGTATGTATGAGGATGATAAAATTTGTGATGGCTTTTCTTTTATCAACCTTCAATTAATAAAACCCATATTAGTGTTGCAGGGGACGTCTCCAGCGTGGTTTATCCCGGAGAGAGGAATTTATTGGCAGCATTGCTACGATTGAATATCTGAGAAGTGAAGTGAAAAACCTGTACTTGATTAAAATCACATTCTTTTGCATTTTACCTGAAAGCAATTTACAGTATACAGTACAGTAACTCCTAATGGCTGAATGGAGGGGATTCTTATGGTTTCAGTAACTGCCAATTAAAATGCCTGGGCTTGGGATCAAGATGAAAACACGGCAGGACTTCATCGTGTTTTCTTCCCCTTCCAGATTACAGCGTGACCCTACACTTTGAACTTAAAGAACTACAACTACCTCCTTTGTCTTTCAAATGGTACGAACAGGAACACCAACTGCTCACTAGAACTGCGACCTGTGCAGCTCAAGACCACACATCTCCTGTTTGAAGTTTCTTTCTCATTTTAGATAATCTTGGAAGCAAAAAAGGAGTAACCTCAGCACTGACCTTTCTTTCTGTACTTTTTATCCTAATATAGTAAGGCAGATGTTTTGTACTTTTAACCCTGTGAAAAATGATCTGTGTCCAGGCCTGTGGAAATGTTTTTGGTGTTTATTTACCACGCTCCTGTATCCGACGCCCTGCCTACAGTATCAGATCTACATTTCTCTGGCATGCTGACCCTGGGGACTCTGAGGTTTAGAAGTGACCTGTTTTTATTCTCGGAACAGGAAAGACCTTTTAAAGACATATTTTTCCAAGTGTTTAGTACATTTGTTTCGGTGTCCATGGAAAACAAGCAGTGATGTTTATCAAATCACAGAAATGAGCAAGCACATAAAAAATACGTTCACAGCAGTTAGTGTGATCACAGATCTTGAGGTTTTCCAAGGAAAAAAAAGTGCTCTGAGTGTCTGAGCACTGCGAATGGAAGAACTTGTACAAACCATCAGAGTACATGGTGGACATATCCACCAGTCCAGGGGAATGGGGTCTGTTATCCTGATTTACTGTGTTTTTAAACATTAAGAAATAGTATGACAGTATTATTACTGTGGTCAGCAGGAAAGCCTAATGCCATTAAAGTGAATAGAGTTCATGAATCTTGTGATGCTTATTTTGAAAGTGCTCCAGTTTACTTTTCTGTTCTTGTGTATATAGTGAGAGGAGAAAGTATTTGCCCCCTTCCAGCATGAGCTATTTTAAATATGGAATACACAGAAAATGACTAACATACTAAGATCACATTATTTAAATTAATACTGCACCAGTGTTAAAACTGCTAAGAAATTCTATACATTTTAACTAACCTACATAACCATGCTTAAGGCAGCAGCATTGTGCAATTATGGTTCAGCACTGCTCTTGTTCAGATCCAAGTCTTGGTCGCTGTCTCCCAAGATACTGGTAAGCTTCTGGCTTGACCTTGGCAGCCTCAGTAGAAATGTCTGCATGGAGCCACTTCTTGGGAATCCTTGCATCTCTTTCTTTGGCTTCCACTTGGTCTGCTCTATCGAATAAACCAAGGTCAACATGCGGTTCACAGTGAACACGGAATCCCCCCTCACCGCCGCAGTGAAAAGGGCCCCTTTACTGTTGACATACTGCCCGGCCAGAGCCGTCCACTGTCCCGTTGTGATGTTGAAACGGTCTATCATGCATCTCAAGAAATCGTCCGAGGGTCCGTTCCGCATCACGTACAGGTTGTCCCGGTGGGCCACCATGCAGTGGCCGTAGCTCTGCTGCCTTATCAGTGTGGTGATGAGGATCCACTGCTCTGAGCTGGGATCGTACTCATAGATGTCCGTAGTGTCCATCGGCTTCCACAGGCACACGAATATCCTGCTCATGGCCTTGGCACAGGCCGCGCCAGCAGCTGGGCGCGGCAGCTGGGAGGTGAAGGACCAGGTGCCTGCTGACACCTGGTACTTCTCCACCGATGACATGATTGTTCTCTCGTGCTCCCCTCCAATGGCGTAGAGGTGATCCTCGTGACCTATCAGCGTCAGGCTGTAGCGTAGTTGCTGGGGGCTAGGAAGCCTGTTCCAGGAATCATTTTCTGCGTCGTAGCAGAAGCAAAGCTCCACCACCTCCTTATTGACACCGCGCACACCTCCGACGATGTACAGTTTGTTATCCAAGACAGCGACACCCGACATGGAGGTGCTCGCCTCCACCGGTAAATGGGTCAGCTTTTTCCATCTCCTCTCTTCTTCGTCCAGATAGCAGATTGTGCGAGACGGGTCTTGGAGAAGTTCGAGGCTGGGGGAGTGGCTGGCCACGCCGACGAACCTGCTGGGGATGAGGGACTTGATGTAGTCGACAAGCTCTTGGGGCAGACAGCCCAGGTCGTCCTGGAATTCGGAATACATGTCTCTGATGAACAGAGCTGAGCTGTGGTACAGGCCCAGCAGGCCGTAAGTGGCTGCAGCATGGTACATGACAAGACAGTTGCTAGAATTTATTATATCAACAAGATGCTTGGCAAGCTTTTCCACTTGCAAGAAAGCAGCGCATTCTATAGCCTCCACTATCTCATCGCAGTCCAGTATGGGCCGGCCACCTGCCAGAACCTCAAGTGTGATTTTGAATCCTGTAGTGCTTAGTCCTCCTAAGTAAATTTCCTCCTGCTGGCATTCTCTCATCCCTGACTCGAAAAGCGCTCGGAAATACTCACAGTTTTGTGTAAGCAAGGCCTTGTCAACAGTAAACCGACTCTGTTCCACTCTCACATGCACGCTGGCCATCAGTGCTCTTCTGCGCCTAGACTCGACGTCTCAGTTTCCCTTTCAGACAAGCCAGCAGCCGCCTGAGAGCTTCATTATACTTAACAGAGATTTAGTTTTCTTTTCCCTGTCAAGAATGGATAAATAACCCCTTTAAAAATGTACCTGTGCAGGATTAGAAAAATGAAAACCTTAATTTTCGCTCCCGGACATTTCCCAGGGATTCAAATCTGTCCAGTCCCAAGTGTGTTCGCTTACTGTGTTTTTTGTTAACAAATATAAAAATAGCCCTGGCTATAGATAGCAGTAGAGCTTGTGACAGCCGCCTAACACATGGGACCAAACAGCTTTCAGAACTAAATTGGCCAGCTGGGCCTCTGAAAGTACAGTGCTCCACTATAACACAGTGCAGATCGGCATTGTGTCAGTGTGCCTCAGTTTGTCACAGAGTTTAGTGCACATTAAGCAGCCATGAGTTCAGAATTCCCTGTTGTTTCACATCGTATGTTAGGGGAATGACCCTTTTCAGCAGCAACTTTGAAATACTCTTCCTGACCTTATTAAAAATGCTGACGTTTTTAAATCAAGCCTCAGAACATGATGCCATCAGTTCAATTCTTTCTTTTCATTTTACATTTGTACATGGTCTTATTGTATTTTTTGTTTACTGTACTTTTTTATACGTCATTTATGTAGAGTGTCTTGAGAATGATCTGGAAAAAAATGGTTGACTGGTTGATATCAGCAAATCCCTGAAGATAACCTTTCAGCCAGTCTATTTTTTCACACCCATATATATATATTATAACTAAAATTGTGATAATATGACAAATAATTAATTATTGTAGCCCCCTATATTATAAACATTCCGATAAAATTGAATGATTGTGCTGTTCTTTTAAAATAATTTTATTAAGTCCTTGTTTTCCAAGGGGTTGGGCCCCTGTTATCTAGATTTTGACTGACCTTCTCTTGCGATTAATCTGCTCTTTGATTCAAGCAAACTGTTCTTTAAACTGCTGGCATCCATTCTCTGAGCATTCCGTATTTATCCGCCTTGCACCATTCTGTTTCTCCTAAACTCTGACATTCTGATGTCCTGAAATAATACATCTTTGTTGGTACGGTACTTGTACAGTTTCAAAATACACTTCAAAGCATACCACATTGAATTCACTACTCTCATCTCTGTTTATCTTACAATATCCACACAGCTAAGCATGTAACTAAATAAGATCTGCTTTATTGTGTATTAAATCCAGATTGGTGAGGTCTTTGATTAGAGTATGGCAATTATTAATCACTGGCATATAAAATATGTGCTTTACTTAGCTGTAGTCAGTGCACAAATGTTCTCAGACAAAAAGGTACCATTCAGTCACACCCCTAAATTCCCATTCCGGGCATTTCTTACAGTATGAGTTGTACAGAAGGCAAAATCTACAGTGCATACACTGAATAGTGGACATTGTTCTCCTGGGCTCCACTACAGTTCCCTGCAAGGTGAGGTCATGTATTCAGATTAAGCTGCTTAATGAAACTCTAACAGTGACATCTCTAACTTCTTCTACCAGGGCTAGGTTTAAACCCGTGGAACAAGTCTCTTCAAGACACAGGGCATTCTTGGTTTAGCAGAGCAAAGTCTTAACCCCTGCATGTTTTGGTCAGAATAAAAACAATTTTTTAAGTGTAATGATGGCTATTTTCTACTCCTTATCTTTTCAGCACACTTTGTGCGATCGGTATCTGCATGGTTAGCGGTTTTCAGCCACGGCGTGTTTCCCGATTAAAGGCCGTGTCACATACTTGCGCACAGTTAATTGAGAATGAACTGAGCGGTTTCCTTACAAGGAATTTGGCAGTCAATCAAGTACGTAAGCAGTAACATTCTTCTCCAATTCTTCACTTTTTCATTTCTTCATTCAAAGCCAACATTTTTCATTCATCCTTGAGGAATACGGATCTGACTTCGTTGTGTTGGGAGTTGTTTGCGAATTGTTTGCGAAACAACGGGATTAACGTTATTTTTGTCTTTATTTCCAGTTTCCCAATGAATCTAAAAATAGGTCGGTTAATATGGATATTCTACAAGGAACACACGAAAATAATTCCACTCCAAAGAAAAGTGTAATCCGAGAACCAATTTAGAACATACAGTGCCCAGCTGTTTCGTGAGCAACATAACTACACACGTGAGTGTTTTCAAAACATTTTTATTGTGCCGTGCTATTACTTGAAATACATTTCCAACTTTAGATGTTGTAAAATACTACTTATTTTCTTTCAAGGTAAATGGTGGGTAGTCAAAGACGATGCCCTTGACTAAAGACCGCCACAAGTGGTGTGACCGAAAATGCTGGTACTGTAGCAAAGGGTTTAATTACATGAACCTACCTTCCTGTTTTTTTAAGACAAATGTCTTTCAAGATTAAGTGTCTTCAAGGATCGTTTTAACCATTTGACATGATGACAAAAAAAGTTACGCTAAACAACTGCGCGTCAGGAATCTGGAATCAGGAATCGATGGAAATATTTTGTCAGCTGTCCAGACGGGCCGGAGCCGGATATTTTTGCTGCTGTAACTTAGTTTGAAGAGTCAGATCTCGAGTGCTGTATCTTGTAGTGTTTCTAATCTGTTTCTCTAGCAGCGTTTTTTTTTATTTCTAGATTGAGGATGTCCTCAATGTTTGGAAAAGCGAGGACCTGCAATGTAGTTAATGTATGTGCTGTTCCAGACCGTGGGCTACAGGAGTGCAATATCGCTATTCTAGGAATAACAGGATCAGGAAAATCAGGCAAGTTATTATTACTACTATTGTTGTTGATATTTTACTTTTACAACCACGATAAGATTATATTATATAATAAATTAATAATATATTATATTGTGTAATGCTTCATTACAAAGAATCGCAGAACACTTCACACTTCGTTCACAGCTGAAGTACAGCTCCCACAGGGCGTGACGCGCGGCAGTTGTGCCACTAGCCCCACTACACATCAGCTGAAGAGAACACCGTGAAATCTTGTACACTGGAAGGTGAAATTTAGGGAGACCAGATTAAACCAAGTTCAATGTGGAATTTAGCCATGACAAAACCGCTTCTTTTTATAGCATTTTCATAGAGTATTTAATGGCCAAGTAATGAGAACTTTGGTTTGACATCCCATCCACAGCACCGCGCCTCCTGCAGCAGGGAGATTCGATTCTGTTTCCTGGGGGAAACTATCAAACTCTCCGTATGCAGGTTTTGTCGTTTGTTTTAAGCAGCAGCACCTAAAGAGCTGGGAGAAGTTGTTAAGGTGCTCCAGTTAAACCAGTGACGAGCTGGTTTAGCCAGTTCCTTTGGAGTTGGAATTTAAAATCCTCAGAGGCACCCTGCACTCCAGGGTAAGGATTAGACACCCGTGTCCACCTCCAGGGGGAGGAGTGATGGTCTGCCAATATACTTCTTACAGAAACAACCCCACTTTCATGAGTGGTCTACCATCCCAGTACCAACCAGAACCAGTCTTGTCGAGGCTGAAGAAATCAGGCTTCAAGGTGGATGAATGGATTATTATCAAGTACACCCTGTTTACAAATGCATTGCATTGACATTAGATGGAAGATTATGGGTTTTCGGACATATTGTCTTGTGATTTTTTAATTATGTCTTCTACCATTTTGTAGACCTCGCAGTTTGCAAAAAAAAAAAAAGCCATTAACGAACACGTGTAATAAAATTCTAAAGTAAGCAGTGTCACTAAGATAATTCATAGCAGGCTGTTGTTGTTTTAAAATATAGCGCGCACATTAAATGATCAAAGGCAGAGAAAGTAGTTATCTAGTGAGAATGCAAGGGTTAATTTAATGTATTTTAATAAACTTTACGCTCAGCACACGTTCTTACAGGGCTGGTGCTATATTTGGAATCTGCTCTTGAGCCAACTGCTTAAAGATACAAATCATACAAACGCTGCCTTTGAAATTTACTGAGCTGTAAGATTGTTTCTTGGATGGTTATCCACGAAAACCGGGATGGGCATGAGGCGGTGCTTGGTCAGGCAACTCGCTAGATATGCTGATAGCGAACAGGTGACTGTGAGTGAAGCTGATTTGATACACGTGTATCTCTTGGCTACTTCAAAAAAACTGGCTCAGTTATCCTTTTCATTTCTAAACTAAATCATCCGAAAATGCCGAGCTCATCCGCGCTAAAACTAAGGCGCAGATGCGCTCATGCCAAATAATAAAAATGCGAACATTTCATAGAACAGCATTAAAAGACGCCGGGTTCTCCGAAATAACGATTTATTTTTACGATCTTTATTTTATTCCAAGAATAAATAACAAGTGCAAGGGCCCCGTAATATGCTTTTAAACGTTTTGTTTAAATACCACCCACCCCAGTTTAGTAATAGACCAGGACGGTGTTTATGGAAAGAACTCATTTCTCATGACCTTTCAGAAAGTCTACACTTTCATGTGACCTTTGTCCAGAGATGTCTAAACAGGAAGCACCTCTCTCTCCCCTGCAGCTCTGACAGTGAAGTTCCTCACTAAGCGCTTCATCAGTGAATACGACCCAAATCTGGGTAAGTTTTAAAGGCTCTTGAGCGTGTATAGGATGCATGTTCTCTGTACAGACCTTTTCTGCTCATTCTCCCCTTCAGCGTTTTTGTTTGTTGAGAGAGATTTTGATCTTACGTATTTAGGCTCCAGAGTTCAATGTTTTTTATTATTTCACCCTCCAAATTTGAAAGGCTAGAGAGACTAGACGTGATTTTTTTATGTAGTATATAACATACATAATTCAGGTGCGTAGCTGCATCATCATGCTTAGGCAGCAAAGGAACAAGTAACAGGTTTATTCCATGCTGAGAAGAGAGGAAAGGAAACGACGTTTCGGCTGTGGAGCCTTCTTCAGGTGAACCACAGCTGAAACGTTGTGTTTCCTTTCTTCTCTTTTCAGCAGGGAATAAAGCTTTGCTTGTTGCTATAACACACATCGCTTTTTTGTCACTATGTTTCGGTCTCTAGTCTGACCTGTTACCTGTCTGGGGTTTGGCTGCAGTGAGAGAAGACAGGTTGGGTTATGGTGCCAAATGCCTCAACGTACTTTTAATTCCTGATCGCGTGCAGCAATGCACAAGCTTGCAATTTGGGGAATGTGTCAGGCTTGGCGTGGTTAGCAGTTAAATGCATAACAGATGCTTAAACATAGTGTACATGCTGAAAATGATAAAAAATAAATAAAAAATAGACAAGCACCACCACCCCTTCAAAAAAGCCCAAGCCTTGCATTTTGAATAATTGCTGTCATTTATATGTGACGACGCTTTACCAAGGCAAGTAGGACTGGTTCTTTATTATGAAGACAGTGGTTTTGAAGATTAGCCTGCAAGGGATTGCATCCAAGGAGTGAGTAAATACCTAATCAGTCTACAATAACAGTTGTGAGTCATTATTCAGGGGGAAAGCTGGCCAAAAAGATACCATCTTAATTTTGCTGCTGAAAATGACCATAGAAGACATTATTGTTATTCTCGTTTGTAAGAAAAGGATCATGCATTTTAAATAAGAAAAAATCTCATCTACTGTATAACTGCAGGATTGAGGAGCAGTGTGCATAAGTTAATGTAGGCTCCCCTCCATTGTGCTTACTAGGCTGTATACAGGCAATGTGCCCCCTAGGAAACTCTTGATTATTGCCAGTCATTCTCTCAATTTCTGTTTAGTCTCCCCAGTTTAGAGTTTTTCAGTTTCCACTATTCTGCAGTGCTGTAGTCGCACATTGTTGATCTTACTTGTGAGTGAGGAAGACTGCAGATCAGCCACAGCCATTTCGTTAGTCTCTGTGAGATGAAGCATGCTGTATTGGTGTAACACAGTGTGCACTGCCCGGAGGGCATTAACACTGGAATGCTGTGTTTCTATGATAGAGGATACCTACACTTCTGAAGAAATCGTGGATCAGCAATCTGTTGTTGTGAAAGTCATGGATACAGCGGATCAGGTAATCTCAGAAGAGAAGAGATGAGGGGAATGCTTCATTTCACCCTGCTCTTAGAGTTATTGTTTATTAGAGAATTCTTTTCACAAGATTTTGTTTGAATACTTGAACTCTCGGGGAAACCGATCTGTAATATAGCTCCAATGAACGAATGAAAAAAGACAACAGGAAAAACAGACATAACTGCTCAAGACATTACGTCTTCAGTGGCCTGCTGTGGATACGTGTTAACTTCTGTGTTCTTTTCTTTGGAGACTGCCTTCACTACAGCTATTGAACCACTGAGTGGCACCCATTCACATTCATGGGGGGAGGGGCAATTCATATGGAGAATGATGGAGAGTGATGGAGAAAAAATGACAGTTTCATGATCCTTATATTTAGAAGAATCGGTTGCTCAGGATTCATCACCCTGAGGACCTGACCAAGGCAGCTGTAGTGACACAGCAGTGCGGAGCTGTTCGAGCTCCAGACTCGGTGGGATGGCTAATGCTGTCCCAGATTGCTCCATTATAATACCCAACTCTGTAACTGGGCACAGTATGTCAGTTGCTTTGGGGAAAGGTGTCAATCAAACTAATTCATACATTAAAACAAAATCTCTCAAATCATTATTTTATTATGCAGTCATCCAGTGACACATGGGAAACACTGAAGAGTGTGCTGTTGACTTTTTATCGGAACTGTTGGGACGGTCATAAAAAAACCCGAGTCTCATTTTCCTGCTCTCAGCACTGCCCCCTGTGCTCTGTCTTCCAGGATGGGCCAGTGAACTGTGAGCGCTATCTGACCTGGGCTCATGTCTTCATGGTGGTGTACAGCATCGACAACCGCAGCAGCTTCGAGGGCTGCCAGCAGTACCTGGATGTGGTGACGCTGCACACCAAGGGGCTGCAGCTGGAGGTGCCCATCATTCTGCTGGGCAACAAACTGGACATGGAGAGATACAGGTGAAGGTCTGGGGCAGGTGGCAGGCTGGGCTGCTTTTTCACTGGAGTATTTAAAGCGCTGTGGATCTATGCATTGTGATATTAATATTGGTGCTGCTTAGTTTTCAGACTAGAACCAAGTGCTTGTAGTAAAAGTATGAAAGTAGTATTATACTGCCAGATGTGTATATATATATATTCATTACCCATTGTACCGATATCACTATTACCAATTGTGTTTACCATCACTGGAAAGAAAGTGCTTTGAAATACAGACATGATGCTGAGACATGTCTTGCTTTTCTTGTGTCCAGGGAGAGTGGATTGCGCACATTTGGTGAATTCCACTGCAGTATTTAAAACAGTGAAACCCTTTAAAATCTCCAATTTGGTGCTGTCTAAAGTAGAGGTCACAGACTTTAGAGCTCGACTATCTTTTGTTTCAGAAGTTGTGGAGGACTGAAGTGTTTATTTATAGTGACTCAGGCCTGCGTGTTCAGAAGAACACTGAAGAGCCTGTTGTAATTAATAACTTGAAAGGAGTGAGTTTTCATTATATGATTGTATACAATTATAAGATGTAGTATTCTGAAGCAACACTAGTCAAGTGGCTTTATTTATATAGGTTTATCACAGGAGAAAAACATGAAAACTAGTGATGCTTATGAATCCACACTGCTGATCAAAGAGCAATGATCCCAGAAAAGTGTCTTATTTATAAAAGGGCTTTCAAAAAAAGTCTTGAATTGTTGGCTAGTACAGAGGCCCCATATCAGTTAAACCTCATATAAAGTATCAGCTAATAGGAGCAAATACCTTACATAAAACAAGGAGGCAGTAACACTGAACAGCTGGGGAGGCTTGAAGAAATTACTATTTAAAGGTATACGTTTTAAACAAAGAGAGTGTTTGCCATTTAATTATCTGTTTGAGATGTATTTTGGACGTCTGGTATTTATAAGAAGGAAAAGATTATCTTCTATGTAAAGAACTAACAGACTCTTTACCCCAAATGTACCTGCTTTATCTTGGCTGATGCTGGCCTCAGCAGAGTGCTTTTTTGTGAGCAGTGGCAGCAAATACTTCAATGGTGTCTGAATTTGCAAAGAGAAAAGTTCCAAGTTTGTACAGTAAACCCTTAGTCTAAAGGACTAATGGGTGGGAGGGAGTGTCCTTCCATGTATTGCCAAATGTCCATTAAACAGCAAATGACCTTTTTTAGCCCCAAAACCCATTGTTATATGAAATATAATATATATTTCATAATATATACATATAAGGCAGTATGGTGTTGCAGTGGTTAGCATTGCTAACAGATCCGGTATGTTCTCTATGTGTTTGCATGGGCTTCCTCCCACATTCCGAAAACATACTGGCAGGTCAATATGCTTCTGGGAAAATTGGCCCTGGTGTGAGTGTGTCTGTGTCTGTGCGTCCCATCCAGGGTGTACCCTGCCTTGTGCCCTTTGCTTGCCGGGATAAACTCCACGACCCCCGAATTGGAAGAAGTGGTTAGAATATGGTTGGATATAAAATGGTATATATAGTTCAAGTAGGGAGGTGCGTCAGCATGCATAGGCTGCAATAGAACAAGTAAAGGTTTATTCCACGCTGAGAAGAGAGGAAAGGAAACGACGTTTCGGCTGTGGAGCCTTCCGTATTTCCTTTTTTTCTGTTTTCAGCATGGAATAAACCTTTTACTTGTTCCTTTGTTTATATATATCCTTTCTGAATCTTGTGACGTATTTTTCTAATAACAGCAATCATCTGTAAACAATCAGAGTGCCGTGAAGGCGAGGGTTTACTGCAGCAGTGAAGTGCTAGGTACAGTAGGTGTCCTGATCTCCAGGCTGCGCCGAGCCCTCACAGAATACTCCTTCGCTCAGGCAGGTGAGCAAGGCGGACGGCGCGTCCCTGGCCTCCAGGCACGGCGCCGTGTTTCACGAGGTGTCGGCCTGCCAGGACTTTGACGCGGTGCAGCGGGTGTTCCACGAGGCGGTGCGCGCAGCACGCCGGGAGGCGGAGAGGAGCCCACCGGTCCGCCCGCTCTACATCAGTGAGGAGCGGCCCGTGGTCAGCCTGGCCTCGGCCCCCGCCCTCGCCTCCGGCTGCAAGGAGCTGCCCTCGGTCGCCACGGCCAAGCTGGTCACCGTCAAGTCCTCGCGGGCCCAGAGCAAGCGCCGCGCGCCCACGCTCACCCTGCTCAAGGGCTTCAAGATCTTCTGACAGCAGCAGGGCCTCCGCAAGCCGGCTGGAGACCCCGGAGCCCCTTCTCTCGGAGCACCGCGCTTCTTTCGAAATGATTACAAGCAGCGCTGGGACAAACTGTCAGATCTGGGCAAGAGGGGGATAAAATGACGATCCAGGATTCAGTCAACATCCATTTCTTCGGCCACAGGTCGGCGCCCTGTCCTGTCCCGTCCCTCAGTCTTTATTCATTTATCCTTGAGGGCTTCATAACAACACATTGATCACTGGGCGTCTGTGCGGACACAGGGCACGTGCCCAGGACGGGTACAATGCTGGCAGCGACCCCTTGACAGAGCGGTAATGATCAGGATGATAAGTCGGTGTTGTCTGATGGTTGAGTTTCGGGATGAGTTGCCAGCCTCATCATGCATGATTGAATGGTATGTGAGCTAAGGCGAATGGTCAGGCACACTGTCAGGAGAAGCTTAATAACAAGGACCATTTCATTAAAGGTTACATGGGTAGTACTTGTGAGCATGGGTAAGTCTTGCCATACACATGGGTAATTGGCACCCTTTTATTGTTTCTGACAGTAGAAGGCATATCATTGGAAGAGCATTGTTTTTTCCAGTGGAACCTATTCAGAGATAGTTTGCCTAAGAAATTGCTATAAAACCAGCTTTAGTCTCCACATGGTTGACAAGTTGGACGTCTCAAGGCTCCCTCTTGTGTCTGATTATGGTAAGTGCAGGTAAAATGAGCTGTGATGGTATTGGCTAGGTTGACACCGCCTGTTCTTTTTTGGACCCACAACTGATAGATACACGGAACAGTTCTGGTGCGCAATATGAATATAAGAAGAACAGGTGTTCTAGGCTTACAGTGAACATTGGGTAAAGGTAATGGGCGAAGGATTAGGTTACATTTGCCTTTGCTTTGGTTTAAGATTCAGATTATCATGCTACTATCAAAGTAGATGTTTGGGTTAGGATTATAGATAGTGGTTAGGTGTTGGAGGATAAGGTATGGATGTGTGAGTGTACTGTAGTTTATGAAAGTCAGATATAATTTGAGGCACTCATCCGCAGCTTTTCATCGTTGTGGTCTCTCCATCTTTAGACAGAACAATCAGAAGGGTCAGTTACCTTTCCTCTGGGAGAGCAAGAAAGCTACAGAGTGCGATTGAGTTGTACTGTACCTATCCATTGCTCCCCAGGCCCAGAAGTGTCTCTCTCTGTGCCTTGACAGATAATTCATGTCATCCTTTCTCAATTCTAGCTTGTGCTGCCTCAGCTCCTGCTCATGGGTTTCGTGGTTGTCTGTGTTATTACCTCCTCACCTCGGTTGGTCAGTATTCCAAAGGCACAGCAATGCAACACTCTTCCAGTGTACTGATTCATTGTTCCACAAGCAGAGCTCCCAGGGGACATTCATGGTTACTCTATGCAGTAACTTTTATTTAGGACCTAGGGTTACTTTTATATGTCCAATGACTAAAGGCCTTTGACTTACTGATTACACAGGTGAGTAAGCAAGTGAAGTATGAAAGCAGTTTTTTTAATTATTTATGGCATCAGGTACAACACTTTCATGCACTGTATCTGTCTTATTTGTATCAATGGCGGCTTGCTTCATCCTCATTTCTTTTCCTCTATGGTTTTGGCACATTTTCGTGAGGGGCCTTTAGCTCTGGAGACCTTTGCCTCCGAAAATGTCACTATTCGAAGATGTCCTACCTTTTCTCTGATTTCAGAATGAGAAAAACAGTCCAGTTCACTTCTGAACTGCAAACCTGTATATAGAGAGAGAACATATGTATAGAAACAACAACAGGAGAAACTGCAGTTGATTTCCTCTAAAGTATGAAGTGTAGTAGTTGCTACAGATAGCTAAAAAATTGAGGATATAATATATGCGTGTAAGTAAAGGGCATCAAATGTCCTTTTTATTCTATCTTTGTACTGTATGAAAACAAATGACAGACAGAGTTATTTAACTATTTTATTTTTCAAAACATTAAATATATGAGAGTATTGAAGATCCTTATGGTCAGACATTTCTCAGACGTGATTATTGCCTGTTTCGAAGACTCCTAAGAGTGAAGAAGAGGGAAAGTGCCAGAGACCTATTATATTACAACAAGAGACTGAAGAAAGGGTTCATGTGAAAGAAAGTTGTATTAAAGTCCAGCAGTGCCTGATGGTTATAAGATGCAGCCAAAAGTAATGGTGCAGTACCCCAAACTGGCATTTGGAACACAGTGGACCTGTGTGTGTCTGATCAGTGGTGCCATAAATACACATACTGTACAGTATACTGCATTCAGAGCACCAATTTATAATGGGCTAACTCTGATTTTGTACTATTAGAAGACACCATAGCCTCCCTGCAGCTCCTAAGACCACTGTGCATAAGGCATTGCCCCCTCTACCCTCTGTCCGCTGTTCCTCACCATCAACAGGTGAAAATCCATTAAACAAAATATTGCCACAAAAGTTGCAACGTATTGTGGGTTGTTCAAAAATACATACACGGTATCTCAGACTGGCGGTTCATCTATCAGAACATAAAGGGAATGTGACCACGCTGAGGAATTTTTTTTTTCACTGACTTGACTGTGCTTGTGGCATTGCAATTCTATTTGCTCAATACAAAAAAAACAGGTACAGATTTTACTCTGATTATTGGCTGACATGAAGCTGCTTTGGTACAGTACTGCTTACTGCAGATGTAATTGACAGCTAGCAGTCCTCATGCCGGCTTCAAGACAATATCTGCAGCGTTACAGAGGAAAACCATCTTGTGTAAAAAAAGCTTGATCGCTGCCTCGTTAGGTTCTCTGCTGAAGCTTTGCGCTGTGGGGAGGCCCTCGGGCTGCTGTCCATGGCTGAAGGTGGCCTCTTACACATCTTCCTCAGGCACTTCTGCGTACAGTGCGGAGACAGTCCCATCCTTCCACGTGATAACCACATCCCCTGACTTCGGGGGCTCAGAGCCGTTGCTGCTCTGGGGGTGTTTCTGGCTGAGCTGGCTTTCCTGTGAAGCAGGGCTGAGGGGCTGTTTCAGCTCTGTCATTCTCTGTAGCTCCTCTGTTTTCCCTGTCTTGGTTGCTGCTTCGTACATAGCTGTCACCTTCCTGTTCCTGTAGGCAGAAAAAGAGAAAGGGGAACCTGAAGCCTTCCAGACCTGCTGCTCTGTGGGAGCTGTGCACCTGTTCACCGTTCCACAGATACAGTTCTCTTGCTTTTCACTTAACGCACGTGTGAGCTGCTTCATGCCATTTGGAAACACTACCTTGGGACATATTTAGTAAGATCTTTGCAAAGAATACCAAACAAACGTTAAAAAGAAACAAAAACAAAAATTAGGAAAGTCCTGGTCAGGTCTTACCGAGACTACTGCAGATGGAAAGGATGTGTTTTCAAAATGGTAACTTATTTCATAGCTCATCTTCAGCCAACATTATGAATTATAAATCTGTTTTGTTTGCTGTAATGTGATTGGCACATAATGTCTTCAGGTAGTCTCTGGCACACACAGACTGGCAGAGATCTTCAGTGATACTGACCTGTTGGCCATTAAGCCCACCACTAACAGCAGAACCCCCAGGAACAAAGCAGTGAAAGATAATGCCAGCATGGAATACTTCCAAGGAGATGCTTTAAGAAAGAAATGGGTTAATTACTGCAGATCCTTGCACATTGTGACCTTTGATTAATAGTGTTGGCAAGAATTTGGAGCAATAAAAAACTTACTGAATCACTAGGATAAGAAATGATTGCTTCATTCTATCTAGGCCAAGACATGGTTTACATTCAGTGGATGAAATGCATTGTGTAACAATTCCATGAAAAATCAGCTGATTTACATAAAATGTCCTTGTGGTCAAGTGTGTTTTACGTAAGGTAAAAGTATGAAAGCTGTTTTTTAATAAGAAATAGTTTTAAAAAGGATTATGTGTACCCAGTATTAGTTTTCATATACTGTGCCTGTTCAGTTACATATATTTATGTTCATTTCACTGTCACATTAAATGTTTGCTTGAAGTGTTTGAAGATGATGAAAGAGTCAGTGTTTCAATGGCTTAAACAAATTAAATTCTACAGACCTATAAATCTGGAATAACTCTAGTTACATTAGACACAAAACCTTTTATGGTATGGTTTGGCTTTCATGCAGAGACTGGAACAACAGACGCACGTTGAAGGAGAGCTGTTAATGAGACGGAATTCATTCTATTGTTACTAATAAGTTTATGATTATTTGAAAGCTGAGGGTGAAAAGCTGCTCTGCTTTGAGGATAATTGTGGGACTATTATTAATCTATTGACTCACTGAAGTAAGGCATTAAACTGTTCAAGGTCATGGGCAATAGAGAAGTAAAAATCAACATAGATTTTAGGTGCTGATAAATCTTAATAAAGAAATAAAATGCACTGAAATAAATTGCTGTCTCCTGAAAAGTGCATGAAATCGGAACTTCTCTTCTGTTAGAATTGTACACACAGCAATTGCGAGTGATATGAAGAAGCAGTCTCGGTACAGATTAAGAAAGAGGGAGCTCTGTATCGAGATATAATAATATATTCCATGAACAGAGCTGATTTTAATGCAAGAGCAGACCAAGTAAATAAGAACTACTTGGCAGGCAAATGAGTTCACACTTTCATCTACTGCACCTGATAGGCTTTGAAATGTCCGAAAACCACGAGAGAAAAGTTTTTAGTCACTTATAATGTTAATTATTTGACCCGAGTCGGAATGTATCTGGAGGTTTAATGCAGTAGGCCCTGGCAGCGTAGCAGCCGGAATACTTACGATCCTCTGTACGGTACAGCCACAGCAGGTATTCTCTCTCGGCCTCTGCCTCTGCCATCGCGTCTGCCTCTGCTTTTTCTGACGGAGGACTGGCAAGGGCCTCTGCCTTCCCAGACCCTGTGGGTTTACTGGAAGCTCTCTTGGACCCTGTCAGACAAAGTCAGAGAGGAAACCCTTCTTTACCTCCCACAGCTCTACAGTTCTGAAGACGCACAGCCACTGCTCTGGAGGGATGAAGGCCAGACTCTGACCCTGACTAGCTAATGGCTTTATGCCAAAAGACAACAAGCTCCTGACCTTCTCGTGAATGAGAACCTTGTCAAATTCTATATATGAAGGACTCCTTTTCAAGACCACTCAGAATAAATGACCACAACACAGAGCTTGCCAGTTAGGAACAGACATTACTTAGTAATGGCTAACATGTATCAGGAGCATGTTTTTGGTTGTAAATTGAAAAAGACAGTAGATAGACCAGATAAGAGGCTGAAAGAAAAGGGGGACAAGGAGCTATGGTAGCCGAGAGAAGAATTCGGACATTTTTAAAGACGACTCTCCTGAATACAGTCCTGCCACACCTACTTAGAATTTCCTTGCAGATGTTGTTTCTCTCAATTGATCTCCACTTGGCAGACTGGGTCTTGTTGTTGGACAGAAATAGCCTGTTCTCATCAGATGCTAGGTCCAGGAAGGTAGCCTGGGCCGTCAGTCTGTGGTTGTGGCACTGCCAATGGAGGGTATAGCTGCTGTCACAGGCAACAGTCTGCACGTGGTCAGCGTGATGGGCGGACAGGCACCTCTTTGTGCCCCTGTTGACCAGAAATCGCCCCTCTCTCCAGAACCACTGCTGCAGGTCAGATGTCAGGTCACACTGCCCCAAGCGCAGGTTGTTGTCTTCCAAGGAGGCTTGTAAACACAGGTTAGACTGCACATTCTGGACAGTAAAACAGTAAGTACCTGCAATGACAGACATATTGCGTTGTGTGATGCTGAACCCACTGTTGCCTTCATTAGGCATTTTAACTGTGGGTTACATACATACATTTGCATAAATACTCTGGTTTCAATGGTAAATCTGAGATTTGCCAAGAAGGTTGGGGGTGTTCTAAAGCTACTGATATTCAAAAGCAAGTAATCAGAGTATTTTTTATGTTTATGTTAATAATTTACTCATCTTAAAGGTTTAGCATACATAGTTGATGTGCAATAAAATCAACTCGGTTACAAACGTGTCTTTGAATTTAAAAGTTATGAGTTCCACACTTTCAACTCTTTCAACTAAATAATGAACTAAAATCATACACAAATCTATGTTAGATCTATGTCAGATATCAAATCTACGTCTGTGTTAGTCCCTGCTATTTTGTTATTGTTTTTAATGATCTCACAGGCTGACCCAATTAATCTTGTTACCTTGTACTAGTAGACATAAGGTTATCCAGGTCTGGGCCATTCTTATCAATTGAAGAAATACTGATTCAGAAGAAAACTGTAGGAATAAACATGAGTATTAGATTTTTTTGTATATAGTCTTATTTTGTATTTGAGCAGGGATTTTTATGTAGTTGTTCTTTAAAAACACATTCAGTGTAATATTTATTACATTAAAACTTTGCAATTAAATTCCAAAATGTTGCCACTGATATTAAATAAATAATAAACAAAAAAGTTTAAGAAAAGTTTTCCCGTTCTCTTGAATAAAGATGTATAAGTGAAAATGGCCTGACATTATTATGATCATTATTATTATTATATTTTCAATTCATTGTTGTTATAATTTTATTGTATTTAAATTATTTGAATATATATATTCTATTCATCAGTGCATCTCCAACAGTTTGGGTCTGCTTAAAAGAAAATGTTTATCTTAAAGAGCTGTTGAGGTGTTGATCTGAAAGGAAAATCGGCCAGCAAACCAGATCCTGCATGTTCACAAGGAATCCAATACGATATGATTGGCCTGGCAAGTTTTTTAATATGGTCTCCACATCTCCCCCGAATTCATATTTTGTCCATTATTTCATCTACTAAACAAATTCCCTAGGTCTGCAATAAATCAAGTGAATTTTGTATTAATGTAGACAAATTCTGCCAATCTGTCTTCAGTCCAAAGCAGTACCTTACTGATGTGACTACAAGTCTAAGAAACAATACAATTAATGTATTTTGCTCAGCGTTGATTCCCCCTCGTTCAAATATGAATTAATTTAATCATTCATAAATCAAAATACTTTACTCTGAACTTTGTTATTTTGTATGAGCTAAGGGACTCTTGTGTAATCTGTTAGTCCCGTTGCAAAAGTTTCTATGCTTTAGTGCCTCTTGAATGTCTCAGATTATAGTTACATTAATACATTTTAGTCTACACATCTGCAATCCAGAAAGATAATATTTTATCTTATTTTAATAAATCTTATTTTTAATAAATATAGCAAATCACATCGGAATAAATGAATATTTAATTAAATAAACATTCACATGCACACTGTAAAAAGACAAAATATTTTTTGTGATTATACATCTTTTTTGATTGTCTTTGAAAATCTGACCCAAAAGCACTGCTTTTATATTTCTTTAAATAATGTTATTTGAGAATTATTGTAGAAATTGATATATGCATTTATACATTTATAATCTACAGTGACATTTTATTACTTACATGGTATATCTGTATCAAAGTTTTATCTTTTTGGAACCCTTTTGAGTACTAAAGTAGTATAACTATTTTTAAAAAATTAATTTATTACTAAGGCATTGCTGCTCCACCAACAAGCCTTAAGTCAGTTTCATGGATAAAAAAAACAACTTGGCATAGGAGACATTCATAGATATTTCATGACATATGTCTTATTGTGAGTGTTAAGTTGTGAGAACAAGAAAAGTTTTGTTATGCCTACCGTAGATTTTGCCATAAATCTCTGCTGTTTCAAAGAAGAAGCAACCTGAATCCTTATCTGAAGAAATTCTGTCAGCTGTCTGTGCAGAGTTACTGTAGAGAAAATGAGGTCTTATTTATGGGCATGATTGTACCTGTAAGCAACATACACTTATAAAGAGGGGACTTTCCAAAGTTCATAGGGGAGGAGATTAAACCATTCAAGGCTTGTTTTTAACTCTGTACTGTAAAATATGACGGGAAAACCCTCCCATTGCAAGCTACAGTATGTATTAGTCATTGTGAAATCAGAAGTACATTTTACTAAATGACTACGCTCATTACTGTTTGTAATTTTAACCTTTACAAGTAGTGGTACCTATTAGCACTCACCTGTTACGGGTTTCCTTTATACTGTATATCTGTGCTATTTCAGTTGCATGTGGATGCTACTGGAACATCCATATTATAAGTAAATTGTATCAAGATCAGAAACTATGAGAACCTCTCTGTTTTCCAAAAGTCCCAGCTTGCTTTTTCACTAAGCACATCTGTTTTATACAGTCTCATTTTGTTATTATCTTAAGCTTGAAGTATTCAGAACATTTTCATTACAAGAGTCTGGATCTCGCAAGGTTAGCGTGGGGAACTGCACCAGGGCACAAGCTGCAGAATTGCTACTTGATGTCCATTACATGCTGAAAAGTCAAATGAAAGAAATATTTCAACATTCTAGTTGGGGAGTCTTCTCCAATATGAAGCAAAGGGGTGGGTAAGGGGAACAACAGACGTGAATGTGGGAATGGGTTAGGGGGTGAAAATGGGACAAAAGATATGGAAATCTGGGAGATGAATTCCAGGAAAGGTTTTGTAAGCAGAAATCTGTTAATGGATAGAGAGATTTTGGAAAGGAGATAATGAATTGCAGGTAAAATACTTTTTGATTTAATCATCACTTATAAAAAATGTTTTTTCTAATGAGATCTGTTCTTTTTTCTGTGCCTGTGTCATTTCCACAAGAAAAGTGTGTGCATTTAATAACGTATGCTCCCTACCGTTATATACACTTTCAGTGCTGTTGATTTGCCAAACTTGAAGAGTCAGATCTCCTTGAGCAATCTGCTTTGTACAGTGCACTGTTCAGTTCCTGGAAACTCTTTGACCAGAGCTGGTTACTGTTTAGTCAGACCGATTGTGTTGTCTTCAAATTACTGCCATTCCAAAATTCAGAAGTTGGAAGGCAAACCAAGGACAGCACAATATGTGACACAGCGGTCAAACACCCGACACACAGTATCTGTTGAAATGTTTTTCCAGCGAAACAGCGTTGATTGTGTGTGTGGTGAGTAAGAAGAAGAGGTCAATGACCTGACAGACAAATCTACTTACATATGTAGTAAGGGAGCAGTGATCCATAGGTTGTGACTCTGTTTTATAGGCACTTTCATAATATGCTTGCAATACCAATGGTTTGAACATTTACAGACACATCAGAATGTCACACATAGCATAAAAAGGCAGATATGTACTGTAAATGGACTTCCAGTACTAGGAAGTACTGGAAAGTACTTATAATGTATATCTTGGCTACCCAGGAATATTTAATTTAGTCTGTAGCATTCTTTTAAGAACAAAATTATCCACACTCGACACATGCCTCCAAAGTAATTAATCGTTATTACTTTTTCTCTTAAAAAAATCTATTTAAACTCTAGTTTTTATTTAATGTCTTAGTAAACTTTTAAACAGTTGCAGGGTTGCTATTTCTTTAACATATTTTGCAATTGTCTCAGCTGTCTAATAGGGTGTGCTTTTGACTTCGATTCATTTAGTTTGAGCACCATCTTTCTTCCAATCAAAATACTGAGCTATGACTGGGAATATTTTGACTGTACCGTGTTTGCTGCAATCAGTTGCAATGCCGCATTAAGATATATCTTCAGGCACTTTTAGAGCTGTTTCAACAGAGTGCGGTGCAATCACAGCATTAATGATGGCTTCTGTCTTGGTGCGACCACATGACAATTTTCGGGCCGTGTCGGAATCTGGGAATAGCTTCTTTATCAAGGCAGGTGTACAATCTATTGTTCTGTAACTATTGTGATGCTTAACCGTGTGAAATGCGGTCTCACAAAATAGTCTGTCACTTTTGCTGACGAGCTCTCTTCCTTAACAGCAGTTTTGTGCTTTGTACAGTGAACAAGTCGCTAGCGCCTTTATTTGCTGCTGACACTTACGTGTATCTACAGATAATAATAAATTCGGCTTCCTACTCGTCACGCCACGAAAACACGAGTATTTATTTTTGAACTCGTCTGTAAATTTACACGTTCGCTTGGGCATCTTTTGTACTTATGATCTGGTGTTCAATCGTAGCGCGGCTCTGCCCGTCCTCCTAGCTGTCAGGGGGCTCAAACTGCAATAGGTGCCTTTCTTCAAACAAACCCCTCCGCGTTTCCTAGCAACGTCTGCTACGCAGTACGCACAGTACTACGCTGCGTGTAAATTCAAAACATCTACCGTTAAAGCATTGAACAAACGAAAATATGTCGGCTTATGTTTGTCTATACAGTCCATATAACGAGCAAAACAAAATCCCGGACAATTTTTAGAATTTTATAAATCCCGGTCGGACCGATATTTTATGTCTCAAAAAAGGGGACATCTGGTCACCTATACAACATATACTTATATAATGAGTTTCAATACATAGCTGCTGAAATTTGCGAAATTAGATGTTCGAGTTCAGTTGTCATTTTCGTATCGTGTTATCGCGACTGGGCGAACTGTGAAGAAGTGGAGGTGGGAACGCAATACTGAAGGGTTTTGCCCTCCCCTTGCGAGGGGATTTGTACGCATTGGACAGGAAGTAAAAGCGACGAAGTGAGAAAGATGGCGACGCGCTGTGGGAAACGTTAGTTTCTTCTAAAATGTGTCAAATTTACAGTTTAGAAAAGACAGATGAAATTACTTCCCAAGAAAATAATTGTGTTTACGATTTTAGTAGACATTAGCCTTAAAGTGAGACAGAAGAAGTAAACGTTACACGTTTGACATGAATGACCTGTATTACAGCAACTGGCACAAGTACCGACTCCAGATATCTACATATATCTTGTCAGTGTTTACAAAAACGCTATTTAAATGTATGTATAGGTTTATGTATACGTAAATTTCTGTCTCTTCAGAAAGGGTGAGGAGTGAGTATCGTTCTGAAAAATGTTGAACTGCTTCAGATATGTTGGGTCGAACGGGATTGTTTTATCTGTCGGCTATACAAAGCTCTTAGGGGGTAACGGGTGTAGACTGAAGAGCTACTCGAAGGTGCTGGGGGACCTGAGGACTTTTTCCGATTGCTCTGAGAGCTCTCGCTGCGGCTCGTCTGCCCAAGACCTTAGTCAGAGCAAGGCGCGGGCGAGACCGCCCTGGAGGATTGTGTTCTTTGGGACAGATGACTTCGCACTGGAATCTTTGAAAATTCTCACAGAGTCTAGGTACAATATCCGACTTTATTTGGACTTTATTGCCTTGCACACGAAAAAAATGTTGTTTTATAATAACATCACTTTATTAACCCTTTACAATTTCTTGCATTAGGAATTATCTTTTCATATACCCCAGCTTGCTCTCCATGAGACACACAGATAGGGAGAGAGCCAGGGTCTGCCATTGTACAGCACCCCTGAAACAGTTGGGGTTAAGGGCCTTGCTCAGGAGCCCTCTGCCAGCTGTGGGTTTTGAACTGGCAACTTTCTAGCCACGGGTGCAGATCCTTAACCACAGAGCCACCGCTCTGCTCGTTTTGTTGTATTTGATCTACCCTTTTTCTGCGATTCTGATCATGTGTATCTAAAAGCTGCTAGCACATAGAAGTAGCAAGAAACAGGCACTGCTTTCAAAATTCGGATATTTTCAAGGGTTACAAAACTAAAACCCTAACTGGCTCTATGTAGATCATTTAGAACTTTTGTTGAAGACATATTTAATGTTTAATAAATACTTTGTTCTGGCTAATGTTTCCCTTTGTGTAACAGACAGAAGCACAGTGAGAGACTTATAGACACCCTTGAAGTGGTTACTTTGCCTAAGGAGCTGCCCGTGAGAAGATTTGCCAGCCAGAATGATCTTCCCATCCATGACTGGCCAGACATGAACCTCCGCGAACAGTTTGACGTGGGTGTGGTAGTGTCTTTTGGCTGCCTTCTCCGAAAGAATCTCATCGAACAGTTTCCATAGTGAGTGATTACCAAATATTCGGATTTGAGCTAAGAAGATGGTTACAAAGGAGGGGAAGCAGTTTGGTCCTTCTAGCCCATTTTGTAGTTAGTACTTCATTAATCCAAAGATCTCATCCAGCCATTATTTGAGAGGCCAGAATTTTGACTTCAACCATGTGGCTGGGCAGATCGTTCCGTACTCCAACAACTCTTTGGGAATAGAATTGCCTCTGTTTATTGGTCTTAAAAAGCACTTGTACCTGGTTGGTATTGAATATGTTCTGTGTATGCAATAATATAATAAACCAAGATCCTTTGTGCAATCAACTTTTACATAATCGTGTATTAAACCTATAGTAGCACAGACCAGTATCACAGTTCTAAAGTGTACTTAAGCTGTTGACAAATTTGTTCTATAGCTATTTACGAAACCTAAAGCAAATGTAACTTCCTTTTATTTAGAGTGTAAGTGTGTGAGATGTGTTCATTTAAAGCAATGAGAAACCTGCTCTCCACTCCATCATGTGTAGTGTTCAGTAACGCAACACTATCTTCTGTTTCAGTGGCATTCTTAATGTCCACCCCAGCCTGCTGCCCCGATGGCGCGGGCCTGCTCCAGTCTTTCACACCATCCTCAATGGGGATACAGTCACTGGGGTCACCATCATGCAGATCAGACCCAAGAGGTGGGAGCGCCTTTTGATCACTGTGCACTGTGCTAAACCATGAGTTAAATGCATAGACTTTAATTACTTAAGGTCTTAAGGTTTGCTCTATGTAAAGTCTTCACTCTATATTGGTTCTTGCTTTGATCCTGTGTCAGGTTTGATGTGGGCCCGGTCTTGAGTCAGGAGTTGTATCCAGTTCCACCAAACTGTACGGCCGAGCAGCTAGGAGCCTCTCTGGCCACCCTGGGAGCTCAGATGGTAAAAAGCTGATAACTGCATGAGCCAGGATAAGACTCTTATTGTTGAGGCAGAAGTCCTGTCTCGGTTCAAAGGGTTTTAGATTAAGTTTACATAAATTTGTAATTGCCTGTGATAGTTGAGGTTTAATATTGTAATATAAACAAATCTAAAGACATATCAGTCAGCTTTCCTGCACACTGTTTTCCTTCTTCTGCAGCTAAGCCCTGCTCATTGCCTTTTGCCTTAAATATCCCCAGAATTATTTTCATCTGTTCTGCTACAGGAAGGGCTCACTTTCCTTATTTATGCAGGTTTTGTTAATCCATGTAGCTCAGCTGTCTTCAATACTGAAGAAGCTCTCGTGAGAAATTGATGTAGAAAAAATGCAGGTTATAACTATTGCATACAGTGATTTACAGTACTGTACCCAAAGATGAAGCAAAGAAATGACATTGAGAAAGGATGTGATTTTACAGTGTACATTTTAAATTTGATTTTTTTTTTCAGTTAATCTGCACTCTGAAGAACCTACCAGAAAGAATAGCAAACAGACGAGAACAGTCCAAGGATGGAGCCACTTTAGGTAAGGTGCATGTCATATGGGCACAACAGTCAGACCTCGGGTCCTTAACAGTTAAAACTACAGTCCTGTTGATAGTTGAAATTACACCCACACTGCAGTTCTGCTCAGTTAAACCTAAAGGTGCTATAATAATTACAAGAGTAAAAGAAAAACAAAAAATTATATTAATACTCATTTTCTCTTATTTAGAGTGAATTAATTGTCCACTGTAACTTAGCAATTCTACATCCAGGCTGGCAACACCTGTAGCATAAGAAGAACTGTATTATCTGTAAAGCAAGCAATAATTACTGGTTAAGACTGAAACATACAGTATTCCTTTACTTTTATTTTTTTAGATACGTGTTAATAATAGGAATCCAAACTATAGCACCCCCTTTATTTATTAAATCATATGGGCACAACATTCTCTTCTTGATTTTCCTTTTGATTTTCCAGTGGGATCGCTAGTATGCTTCTTTTTGTTTTCAGCTCCCAAAATCAGCACTGCAATGAGCTGGATTAACTGGGAGGAGCAGACTTGTGATCAGATTAACTGTCTGTTTCGAGCCATCTCATTTCGGGTAAGAGCTTCCTTTATTTAACCACAGGAGTCCATTAATTACAAGAGTGAGCAAGGAATATGAGGAGAACTGTTATTTTTACTGTAAGAGGTCTTAGGATGTTTTTAATCTAAATGCTTTATTTTATCAGCAATACTTGAATCCTACATTCCCAGAGCTCATCGTCATTCCTCTGCTTTTCCACTTTGTGCCTGTAAAAAACAGCTCTGTTCAAGTTTGCTATTGTATTTGATTTTGCACTAGATTCCCCTTCGAACTCTGTGGATGGGAGAAACAATAAAGCTGCTGGATTTTGTTGGAAAATTCAAAACTCCAGTTTCTGGTAAATGCGTTTACTCAGACTTGTCATCTTGAATAGTTCAAGTTGTGAGAAAAAAAGTTCAAGTTGTGAGTATCTTTGAGCTTCAAGGATGTTTAATAATGTGGAACCATCTGTGTAAAAGTACAGGTTTGTGCTTGTTTTGTCGTTCACCCTTCCCTGAATCTGCAGATATGTTTATTGTCCACAACAGAAAACTTGTAAATTCTACACAATGTAAAGATGTTTTAGACCGTGTGTACCCGTACAGTGCAGAGGTCTCCACTGCACAACAGTAATAAAAGTAATGCCTTTCCACTTGACAGAAATGGAAGGAGCCCAAGCCCCAGCCCCAGGCTCCATACAGTTCAAGAAGGAGACAAATACTCTGCTTGTGCGCTGCAAGGTATGAAAAGTGCAGTTTAGTAACAGGTACATGACCAAACAGGAGAATGGATGAGCTGTTATTTTCTTGGAAGCTGCGATACCTCGCATTTTCCCACTGCTTTTTTGTTGCCTTCTAAATATGGGACCAACAACTTTGGATTTTGTCTTTTTCAGGAGAATAAATCCTGCAGAATCATGTTATTGTGATTTAATAATTGATCACGAGGTCTGGTGGAAAAAAAATGTTTACAAACTATGTCAAATCTCTGTATTTTAGGACGGCTGGGTGGGGTTCAAAGCCGTTAAGTTGAAGAAAAGACTGTCGGCAGCAGATTTCTACAATGGCTATCTTCACCAGTATTTTCTAAAGAAGTCCTCCACGCCACATATTGAGTGCCTGTTTCAGAACCCAAGACCACAACCCAGAGATTCTCATTCAGGAAAAGAAGTTCAATCAGAAATGGTGAAACAAAATGTTATTTAGGTAACCGTGAGAGTAATCATGCACACTACTCTTCAGCTTGATCAATCTGGTGATATTTGTTTTATAATTGTCTACTTTTTGTCTGTTTTAAGACAATATGCTGTTATACCAAGTTGTAAAAAATGATAAGTCTGGTTTAAGAGTCATTTTTCAAATAAAAATATATTTAAAAATAAATAGCAATGTTATTGTCATACACCCAGGACTGAAAAGAAACAGAAATGTCTTCAGGAAATCTGGAAGAGTCTGAGTCACCTTATGATCAACAGCTGAGCAGTAATTTAGTAAGGTGTGGGCCCTTGATCAGAACCCTTGCACAACCCTGCACAAAAAGCTGAAAATTCTGACTATTGCTGATGAGTGATTTTGGCGTCTTTTCCTGTGATTCATGACCTCCTTCCATGGTGCAGATAAAAGAGGAGACTGTTCAGATCATGGCTTATTTCCAGAACCAGTACATACTAAGACTCCTGTTAATCTCTTCGTCTCTTCTGTTAACAGGAAGGCTTGACTAGAGGCAGATACCACTGAAAAAGAAGCAAATATACAGATGAAAAGCAAGGTTTTATCAAATGAAAATAAATGTGATGAAATGCTGGAAGAAAACACCTTTTCCTCATCTAAGTCATGTTAAAATTACATTTAGAGTGCATAGAAGAATACAAGGGTTTCAGTTTATCCTGGATATGTCTGCTATTCAATGCTTACCTCTTCTGTCATCCCAGCAGTTTTTCTTCCTTCAATGTTAAAAGGTGGCTTGAGGTACCCTTGGAAGTGCTGTTTAACCAGCTCATGGAATGTCGACAGGCAGTCCTAGACAAGAGAATATATTGCTTGCCTTAAAGCAGCAGATCCTGGTGCTCATGAACCTGATGATCATGATTGACTATGCAGGGACAAAATGCTAACACGATGAACAGCTCCGATGGACACACTGTAGTAGATCTGGAAGCGATCTCTCTGGCAGGGCTTTTGTTTGAGGCCTACCCGTCTTTCCTTGGTGCAGATGTAGGTGAACCAGCGCAGGCCCGCGGCCACGTGGGTAATTTCATCAGCGTAGATCACCTCCAGTGCCTTCACAGAGCTCTGGTCACCCTGAGCTGCGAAGCGGGATAGAGTCTGAGGGTGCACATCCAGCCCCCTGCGGAGATAAAACCACTGGGACAGATAACTTCACAGTACAGGACACACACGCAATACCTTAACGTTGAGCTGACAGAGCAAATAACCTCTATTTTCGTCTTTCATTTGGTGTGTGACTCACAATCTAGGATGGAAATATTCCATTTTTATTATCTTTGGAACCATCAGTTATGCTGACAGCCTAAACAGGGTAAGTAGAGAGGGTCATATTCAGAGATGTTTTTAAATGTTCACTTACTGTAGTTTTCCACTTTTGTTTGCAAGAATAGATTTAAAAGAGAATACTAAGAAAGTTAGCACCCGATTGCAGGGGGCCAGAAGGGAATCCACCATACCTGGCTTCGTGTACCATGTGCACAATTGCCAGCCTGGCCAACAGATCATGGGCCGTCTCCGAAGCAGACTGCCACAATCCTGTGAACACAGGCACGGCCGAAACATAGATATCATTTCACAGCATGCCACTGCCCACAAGAGAACAGGAACATGAGAATACAGGAGAGGAGGCCATTCGGTCCAATTGCAGTTAGCGGTTCATTGATCCAAGGATCCCATTCAGCCATTTCTTGAAAGAAGCCAACGTATTGGCTTCAAAAACATACCTGCGTACCGTACTCAAGACTTCTACTATCTTACGTAAAGAAAATTTAGAAAATGAATATCTCCCTTTTTGTGCATCAAAGAGAGGACCAACAACCATGCAGTAAGTAATGCTGCACTGCAGCATCTTTTTTTGATGAAATGCAAACAGGATTTACGTAGTTCAAAATGAGACACAACAAGGCACAATGCATTTTGTTAAATGTTCTTACCATTGTGTACGGGCAGAGCACCAAAAAAGCTGCCAAGTTCTGTTATCCTCTGCTCTAAAAGATCATAATGCTGAAAAGCAAAGATGAGGCTCAATAAAGACAAGTCACATAAGACTTCAGAATCTGTACTCTTCAAAAAGTGCTGGGAAATTCCTGAGAAACATATTAGAATTGTAGCACTATTTTAACATACAGAGCACAGTAAGGTTGCACAGATAAACCTGTGGACTGGCAATATTAAAACAGGTCTGTGTGATTGTTGTGTGCCTTCATCAAATCTACTGAAAAATAGTGAAGACTTAAGAGCATCTTCTAAATACGTTAGTGATTAAACCAAGATTGTAATGATCCTAATACAAGAAATTGTATATGGCCAATAAAGTGATCTTATCTCTTATGGTATAAGCCATATGCTAGAAGACACTGACCTTGGCCTCGTCCCCAGCCACCTTGACAAAGTCGCTGAAGAATTGGAGGGGCAGCGGCTCTCCACTGCCCAGCCTGACAGTGGAGAACCTGGCGATGATATCCCAGGACAGGTCTATGGCCCACTGCTCGATGTTGGCCAGGGAATGTAGCAGAGCGATCCTACTGGCCTTTTTAACAAAAACAGTCAAAAACCAGTACATTAATTCTGCGATATACAAGTTAAAGAGACTTGTGCCAAAAAATATGACAGATGTCCCTCTCCCTGTTCCTCCTTCAGTATCTGATGATATAAGATTATTTGTACAGCCGGGCTTCTTGGTCTTGGTGATCACAATGTCAGCTGGTTTACCACTCAGCAGTGCTTTCAGCTACTTATTCAAGCTAACAATGTGATCAGACCTTTATAGTTTCCTAGCTTGCTACTTTGTGAAAGATGCTGGTTCCTAGCTGGGTAGATTTTAAAGTGAATAAAAAAAAATATCAAGTAGTAATGTCTTATCTAACTCTACAATTCAATTACATAATTAACAGCTCAGCTGGAACAAAAAAACAACATTCACGAGAGTCATGAGAATATGATCCGGGACGCCCCGTTCTAGAGACTGTGAATCCAATTAATCTCCTAGCAGTCTGTAAATGTGGCGGCTCAGTGTGCACCACGCCGCAGCAGTGGCGCCCTCCTGCCCTGGCAGTGTGTTCTCACCAGTGTGCCTCCTTTACCACGCTTGATCTTCCCCGGCTGCAGCACTGTCAGGCTCTCCTGCCGGCTCGGCTGCTCTGGTGGCACCGCCTGCCCCACTTCCGTTATCTTCCCAGAGTTCCACCTCCCCTGAACTTCCTGTGTCAGTGCGACCTTGGGCACAGAGGAACATTCAGCATAACCATACGACTGGGGAACCAAGTCTTTTTTTTTTCTTCCTTAAATGTCATTCCATAAGGGCTACAGCTTCAAACTCTTCTGAAGAGCCATGAATTGGTCTGGCTCTAAATAAACACCCCTGAATAAAATTAGAATAAGTAAAAATCTGAAATCTGGTCTGAATCTTTAACATATTATATCCTTTAACAAATAATGCCTAGAGCAACAAATAATTTGGCTTTTGCCCACAGATTGAAATTGAATTAAAACTAAACTAAAACTGCTGTTCTTTTCAATGCGATAGAAGCAAATCTGCACTTCCCTGGGTCATTTGAGGTCAGTAATTATGAAATTACTGTAAAATCAGTTTACTGAAATGTTTTGATTTTGTTAGTGGTAACGCAGCGTGTACATTTAATAACAGTAAACTGTCCTTATTTACTTTCCCCCAGTTTGTTGCATTGCAATGGGGAAAACAACCATGTAAAACCATACCTTTTCCTTGGGGTCAGCAGTACAGAGGATTTTAGCTGCCCAGAAACACAGGGTGTCTTCAGAAGGATCAGGGAGAATCTCTGGAGGCAGTCTGCCTGGGAAACATTTACCAAGTTAGTGGCTGTGTCATCAAAGCATGTTCTGCAACCCAATATGATACACAATGTGAGATCATTTATAATCTACAGCTGTTTCATGCATGGAAATACTCTGATTTTGTTGATATCACATTATTTAATATTTTTATAATAAAATATACAGCACAATGTAGTATTTACCAGAGGAAGCAGCAGTCTTCTCATGTATGGGACTTAGCGACAGCATGTTCTGCGTGTGGATGTAAATGTTTCCATTGAACACACGAACCTCATAGACTTGGTTCTGAAAAGACAACAGCCCACCGGGGCAGAAGGAACATAGTAGAAGCTTAATAGAAATTAACATCTGTTTGAAGGCGCATATACTCTGCTCAGATGATGGCTGAACTGTCTGTGCTCTGACACCTAGATAAAAGCCTAACCTTTCTAAAATGGCAAGGTCATTATCTCCTAGAATCAGCAATTTAGGGGGTTATACATTTCCAATTTAAGGTTACACAGATTGTTTTACAGCTTAGGAGTGGATAGTAGAAGGTATCTCTGATAATACTGTACAGTAGATTTTAATAGCAAAGTACTTCAGATTCCCTTCCCACTACAGATAGTCCTGTTGCACTGAGACCTTACCTGCAGTCCTGTGGAGGAGATTCCAGTTTCCAGACAGAAGTCAAAATGATGCCAGGGGCAGATCAATGCCAGCTTTCCATTGCCTAAATCTTCAATATCACCAAGATCAAGGGGGCCTCCTGCAGGCATGCAGATATGCATAGGTGTGTTAGATTTGTTTGTTGGTTTGGGGTAACATCATCAGTCATCACAAATAGCAGAGCCGCAGCATTTGCAGAACCGCAGCATTTTTTCTGAGAGTCGGTGCCCATAAAGTTAAATACAAGAAGTATATCAGGAAAGGTTTAGGCTAAAATGATCAGAAACATGAAAAGGTTTCACAATGCATATGGACCTACACAGAAACACGGTGATACAATGTATACCGATACCTTCATGAGGGCAGGCTGAATCCATGGCCCAGAACTGGTCATCTCCTATGTGCACGAGAACTATGTCTTCACCATCCTCAGAATATAGCCTCGAAAACAAAATAAGGCATATAAATAAGGAGCTATACAATTAAAGCACGATTTACTTTAGCAACCTGTATAACCTACAAAAAGATCCGATTAAAATCCAAATATTTTCAATTAAATGTACTACAAAGAACATTTTCATGTAAAGCTATAGTGATCAAACCTTCCTTGAGTAGGCTATGAAAAACGTATAGTTATGTAGTACTGCACATATGTAGCTCAACGACTTAATTCATTGCATATTTACTTTTATCGGAGCGGCTGAAACGTGTGCCAGTCGACCAATCTAAGTCCTTTAGCTGGAAGATGCATGCTAATATTTATAAACTTATTTCTAGAAATACAACAGAAACATGTGAGATACATTGATGCATAATTCATAATTACTTGGTGCACTTGGATTTAAAAAGATATTTTCCTCCCAAACACTGCCAGCTGCTACAGTTGACGACATCTTTCAAGGCGTTTACTAAATCCTCTTCGAAGTGATCCATTGCTGCGTTGACACGAAAGCGCCACTTTTATCATGGTAGATCTTAATGAAACATGGTGAGGATTTCAGCAACAGTACATCCTTAATCCGAAAAGTTGTTTCAATGTAGCGAGTATAGGCACTGTATTAGTACGCTCTCGCCAATCATTGGCCATCTGTCTCACTGGGGTGGAAATGACGCCATCAGATCACGCAGTCTCTTCCGCCTTTGGTGCGCAGATAAACTGTACAAACTGTTCCCGGGGATTTAAATACTGCGCTGTAGCAACCACGACAACGAGGAGCACGGGAGCTCATGCGGATGTATAGCTAGATAACGAAATTAGACTTCATACCATTTGTTGCTGAGCTTAGGCAGGGGACTTGCTTAAGAAATTCATACTGTACTAGATAAGACGAAAACCTATTCAGTAATATTGGCATAAATGTTGAGCTGATGTTTATCTGATGTGTTTATACAGTGTATCTACCCATGATAGATGATATGACACTCTTATGATGTACCCTATGCAGTTATGCGTTGCAATTAACGGAGCCCATCTACATTATTCCTCGAATATTCACTCAAAAGCCACAATTCAGTTTTCCTTGGCATTACGTATTGAAAGAAATAGTGATATAATAGTGAAAGTTCGTGACCTGCAATAAAGGAAGGCAGAATTAATTATTGATATTATGCTGCAGCAGCATCACTGTGGATGCCGATCCGGTCAGTATAGGGACGGGAGACCTCCAAGGAAAACCAGACTACTGCTGTATGGGAGGTTTGGGAATCTGTAAGAGGCACATTTTCCTCTGGACGTTTCCAAGCCAATTATCCCGTATGGTGGCTGGGGCACTATGCTTTGAAATTAAGGTCAATATAAAATCCCATGGCAATATTCCTATATTTGTTGAAAGGGTGTTGACCCTAGTGTCCAGGCTTAATTCCTCCCCTGGTCATTACTAGCTCTCTTCATGCTCCATTTGTATACTGCCACATTAAATAATGAATGGTATTCTAATGAGTAGATCTGGGATTCTGATATCAATCACAATGCATTTGAAAATTTTGTAATTGCAGTGGAAAAAAGAATTTACAGGAACTATAATGCATTGTATTATTTCCTGAGACTCTGTACATTTGACTGATATGTAGCAAACTGATCAATTTTAAGTGCATTCTTTTGATGAGGGATTTTCATTGCATCAATGATGTTCCTATTCCTCAGCTGTATAACAAAGTTCTGAAATTTGTTCAGCCATATTTTAAGAAGAAATTATTAGTTAAAGTGACATCAACTGGAATATAATGAAAAAAACCTTCTCATGTCTTTACTGCAGGGGTGCTGTATTCTACTCAAATAAATTAACTCAAGACAGAAGAAACATTGTATTTATTTCTTATATACAATGTGACTAAGACAGAATTAGACATTTACAATAATATTTCCCTAAAACATTTCTAAATATATTCAATACCCTTGTTACTCTGTTGGGAAATAACACTTTCTTCTGATTGGATCTGCATAAACCCATATTCCAGTACTACTTTAAAGCATAAGTTTCAGGTCTGATGAATATTGTGCTGCCATCAGCAAAGCCCATGAAATATAGAAAGAGCATATTTTGATGCTGCTATTACTCCAGACAAATGAACAATCTGAACACTTAACCTCAGATTCTGCAGTAAATCCTTTTCGCTACAGCCACTGTGTATATAACAGTATAAAGCTTATGCTGTGGTTGGACTGTTCATAGTCTTTACTGTATCCCCTAATAAGCAATATGTTGTTTAATCAAGACCAAGCTTTAAACAAAAGGGAAAGGTACAGTATAAAATTACAAATAAATAAATAGTGCCAGAAATGTGCAAAACGCTCATGATTAACATTGGAAAATTGTATATACATAAAGGATGTTCGCTTAAAATCTCCACATTTTACTAATGAATAACCAAGAATGTGAAAAACAGACGTAACCAGCTCAAAAATGCAGTTACGGAGCAAATAGAGTTTACAGAGCTTAAAAACCATCAAACCCATCTTTTTTTTTTTGTTTAAAAAGAGGAATTGTTTCAACAGGCATGCTTCTGTTAGTGTCAAAAAGCCTTGAAATAGTGTTACAGTATAGATAAATGTTTATATAAGGTAACTTGTTTTGCATGCAGAGTTTAGTTTTTGCTGGTTATGCTGCTGTATTCTTCACACCTTTACCTTCATTGAAATTTACAATTGAGTAAAATGACAGTGATCAATCATATTTACATACAACTTCATACATTTGCCCAAGCAGGTACAGGACTGCCTTGTAACTCATCTCCCAGTCAAATACAATTATGAGTGATGGTGGAGTTTAAGATTCCGGTCTTGTAGTTAGATTTTGATGCTTTTGAGAGTTCTCGCTGTAGATACAAAAAAACAAAACAAGAATAAGATCATACACAAAACATCCGCGCTTTGATAATCCAGAAATCACTATAAGATTTGCTAATAGAGTAATTCCTACCACCTAGAGTTACATATTGGTTTAACCAAAAGTAAAGAAAAATCAGACATTTTTCTTTAATCTATTAATGTCCTGCCTTAATTAAATGTCATGAGTTATATAATTTTAATTTGGTTTCATGTAACTGTTAACTTCCATAGCCACAAGACAGTATATCAAAATATTTTAATTCAGCACAAACTAAGGATAGAATCCCACTGCTGGCAGAGGAATCCTACTCCGTTGGGCCCCTAAGCAAGGCCCTTAACCCCAACTGCTCCAGGGGGGCTGTAAAAATGGCTGACCCTGTGCTCTGACCCCACGCGTCTCTCGGCTGTGTGTCTTATGGAGAGCAAGCTGGCGTATGCGAAAAGACAAATTCCTAATGCAAGAAACTGTATATGGCTAATAAAGTGATCTTATCTAATTCTGTTGGGACAAAACCACAGGGAAACTGCTCTGCTACAATCAAATCCTACTTAAACACCAATATAGTATCAGGCTTTAATCATTTTCCCTTATTCTTAACAGGAAAAGCTGAGAGAAAAGTACAAATTTTCCTTTTATATAACAGTCGCAACTTTAAATATATAAATCATAGCTTTGAGAAGACTGAACTGATGTTTCTAAAATTACAAAGCAAATTAAAGTGATAAAAACTATCACTTAAGTCATTCCTTTTAGGTTATTTCTGCATTTGAACCATCTACCAATCCCGACACTTAAGGCATTCTAGTTTGCTGATCAAGTTAGGTGCCAGTTTATATATGATGGGTTTTACCTATCTTGAATAAGTGAAGAGTAAATATAGGAATAAAGGTGGAAATCGGTTAGTAAAGCAAACTATTGCAGTGAACGTGTTTGCAATTGGGTAGTCTAATCACTTAAAGCATACTGATATAACAAAACCATTTTAAATAGTTGGTAAATAAAACTAAGACCTTAAAACTTATGTGGTATATTTTAGCACCATAATTTGTCTCCACACACAACCAGAAGGAAATCTATAAGATGTTAAATAGTAAAAGCAGAGCAGTAATATAGTGAGAACATAAGCAAGAGGGAGAGATATAAAGTGTGATCAACTATATTCAGCAAACGGGGAAAAAAATATAGAAAATTCACAGCAACACACAGCCTAGCTTCCTATATTGAAGAGAGAATCTGTCCCCCAATTTTGTTAAGTAATATACACTCAAAGGCATCAAACAGAAGAACTCTGTAGTTCAGAAAACAAGTTTGTCATAGTTACCGGAAGCTTCGTGAGCATTCTCTAGTGAAGTTAATGGGGGAACATGCAAAAAACAGGCTGGAAAATGATGAGGAATTTTGGTTCAAATTTTTGTTCATACAGACCTTAATAGAAGGGCGATGGAATCAATGTTGACAAATTCCTTCTACAAACAGAAGAAAGAATTAGGCATCTAGCTGAGAGAGCCAAGTAATCTACAGCCAATTAGAAAAGACAATTCTGGAAGATAGAAGGGTTTTATTGCATATCTTGCCATCACAGTAGAGTGATGAGAGGGCTTACTGTCAAGTCCTAAGCTTTACTCACGAAGGAGCAAGCACTTGATGCTGGACAGATCTGGAACAACGATCCCTCTTCATTGTCTCTCTTTAGCTTGACTGTGTGTTGCTTAAGAGATTGGTAGATGTTTTCATAAAATTGAAATTACCGCAAACTCGGAATAGGTGCTGGCAACAGAGTTAATGCTGAAGTTACGCTGTGGACTAGCTGCCGTCCTCAACGCACCACTCAGAGCTGTTCCATTCAGGTGACAGATATTCTCCTTATTGCGCTCCAGCAGGCCCGTGCGGGGAGGCTTGCCGTGTCCTGGAGTTCGAGCCAAGTGGCCCTGCTGTAAAGGAATTGAATGAAGTAAAAACACTTGGGATTGAACCTTAAAATCAACTACAGAGGAGCTGCAACATGTGCAAATGCAGGCACTGCCTGCCCACCCAGCTGCACTGCGCCATCATTACCAGCTGTGCACTGACCTTGCCTCCTGACAGAGGGGGGCGGGAGACTGGGGAGTAGCAGAGCGTCCCTCCGCAGGCAGACCGCATGGTACTGTTGGAGGTGCCACTAGAGATAGAGGTTGCATTGAACTGGGGAGAAAGCAGGGAACGTTAGTGGCAGGAGATTCTATGGCTAGGAAGTTAACACAGGCTTTGAACAGCAAAGATGGGAAGTGTTATATTTTATTTTGCTAAGAAAAAAAATGTCCAGTGACAGATATGCATGCTAGGAAGACATTCACTAACAAATACTGACAGTCTCCTTCCTTTTGGGGCTGATGAACATTTTATTGGCTTATTTACCTGTTTATATAGGTATATATTTATTTATTCAATATACTCAGAAGCATTTCTACAACAATACTTCTAATGGCCATATATCTAATGAAATACTTCAAGCAGGATATGAGGACCTCTACAATGTCCAGACCTATGATTAAGAATTCTTCTCACCTTTCGTGTTTTTCCAGGCGTATTTGTCCCAAGAAGCCTCCGTTTCGATGGTGTTCTAGGAATAGTACCGTACAGCATATCTTCCTCTGTCTGCTTACTTTTTTTCAATTGCTGTGAAGAAAACAAGCAATAGAAAATCCTCTTCGGTACCTCACATCACATTTGGGGATGTGGTTTTAATGTACGGAAAATCTACTTAACAGAAAATACGGAACTTATTTTACCATGAATAAGTTCATTATTAGAACAAAACAACTATCAGTACTCAGAAAACTCTTCATGGTTACTCACTTTTCAATTTGATTACATCTGTAATGTGATTGACCCATGCCTTAGGCTTTCAGTGTGGATTCAATTAACAATTTCCATCGTGAACACTGAAGCTGGTGAAGTTGAAGTTGGTGGACTGGAGTGGTTTAGCAGAAAGTGTAGCTCCCACAGATGAGGACATGTTGCCTTTTCTTACCCGATCCTGTTTCTCCCTCTCCTTCTCCAGGCGGTAGAGCTCCCACTGCTCCTCCACGTACTGCAGGAACTTCTGGCCGTTGACCAGGAACTCTCTGCCCTGTTCCTGCTCCCAGACATCAATCTGCGTCTTCAGCTTCCTCTCCAGCTGGGCCACACAAACGCCATGCCATCAGCACAGTGCTACACCCATCGCCTCCACTGCCTCAACCTGACCAATCCGCTTTTACAACCAAACAAGCCCTGTATGACTTCAAGAACTGGCACAGCCTTTAAAGCATTTTGCCCCAGTTCTGTGTGGTAAATTCACACATCTTTATCAAAGGAAACTAAGATAAATCAATTATTTGTTTTATACTGGTGCACTCAAGTTGCAAAGTCATTGTACCCTGTTTATATATTGTAGTTCTTCCAAAAAAAAGACTCCAAAGGTGGCAACACCAGGAAGGACTAATCTTGCATAAAGATTTAACTCTACAAGAGGCATAATGTTTTCACTGAGGCTAGGTAAACTGTGACATTACACTCCAGTCTGTATTCACTAAATTCAGTGTGGTTTACTACCTTGGGCAGGCTTTTCTGCAGATCAGCTCTCTGTTTCTCTTCTTTTAGAAGGTTCCCTCCCCTGTTTGTAAACCGAGAGGGATCGGTTGCTTTTTTCTAACCAAAGTAGAAAACAAAAGGAACAAAAAAAAATCAGGAACAGTGCTCTGTTGTTAATGATGCCATGCGTTAATGGCTATGCGTGCAGCTTTTATTCAACGAGATCAAAACCGAGGAAAAGCAAAAGTTCATCTAATATGTTTTGTTCTTTTTATCTGTTTTTACCTCAAGCTCCAAGTAGAGACTCCATGTTTCTTGCCATTTGTCCACCCCCTCAAAGAGTTCTTTGTGATCCTCATAGTGTTGTTTGACACGCAGTATCTCAGCATCATGCAGGCTCAGCAGGTCCTCTGTGTAATCATCTGACAAAGAAACATAGGATTCATGTGATTTCCACTCCAGGAATTTCCCTAGAAAAGCACCTCTGTCCCCATTTTATGTAATGTGACATACAGTGATTGGAATACTAACTTACCATCAGAATATGGAGCAAAGGCTCCGCGCTGCTCGGTACTGAAAAAACATTTGTCCCAGTATGAGGCCAGCTCCACTCGGATAGCTTCTATAACATTTTTAATATTCTGTAGTTTTAGCTCTTGTAGGCGCTCTGCTTCTGTTTGTAACTGTTGGAATACAAAACAAGTTTTGAAAAGATTACGCCAACATGGTGTGAAGTGCTCAAGCCTGTCTTCGCGAGCGTGATGTTTTCCAGATGTTGAACTACATCCAACAACAAGTTCAGGTGGGCAGCTGCGTCAGCATGCGTAGGCTGCACAGGAACAAGTAATAGGTTTATTCCAGGCTGAAAACAGAAGAAAGGAAACATTTTGGCTGCGGAGCCTTCTTAGGGTGTAAGAAAGATAGTGCAGTCAGCAAAGATAATGTAGCATGGGAAAACACAAGCCAAACTGGCTGCGTTCTCAAAGTAGAGTTTCTTAACTCCTATAGCTGAAAGACATCAGAAACAAAAATGATCCTGAAACTTGGTTCACACCTTCCCCCTCCTCTCAACGACAGACTTGTTTTCTTCTAATTCTCTCTGTTCACTTGTAGGCTCTCCTTACCTCTCAATCTCGCACCTCTTGATTGGCCACTCTGCCTCCCCCCTACACCTGCCTCCTCCTCTCTCCTGGCTTGTGTTTTCCCACGCTATATTATCTTTGCTGACTGCCCTATCTTTCTCACACCTGAAGGCTCTACAGCCGAGACCTTGTGTTTTCTATCTTCTCTTTTCAGCATGGAATAAACCTATTATTGTTCCTTTACATCTGACAATTGTTGGCTCAGTCTGGATGAACAGCAGTATTTATAAACACTCCAAGAAAAAAAAAAACAACAAGCAATACTTCTGAAGTGCTTTGACACTTTTACAACTTTTATCAATTCCACTTTTAGAAAAAGGAACTGCAGATTATGGGTACGACAATTTTAAACATCATTTTGTTTCAGATACATACTGCTTCCATGTTTCTCTTCCTGGATGAAAGCATATGCTCAGAGAAAACATCTCTTTCCTCCTGTGGAACCTGCAGCCTGTCCCACAGCTCCTGGATCTGGCTGCGGTAGGCGGCACACACAGCTTCATTCTGAGCCTTGCGCTCTTGCAGCTGGAAAGCATAAAACAGGAATCAGTTTAGCCTGGGTGTCATGACACCTGCTACCAGAAGAAAAGCCATGATAACAATTACCCTGCGAGTCCTTACCTGCGTTAGGAGCAATTTAAGGCTGGCAATATTCTCGGTAGACAGACAAAAAGCCTCCTCATCCTCACACACCACATCCCTTTCAAAACTGGTGTCTGGCAAATGATCCAGCTCCTCCATGCACAAGATAATTTGCCTTTTGATGCCAACAAACTCGCTGCGTCTCCGCTCCTTAATATAAGGGACACAAAGATGTTTCACAATTAAGAGATTTGACAATATCTTCACTTCTGTAATAGAGGTGACATTACAATACAAGTGCATCCATGACAGTCTGCAAAGATCATTATCTCTATAACACATCATTAGCATTTTTTGAGACACAACTGCTATACTATTATTACACAATGACAGGAAGTGTAGGAATGAATTAAGGGAGAGATTAAGACTAACAGACCTTTTCTGCCACGAGGTTGGCAATGTGATGGCGGAAGTGGTCTAGCTGCTCCAGGGTGGGCACGGCGTCGCTGTCGATGCAGTAGGAATCGCTGCACAGAATGTCACACAGGTCCTGGTCCTGCTCTTTCAGTGCCTTTAGCTCCTGCATTCTCTGATTCTTCTGTTTTAACATCACCTCCAGCCGCGTGCGAATATCCTTTTCCAGCTGCAGCACTGTGCTGCCTTCTTCTTCCTGTTAACAAGAGCTTCTTTAACGACTGGAAAGACAGGCATGCGAATAACAGGCCAGGACTCGGGCCAAAACTGCTGCAACTGTTAAGCTAATGCAAGTTCCCCCACTCCCTGGTTACCCAAAACAAAAATTTGAGCTTTTTTTGATTGTATAAGTGATTAAGTAACCTACACCACACAACAAACTTCTAAACTAAACTTCCAAAATGTATCTGACAGAAACAGGACGTATGGCACAAAACACTTCACTTTGGTTTCCTTCATCACTCGTACCAGTATCCGACGCTTGCAATAACTGGATTTTTTTGCAGTTACCTCAAACGATGTCAGGTGAAGCTCCCTGCACAGCACATCCAGCTCTTTGCGGCACATTTCAATACTCTTCAGCAGCCGTTCCTTGAGGTTCTCTTCTTCTGCAATCATCATGTCCAACAGCCCCTGTGGAAATGATCTCTTATTGGTTCTGCGACTACTATCTCACTTATCCACATGCGTGGCACTTAGGCAAGCAGATATAGTTTAAAGCCTCAAAGTACTCACTTTAATGTGCTTTTTTACCACATCCGTCCTCTGCAATCGCTGGTCCTCTGGGATCCCAATCTCCTCCCAGATGTCTTTCAGTCGGCAAAGGGCTTTATTCAGACATGCCACAGACTCTGCAGCCAGAACCTCACTGGCAAAGCAAGAATTCAACCGTCAGCTCCGTGATAATGGTCAAAGCTCACCCAAGAACAACCCTAGTATGAAACTTACAAAGCAGGGATCCCACTCTTGCATACCCCTTTGTGTTTAATATTTAATATCCCAATTATTAAGGTTATAGCAATCAAAAAAGGCATACTGGCTGCATTAAACCAGTTTAACTTCAGGGAAATCTGGTAGTCATGAAGTGCTTGTTCTGCATCTAGGACCTGTTGTTTTATTCCGAATACTTTGATATTGCAGTCTCAGAAAACAACATGAACATTATGCTTTAGACTTACAGTTTATTAGAAATAACTAGGTTTGAAAAAATGTGCCCTCATTTACTTGACTAGCCTGTAACAGAATTTTGTTTCAGAGCTACTGTGAGAGTATTCAGCATACTTGGTTTAGAGTTACTCCACCATATTGGAATGTTAATTATTTGTAACAGCTACTAAAGCTCTAATCTCCCCTGGGTAAGACACACCCAGTCTGTTGTGCCAGTCTCTTCAAAGATTTTAAATGTAAATAAGAAGATTCTGTTTAAAAACGAGTGGATTAAACCACCTTTGTTTGCTGCGACACCAGCTGAATGTGTAGTGGTTTATTTCAAAGCAACATTTGATCAATCAGCTTGAATTTTAAAAACTAATGTCTTTGGAATTGATTACTGCTCAGCGACAGTTCTATTGCCTTGCAGAAACTTTTGAAGAGACTTTGCACTTAAAACAGAAAAAGAAAATTTAAGACTTTGGGCCCTTATTCCTTGTACTGTTTATGCAGAACATTATGAACCAATAAGATCTTTAACAGGACAAACACCTGCACATTCAACTTTCAACCTCACGATTATTGTAAGATTATTGTATTGTGCAGCGATAAGATGGATGTCGTAAATATTTAAATTAAAAAAAACAATACCTCACAATATTGTATCTGGACTGCATAAGGAGGATTATGTATAAAGATTTGCTTTCTATAAATATACCAGCACTAGCACCATTATCGCTTTCTGAGGTTACACCCACAAAACAGGTGCAATTCCACCCTTAGTGAACGACGCAGTAGGAAAATGTAAAAGATGATTATGTTCTTCAGTTCATTTTTTGGCACTTGTAGCATTATCGGCTTCAATTAGCTACCATAGCTTTATACATTGGGGCTGTAGTTTGATTAGGGCCCTGGCTTCAAACTCCAGGCGAGACATTGCTGTTGTAACGCTGAGCAAGGCACTGCATCAAGCCTGTTCCAATTACACATACCCAGCTGTAGAAATGGCTGCAAGTATTAGTAGCTTTGAATACAAACTTCAAATAAATTAATAATTAGTAATAACATGGCGTGTTTTTGAGATCATAGCATTCAACGCGTATCTAGGTACACGAAATATTGAATGATGCATTTAATTCAGTATTACATTCTAGAAGAACTCCCGAAGCAGTCGCGGGATGGACATCAATGTTCGCTTCATGAGCATGAATTGGTGCCATTGAAACGAAATCACTGCTGGCCTCGAAGCGACGTGTATTTTTAAAGCGACTTTGTTTCGAGTATTGTAGACTGAGGACGCCTGCGGTCGTATGCGTACGAAGTGCGGTTAATTTTCCTTTTAGGGATCTCAACCAAATGTTTGTTTTGATTCGAGACGCTAATAAACAACTGCAATGCGGGGTTGGACCTTCAAAGCACAGAGGGATATAAAAAGACACGATCAAAACTCGGCTGCCTAGTATTTGACATTTTCTTTATGCCACCTGATTAATTTCGGAAGTTAACTTAACCAAAAAAAACATGTTTAATAAAAAAAAAACATTTAATAACTTACCTTTTGCGCATGATGAGACTCCTCGTATTCCTCAAAGATCCCCTTGATTCTCCTATTTACTATGTTTTTGATATACTTTTTTTCACAGCAGTCTTTTGCATGCAGGCTTCGTCGGGAAATTTCTGACCGTTTCTCTTTCAATTCAAATGCTGCGACTGAACAGTCGTCTCTTTCCATTGGCTAGGACAGGCGGGACGTCATCAGGACCATAGCAACAGGAGCATTTCTGGCCGTGGTTGCGTATATCCGGCGTGTTTCCAGGTTGGGTGTTTAGGTAAGGAATGGTGTGGTGGCCTTAAAAAAGACACCGAAATTATATTTGTAGTTGGAAGTATACAGTACACGATTCAGTTGTTTTTGCGTTCATGTGCATTCTCTGCGTCTAATTGTGCTTTTGCTTCTTTTTTTAAACCACCTTTTCGATCTCTTATGTTATGTTGCATAAATGTAATAATTGGTGTGTTGAGAAAATGTTTTGCATTTTAAGTTAAATCACATGTAATGAACGGAAACTCTGGACACGTGAAAAAAAATGAATTTTCTAGTTCAATAAAACTGAACAGAGCTCGAATCCGCACTACTTTTTTCGTTGTGTAAAACGTTACTAGATCGTAGAACGAAGCATTTCGTCTTGTATAATTTTACGGTAAAATTATGTTTAATCTATTCATTTGAATTTGTAATTCAATCACAATCCACATGGTAAAAATACCCTTAAATCTTTCATCCTAAAATACAAGTTCCATAGTAGTTGCAGTAGTTCCCTGATGACGTCACGTAAATGCACACTTTAAAAAGAACCAGGCGTGCCCTTACCTTTATAATTAGGAAAATATGATGATTGCGATCAAATTGAGAATTTCAAGTTCTTTGTATTTTGAATGTGTCCAGAGCCACTTTGTAAAGTTTGGCAAAAATGTTAAATAAATGATGCAATCAAAAATATTTACAACTGAAAACTTTATTCATCTTCAAATCTGGTCCTCAACACCCCATGTGTACATTCTCTTCCGCTTCTGTTAAAATCCAGCTTCACCATTTTCAGAAATCCAAGCACAGGGAGGATTCAGACCCAAAGAATATGATCAGAAGTTCGTTATACCAGTCTTTCAACAGGAGCTTGGTGACAAAGACATTCCTAAGCCAGGGCCTAGAACCAGTTTAGGTGATGGTAGCAATTTCTTTTCAACATGCCCTGTTAATGAGAGCGGACTTGTCTATTTCTGTCATACTGAAACAATGACAGAATTTCCCCTTGAAAAATTACAGTAGAAATGTCTTAATTTAGTACGACCACCGAGAATCATCTTTTTATGTAGTGATGAGATATGTTTCATATATTTGTGAAATTAACTCATCTGAAATATCTCAGTGCAACATAGTGTGACCACTTGTTCTTTCTGATGTGATCACATTCCTTGTGGGGGGTTACAGCTGTTGAGGGATATCTGGGCATTCAGTGCAGACATGTTTGCTCCTCCATTAGTAAGGTGCATGAAGAAGACCTTATATGAGCAGCTCACTTCCTTATATGAGCAGCTCAGCATCTGATCCACTGCTGCATCATGCACAGGCTCCATCAATGGCCGTGCTGCCAAGCCAGGAGACGCAACACCTGCACACGTACAGAGAGATCACTTAATTGGCCATATACAATTTATTGTATATGGAAATTTGTCTTTTGCATACCCCAACTTGCTCTCCATGAGACACACAGAGAAGCTTGGGGTCAGAGCGCAGGGTCATCCATTTATACGGCGCCCCTGGAGCAGCTGGGGTTAAGGGCCTTGCTCAGGGGCCCAACGGAGTAGGATTCCCCCTGCTGGCCGTGGGATACGAACTGGCAACCTTCCAGCCACAGGCGCAGATCCTTGGTCACAGAGCCACCGCACCACACCCAGATGTGATTCTTACATGTTGGCTGCCATCCCTGCAGAATTTTCTAATGCTCTTATCCACGGACAAATGGAAGGTAGAGAATCAAACATATGCCATATTCACAGCACTGACTGTACAAAGTGCTTGTCGGGGAAAAAAAAAATATGTTGCTATGAATTTCACACTGAAGCTGCTAGATTTGTTTCCTTGCAGTCTTTTGAGAGAAGGGAAACAAATCCAGACAATTATAAGAAAGTAATACCATGCCAGTTAATGTAGTTTTCTTGTTTTTATACTGAAACTGTTGTGTGACCAGTGTCTTGTTTACTGGCTTATATCAATGTTGTTCAAATGTAGGACAGTTAAAAATGAAGTGTATTAAACCTGGTCTGCAGTTATTTTTCTGGAATTCACTTGATTTCATGTTGCCCTGAAATGGACTGGTTTGATCTGTCTTGTGCTCAGGCAGACTCAGGGCTGCCTCAGTCCTTAGCAGGAATAAAAGAGAGGTAGATGGATAGTCTGTCTTGTAGAATGGAAAATAAGATTTGCTTGCTCTTTGGTCCTAAAGACTCTAGCATTGCATCATAACTACAAATTTAACATCAGTATCTAATTACACAAGATAAAAATGGATGGCAAGGAGTATTAATCTTATCTTTTTAAGAGATTTAAGTTTTTCTTCTCTCCTCTGATATGAAAAATGCTTAAATATCATAGTTATATATTCTACCAATATATTAACAAGAGAATCAAAGAAGAAATTGTTTTTTTACAGAGAAATGCCTTGTGGAATCTTAATCTGCAGCCTGAGCTCCCAGTTTTCTCTCGTGGAAATCACTGTTCTGTTGTCGTAGCGCCCCTGGTGTCCGTTTATGGAAGTGCTGTAGATGAGTCATTCTCAACTATCCAACAACGCCTCCAGCAGTCGGGCACTGTTAGTGATGGCTGTTGTCACGATGATGAACCTGTATCCTAAAAAAAAATTAAAGGACAGTTTTTTTAAAAACTTTTTTGTTCTATAAAACTGAATTGAGTTTCTGGTTTAATTTAGGTTACATTTAGTCACAAGAAATCATACCAGAAAACGCGTGCTGTACTCAAAGACTTCAGTCTCAGCCTAAGGCCCTTCCGGACCACTCTGTCTGAGAACCGTGCAAAAACCAACTCCTCATGTTTTTAATTGACCATCAGGATCAATAAAAGAGTTAAGGACCTGAACTATTATGGAGCTGTAGAAAGGGCCACATGCCAGGTGAGCTTTATGCCTGTACATTATCTCTGCTTAGGTATTTAATGAACGACTATGAAATCATGAAACAGTCATGAAATGCAGTTTGAAATGTAGCTATACCTTACAGGCAAATCCATTCCATATTTTTTTATTTATTCCTGTGCCTGATGTGCACTTGAATCTTCCCAATTGCACACCTCAGCGTGGAGGAGCAGATATTTAACACACGTACCTGCCCTAGCATGCTTGACAGTCACTTCCTGGAAAGGCTATGAAGCTACTGTATTCAAATAGCTTTTTTACAGATTCCCTCCCAGGTTTGCACCACCCAGTTAATGAAAGCAGATGATTGCAATATGGATATTAGAAGAGATGAGAATTGTAACGATTCCACTAAAACTAGAGATTAATGCTATGTCTAGTATGGAGGGCTGTTGCTTGATTTTTTATGAATACATTATATGATCTGGGTTATTTGCACCCCTGGTTATCCCCCATTAACTCTGAGCACCATCTGTGCAGTTAACCATTTCTTTTGTTGCATTTAATTCCACTACAAAGTGGAGTAAAAACAAAGCCATCCTTGTGAATATGAATCTGTATTCCCTACAAACAGAATTAAACAATCACTAACACTGTATTTGTGTTCTTATTAGAAGCCTTCAAGAACGACTTCCTCACCTCTCTCTTTCCCCAGGAAGCGCAGGGCTGAGATCTCTGAGTAGGTACAGCCACCCAGGAACATGACGAGGATGGTGTTCTGGGAGTCACTCCTCGGCTTCACCTCCTCGCTGCTGCCTGCTAGAACACACACAGGGGTGTCTGCTGGGGGCAGGTTTCTCTGGGGCTCCCACATCCAGTGAGAAAACCTAAACTCCGTTGGGCCCCTGAGCAAGGCCCTTAACCCCAGCTGCTCCAGGGGCGCTGTACAATGGCTGACCCTGTGCTCTGACCCCAAGCTTCTCTCCCTGTCTGTGTGTCTCATGGAGAGAAAGCTGGGGTATGTGAAAAGACAAATTCCTATGGCAAGAAATTGTACATGGCTAATAAAGTGATCTTATCTTATCTGGGCAACATCTTCTTAATAGGAGTTAAAGTGGAACGGCAATGCTATTTTTATTTTGCGGGGTTAGAAAGAATCGTCATTAACGAGTGCATTTCAAACCAGACTAAAAGTGAAATGTACACAGTAACTTGTAAAACCTCCATGAACATCACAAGTTGAAGAAATTTCCAGGTAGGCACAGCACCATATTCTGTGATCAGAACGAGAGAACAAGACTCCGGTGACGTGTTGCGGTCTTAATACATTGTAAACAAGCAGGCTTTGAGGACAAATACTGTTAACTCTACGTGCACATCACATTGGAACATTTCTGCGGTGAAATGTCTGCTGCGCAACCTGTACTTATTTGCTCTTACATCATGTTACATTAGTCATTATAGTCACTAGTGAGCAAGAAGGGCCGCATCACGGCACAATTCGTGGGTTTGTGACAACACGGCGACTTACAGTACTTTCACAAAGTTCACGATTTTGTGCTTAATTCGAAATTGGTCATTTTTTTCTATAACGGCAGTTAATTTTTTATTTGGTTACCAGGATTCAATAACCGGTCTCAGAAATTTGGACTTTAAGATTAAATGAGAGAACAAAATGCCCATCTAGGTTGGCCTTATTTGTAACTGTTCTTATGTTCATGAATGACGCAGGTCAGCAGTGACTACAGATTTCCATGACACTGCAAGCCTCCTTGCTTGCACAAGTACCAGAGGACACAAACCAAAACATATTTCTGAAAACAACAGGCACATATTTCTGAAAACAACAGGCTCTTCTCTAAACACAGCGTCACGTAAGTCAGGAATTCAAGTACCCAGCTGTTTCATCGGAGTTGATATCATCGCTTCTTTCAAGAAGCAGCGAGATGAGGTCCTGGGTGGGACCCTCAGTTAAATTCCCTAGAAAAAGCCACACAAGCTAGATGGACGACTTCCTCTCGTTTGCAGGCTTCATCATGCTCCTTACCTGTTGCCACAAACTCATTCCCATTGAGCAGCCGCGTGACTTCTTCCAGCCCAGTCCAGCCGCCGCGTTCCAGAACCTGCGGATTCCAGACGGTCAGGACTCTTGTACAAACAACACGCTAGAACATCTCGCTTCTGCTGCGAATCCCCCTAATGATCAATTCTGTAAATGTTCACACCCCCTCGCCTGGTTACACAGGAGAGGCTACATAGATCCATTCATGAGTTTGCTATTTTAGTTGCCAAGAGTTTGTGTTGGAAAGGGTCAAGAGAAAGCAGTGCAGTGAGATCTTTCCTTCGAACTACACGGCACAAGCGTAATGTGGTCACTGCTAGTATCCACACTTCAGCGTCAGTGTCCTCAGTCCTCATCTCTCTCTCCCCCCGGTGTTTCAGTTCTTTACAGTACAATTTCAAAGTGTACGCTACATTTGGTGCTGATTTTGTCTTGTTGTAGGAAGTTACCACGTTTCTTTTTTCCATTTAGCAAAAATTGTGATTTATACATTTCATGAAAGGTAATTCTCTACATGTGATTATGTAGCTGCTAAGAAAGAGTCACTACTGACTCATGAAAAACCTAAGGTACATAAAGACTTGCTAAAGGGAACCTTTTATACAGGTAGGGAGGGGGTGTAATTGCAGATTCACTCACTCTGTCCTCTTAACACTGCTGTTGCAATCGAACAATGTCTCCTGAGGTGAATATCTCTGCAAATTGAATAGGAACCAAGCATGGCAAGACTCCAACTTTCCCTGGCTCTGCAAGCCCAGTTCCTATTACACACTGGCGCCAGAGCTGACAAAGATTCTCTCTTCCATTTTAGAATTACTAATCTATCCTGCAGTTCAGAATAATGTCTGGAGTTAGGATGGGCACTTGGCTAAATCAGGCTTTCAAAGTAACACAATAATCCCCAGAGCCTTCTAATACTTATTCTTGGCATTAATCTAAACTTTTGAAAGCAAAATACTGGAACATGTAAAATGGTATATACCGTATGTGTCAAGTACGTGACAGTTGTTGGGGCTCACCTGCTCGATGAGTTTGCAGCTGAGGGGGATGTAGGCTCCGCTGAAGATGTAGGCCATGTCCCGTGGGGTACGCAGGTCATACTCTTCGCCTGACTTGGGCACCTGTAGACAGACAAGTGCAGTTGCAGCACAGCCAACCTGCCGTCGGTGCTCAGTTTTGATGAAGTGCAGCGCTACTCACCAGAGCCAGCTTCTTGCTCAGTGCTCGGAAATTGCTTTTCTTTGCCAGGGAGGAGAAGGCATCAGTCAGCTTTCCTGAAAACAATGCATCTGTGTTAAAGAACATCAGAATGAATCCTACCTTAAGCCCTGTCTGCAATGTGTGCAGTCTGTCTGAGCCTAGGATTTGTCCCATTCAGGTTACCTACCCAAGCAGTGACATAGCAAACATGCAAAATAAAAAAATGCAAAAGCCCAAAATGCTTCTTTTTAACGACTTTATTCTTACTTTTTAATACTTCCGGGATCTCTTTACTTTAGAGAGCACAAACCGCACTAGGTCTCTGATGACCTGCACCCTTTGCTGTGGCTGTTTGTCTGTGTGAATCCAGAAATGATCCTCCTAACAGTCCCTCTTTTCTCAGCTGCGTTAACATCACCCACAGTGAGTGCTATTACATCCGACTCCTATCTGCATTGCTCCTGATTTCCTCGTCTGCACGCCTGTCTTAGTGTCTCACCGGCGGTCCTGTCGTTGACCAGTTTGCCCACTTTGCTCTCCATGGCAGTGAGAGTCTCCCCAGGGTTCTGCTCCACCAGCAGGCCCAGCTGGCGCAGGTTGGCAAACGTCAGGAGATGCTCTGTGCCGTAACTCTTGGAGGCAGAGAGAAAGAGGGGCTTGAGCAGTTACTGGCACCAGGAAGAATCTCTGTGCACAATCACGTGACAAAACAAACTCTCAATAGCAGTAACAGAACACCAAATGCTCTATCACCATTCTGGTGACTTCGTAAGACAGTTCCATAGTCAAGGTCAGTGGAAAATGACAGTAAGCTGTTTTAAAACAAACATTTAGACTTTTATCATAGTAGTTTTTAAATATATTTTAACTTACCTGCAGGTATTGAGCTTTCAAAGATCGATAGTCTTTGGGGAGTAGACCTGGAAACAAAGAACAGGCAGAATCATGGATAACCAGTTGGCTTTCATGAAGCCTAAAGGCTTCTCTCTCGCAAGTCACAGGAGTGCAAAGAGCTCCCAGGGGATGAGACTCACCATTCTCGGTGAGGGAGAGAAGGCACAAGAGTCGCAGGCTGTCGATCATGGAGACCTGAGGGCAGCAGCAGCAGCAAAGGGGTAACTCAGTCACTTACTTAATGAATAGCAAATCATGGGAATGGGATAGTGATTAGGTAGTTGTGAACACTGTTCCCCCATCAAATTAAATGCCCAAACACACAGTTAGAACATCTACTGTACACCGGCCTCATGCAAGTAGCTTTCTGATGAGCCTTACTGTTTTAACAGATTACTTTCATGTTTGGTTATACAACTTGATGTCACCTCTGAGATTCTCACCTGCCTGTTGATGTGCTCCTCTATATAGGTGATGCACTCTCGGATTTCAAACCCCTCCAGCAGAGCTGTAGCAGGAAATCAAATCAAAAGAGGTCTTGTTTAACAACACAATGCCCTAGTAATTTAGAATATTGCGTAAAACTGTGGACATCACATTCTATAAAAAATACTGCTAGACTGAAGTAGAATAACTCAGTACATTCCTGAGCTAAAATGAATCTCCCAGAGCACACATGCAGACATTTTGGGTAAGTAAATTAAAAACCAAGACCAGAAGGCACTTTCTATATAAAGAGCTGTTGCTTGCCAGCCATGTCATTGAAGCTGATACCCTATCTTCTTTCAAGAAATGGCTAGATGAGATTCTCTGATCAATTAGCAACTAGAAACCAAACAAGCTAGATGCACTAGCTTGCCTTCTCTTGATGTTAGCCTTGGTATACAGGAGTTCTTATGTAGTTAAGAATGGAAAAGTTCAGAGTGCATGACACAACTCTCATGTTACTGTGTACATTGCATGACAAAGCTGAATTTGCAAACAAGTGTCAGAATCAAGCAGAGGACAGAAGCTATTAATTTATTTTATATTAAATTGATAAAGCACAAAGATCAACCAATCCCAAATGATGGTGAAAAGGACATTCGGGAACTGCACGAAGAGAAACATGGACTCACAGTGCTCTGTCTTCAGGAGCTCCTGAAAGTCCTGTTTGGTTTTCTTCTTCATGATGGACTCACTGGCACCGATATCTAGGGGAGATAATATATTCTGCATCCACAATTAAATAATATTTGGGCTTCAGAAATAAGGCATTTACTTTAAAACAGCTGTATTTTTATGTTTGTAGCGGGACACTGTTGAAACGACGAGGCCAGGACAGTACAGGGAGCCTGAGAATTAAGCACGGAGTGCTGAGTGCCACAGTACTACACCCCAGTGCTCAAACAGGAGGGACTGGGAAGGCAGTGGGTCTGACTCGGAGGACTGGGAGGGCAAAGCTGACTCAGGACAGAAACTCACGCAAACTCAGAAGGCGGTGCTCCTGTTTTAACCCCTTCAGCTCCTGAGAGACAAAATTCTTCATCTGCTTAATATCCATCCCACACCGCTTCTGCAGAGAGAGGGTGGGTCAGTTATGAGAAAAGCCAGCAACTGAGGCACACAGAACAGAAAGATATTGACCGGGCAGGTTTCGGTCATAAGGGGAGAAGACTGGAAATCCATAGACCACTTTCAGCACTACATTGTCATTTCTACTGAGAATTTCTGAAACCACAGATTAAAGAAATAAGAAGAGTATTTTAAATATATTAGCGATTTCTGAGATAGTTTTTCTAACCAAATGTCGGTGTTTAAAGCAGGCAGACATTGAAAGGCGAGTACTCACATCATATGCAGTTTGCAGGTTCCGGGCTTTTTGACTCAGGAACCCAAAGACATTGGAAAAGTGCTCATTCCTGATTTCACTGAATACCTGCAACACAGCACGCAGGGGTTCAAACTCTATACGGCAGGTGGCAGCCACTCGCACAGCACTGTCTCTCTACACACCTTATCCTGAGAATTCAGCATCACCTTCACACTCTTGTCAGAGGAGCTGACCTCAGGACTGAACTCCACACTGCCTGCAGGCAAAAGAGCATGGACATAATTATTGCTCTGGAGCAATAACCATATGGAACACATGTCAAGAAACAAAGCACAAGGCTAGGTGACAAACCTACTGTATTTCTTGGATTCGCAAAGCTGTTTTGACATCCCTGTACTGTACTGCTTTGAAAACACTGTGCTCACAATTAAATGAAATTATCTCCACAGGAACTAGGAGTTATGAGTGTTTCCAGCAGTAAGATGACGCATGGCATATTTATGACGTTCAGCTGTACAATATCTCCTTTTGATGTATAGCAGAATTCCACATATTATTCAATAATATGTTTTAGGTCAGGCTTCAAAGAGAATACCAGTGATGGACAAAATCTGTATGCGTAAAGGAAGCCAAAGACAGCACTCACCACATTTGATCCTGAATGTATCATCCACTAGTCCTTCATAAACAACCTGGGAGCACAGTGGGGTCACAAAATCCACATCTACGGAACAGAGACAGTGGCTGAACAAGCATAAAACAATGTAAATACCATTGAGACCACTTTCACACCTACCAAAACATGGAGCACAGAAACTTTGGAGAGATACAAAGAACCTTCTTATATTGACATGTACGGTATATTATGGCAAATGCAAAGATGGAGGATTCCTGTGTTTACTGTAATTTTTTTTTTTAATTACTATTTTAATCATTTACTCATCCAGGTCACAGGAGTCCTGTTGTATGGAAAGCCAAGAAGATCATGGCCAACTAATCCCAGCTCAGGCCAAGGCTTTAACAAGCACAAACGGAGTTTATTTAGCTCTACAATTAATAAAGAGGATGTGATCACTTCAGAAGTACTAAATGAAACTTCATCTTGTTCACCCCTCCTTACAGCACTTCACCCTGATGTATTTCAGGGTTCCTTTCCCCTGTCTTTTTCTTCCGGAGTGGCTCCATACCTCGGTCAATAAGGAAGACATTCCCAATCTCAGGCTGCTGGGTCTTCTGCTCCCCGTCCTCCACCAGATCCCTCCACATATCATACGTCATCTAAAACCCAGAGGGACACAGGCCATTCTCAGGACACTGGTGGGACTGGCTGGCGTAGTCAGACTGTAACGGTGATGGCTGGGAGCCTACCTTGGCAGAACGACCAATCCCATACACCTTTAAGAAGGGGCCATAGAGAGAGTTCAGGAGGTGGAGGGATTTGCTTGCAGTTGTGATCCAACGCTGGTTCCCCTCCTGGAAGAAACAAGGGCAAAATGACATATGTCCTATACAACACTGACTTGATCTACAGCTGCAATTATGCAGTATATCACTGTATAAAGAAGGTATTGTTGTCTTAACACTGTTGATCGATGCAGTTGTATTAGTGTTTTCAACTGCACAATTAAGACTATAAAAAGTAACATAATCGTACTAAACTGTGGCTATACACCCTAGATAAGTCAAAACAGGAACAGCTCAGATTAGTCATTGAAGAGATTTCACGATAACACCCATAATCCACTGTCCACTCACGGTTTCTATAGTGACATGCCTTTTCATTATCACAGGTTTAAGTGTCCATACTTAATCATCTTTAACAGGCTAAGCCATCTCTGATTTATCTCTAACGAGGTGAAGAAATTCCTCAACAGCCAAAATTCCACAGCCTCCATAGATCGACGGGAGATTCTGTGGCAACATGTATTCTGACGGTGAGAATATTTAAAGGCAAGAAATTTTGTCTGTTACACTGTGACAGTCTTGCCTGCTTACCAGGAAATTGTCTCTGAAGATCTCTGGAAGCTCCAGGCTGATGATGTCATCATCCAGCGGCAGGAGGTAGAAAGCCCACTCGTCAGTGCTGACATCTGCAGGAGTGAAAGGGTAGACAGGTACAGTAAGTGTCGTTCCTCCTTTCCCAAGACCTCCTCGCAGACTGGCTGATACCTCCACTGCTGCAGGAACAGCACAGGAACTTCTGGGTGAATTTACAACAGAATTGATTTAGAATGACTAGCATGCTCAATTGCTAATAATTACATAAAGGGAGAAACTATCAATATTGTGAATACTCAGTGACATTTCAAGAACTGTAAATGAAGACATACATTGCAATACATTAAGATGTTTTTTAAAAAAAACATACTCTGCAATTATTTATGTAAACATCAGACAACACACATATCATGATGTAACTCTCTGGGTTGCAGTATGTGTCAGGCGTCTCACTGTGAATGAAGACGTACTATACAGGTGTCCTGTATACCCACCTCCGTAAACTCCCTGTTCTTCCAAAACGATTTCACAGGCATAAAACTGAGCATAAAAATAAGAACATACAGTTAAAACCCAGCCAATCAAAAGCCCTTTTTAATACCTCATCTGTCTTGACCCCAGGTGAAGGAAAAACCTTGAGTTACTGAAGTACTGAATCTGGACAGTTTTTTCTTTGACTAGTCTGAACTCTTAAACACAAAAATCGTTTAAGGAAAAAATCAAAAGGAAATCAATGTTTATTCATTTGAATATATTTCATGCATCTGGACCAAATGTAAAAAAAACATAACTGTTTCTGATTTCTTTTTGAGGGTAATGCTGCCACTCTGTCTGCAGCCAATTAACTTCTCAGTCAGCACAGAAGAAAAGCACTTTGAATGTTTTTTTACCAAAATAGGTTGTTCTATTCTCTACCACATTTACAATATGTTCTAAATAAATAAGGAAGTGTTATGCTCATTTGAGTTGGCCAATCTGAAGTGCAATAATTAATTTCTGTGCTTCAAGCTCCTAAAAAGGAACCAGAAGGTACTCCCCAGATGAGGCCTGGAGAGCTCACCTTCTGTGGGCAGAAGATGATCTTGTATCCCCTGAGTCTTCCAGCTGCCTTGTCTGTGTTCACGATCTCTGGAAAAGAAGGAGGTGGAGATAAATGTTTCTATTCTGGTTTAAAAGCAAAGATGCTCACAAAAATATGTCAAATTTGTCATTTTCTATTCACAACGAATAGACTGCCTATGCCTGAAATTAGTTTTGCCTGAAGTAAATGCACTTTGCTTTATCTCATTGCTGCCTCTTCAAAGACATAGCAAGAGTTACAGAGATCTCTAACTTTCTCCTCCCATCCCCAATCTGTTTTTCGTCACTGAATCTCTCCCCCGATGGCCCTACTCACCAGCAATCCACTTCACTGTTTGTATCCTTGGCCGAATCAGGAAGCACAGCCTACAGGAAGCACAGCAACATTTTGTTTGTTACATTGTATGCTGCAATACATTCTGCAGTCTTTGTTCCAGAAATGGCAAAAACATGATTTCACAAAAAGGGGTAAAAGCACAACCAAACATTATGATTAAACATCATGTAACTATCCTTTCCACGAGTTAGGAAACTTCAGTAAAATGTACAGCATACATAAAACAAAGCACACAAGCTGACATTTCAACATCCCTCTAGATTTTTGTGGCACATTGTGAGAGTCTCCCTGGATTTCTTTTCTGTGATTCAAAAAGGTAAAGATTTAAACCAAGTGAAATGTACAGGTCACCTATATTAGGTGCTTTATTGGAGAGTTCAGAAAATACTCACTGATTGCACGTGCTGACGATGGGTTTGTTCTCCAGTTTGTAAAGCTTGTCCACTTCATGTTGCTGGAAAGCAGGCAAAATTGAGTGAGACTGCAGGTGAACCTGCCTCACTTCTACTAAACCCCTGATCAGAATCCCCATCAAAGCCAAAGAAACCCAAGCATGCAGACACTGCAGGGCGCTATGCAGGAAATATGTGATCCCTAAATAAGTGCAGAAGTGCTGGATTCTGGAGGTTAAAGGCAACAGAACACTGTGCAACACTGAAGAGGTCAGAGTTAAAAGAGACCTTGAGGGTGGAGACATTGGCAATGCGATCCAATGGGCTCATTAAGTCCGCTTCAATGAACAGGTCCTTCTTTCCCGGTAACTGATGATGAGAAGGGATAGGAGATCATTAATTACGTTTAATTACATTAAGGTTCATACTTGCATTCAGGAGCTTTTACATGCAGCACTGGTATTAATTTGCATGGAGAGGATGAATGAAACAGTAGAACTGAACATATCACAAAGATGATGAGATCATACTGTACAGAACCACAGTCCTGTAACAAACGCTCACAGCCGGACACAGCCATGTTGTACCTGCTCCAGCAGGTAGATGAGCTGGTCCCTGGCCAGCCTCTTGAGGAAGGAGAAGTCCGGTGGCTGGGGGGCATCTCTCCTGCTGCTGAGAGCCATGAGGGCAGAGGGTAGCCAGGGTGGTTCTCACAGCAGCTCGAAGCTGTCCCTGAAAAAGCAATCCATAGGCTCACACAGGCCGCTGAGTCCTGCAGTGCTGCCTTGTCCCACACTGCAGGGTTACTGAGAGTTGTTCCAAGTCTTGAGAGGTGATCACAGCAGGCACAGATCCTGGATTTAAATAAGAGCATTCTGGCATACACGTGCAGATACTGTAAGTCCTATGTTGATATAGGAATTAATCTATACTGTTGCTCCAATTAAAAAACAGAAAAACTGTCCAGTTTTCCAGGTTAAATTTCACACCTGTGATATGAACAGCCTACAGCGTGCGTTTGCAGCTACTGCACAGTGCTCAACAGCAAGATGACAAAGGCAGCTGGGTCTCTGTGTGCCCTGCTGTGTTCCTGGCAGTACACGTGGTGCTTGCTTGTGCCAGAATCCTCATTCTAAAGTTGTAGGTTTCGCTCAGATTCAGAACGATAGACCATTAGTTCAATGAGTTCAGTTCATTGAGTTATTAGTTCACAGTTTAGGTTCAGTCCGGTATTTCTCTGCTGAAGTCCTGAGTTTAGAGCAAAACAAGAACAGATGTGACAGCACAGATGCTCCTTGTAATTTTAACAAATTTAACAAATCACAGAAGCAGGGCTGCACAGTGACACAGGGGTTTAGATTGCTGCCTTGTAGCACTGGGGCACTGGTTTCAGTTTCTGGGTTGGTATCTGTGTGGAGTTTGTATGTTTCCCCATTTTGTGGGTTTTGCTCAGGGTGCTCTGGTTTCCTACCACAGCCCAAAGACATGCTGGCAGGTTAATTGGCCTCTGGGAAAACTGGCCCTGGTGTGAGTGAATGTGTCTGTGTGTGTCCTGGGATGGACTGGTGTCCCGTCCAGTATATACCCTGCCTCGTGCCCGTTGCTTGCTGGGTTAGGCTTCGGTTCCCCAGCGACCCTGTACTAGATAAAGTGGTTAGAAAATGGATGGATAGATGGAAATCAAGAAAACTCACTGGTCAATTAGAAATTAACAAAATTGCTTTAAATTCATCTGGTTAATTTTAATTTTAAACAATAGTCCTACTATTATGAATGCATCTACTACTATTATATTGTGATGTACAGAAATTATAAACATTGCACCATGGAGATCATTCTATGCAGGACTCTGTGAGAGTTAGCTTACTGTGCTATTTTAATAGCTAATGTGTCCTCCAATACGCTGTAGTTTACAATGTGCCCATTGTCCTCCATGTAAAATTATCTGACGCGAACATGTACGCGGAACGTAATAAAGATCTTACCAACTGGTTTCTGAGACGATAAGATGTGAATAAATGGCCCAACAGATGACTTCCAATATGGTCTGGCTACCACTCAGTTTAAAAGTGCGCCAACACCCAGATATCAGTATATAATAAAATCGCAAATAATGAAACGCCACGTACAGACACAAAAAATACAAAGCGCTACGTACGTAGTGATAATCTATCATATCCCTACAGTCTTGCGTTAATTATTTGATACGTGTCGTCGTCATGTATTCATTTTACTTTGAAACGTATTTAAAATGCTCAGGACAATCTTATACATCTTATATTATTGCTACAGTTATATTTACGGAAATTCTCCTCTCTTCGTGTGGAAATGTACAGTAGATACCCTGAATTTACGTCGGGTTTCAATCGAGCCTTAAGCCAGCCACTATCATTAAATTAAATACACCACTCAAATACAATAACTAGATGACAACAGCAACACTTCGAATATATACTTTAAATGGCTGTAGTATTTACACATGCTCAATTAACAAGAAAGCAAATAATATTACCTGCTCCTCCTTTCCTCCTTGCGGAAGCAATTATTATTGTCGGTTGTTTCAGTCCGGATGATACAAAAGGGACACATCCTGGAAGAAGGGAAAGAAACTGTTTGATAGAACACGACGGGATTTATGTTCGTACTTAAAAATCACTATTATACAATATTTAATGGAGTAATTAAAATTGTATTTGATACTATTTAGAATTGTTACACGGTGATAAACTTAGATTTCACAATATTACTTTGGCAAATTAAAGTATATACTGTTACGTTTTCGTTTTGCGTTCATTAGTTGATCAAAAGCTCTATGTCGAAGGAGATAAAGAAGCAGCGTTTCAAGTTTTCTACCACAGGGAGGCGTCATTTTCAGAGGAGAGAAAAGTGAATCTTTTTTTTTTAACCTGTATCGCGCTGAAGTTAGATCAAATATGAGTTCGGATTCAGCGTTGCTATTGGAAACCGTGAACTTCGCCGCAGAGAAACACAAGTACCAGCGGCGCAAAGACCCAGAAGGCACCCCTTACATCAACCACCCCATCGGTACGGCCCGCCGTGCGGAAGGATTGCACTGCATTTCTTTGTTGAAAATATTTGCATATTTGCAGTTGAATAGATATTTCTGATGTATAACAGTGGCACACATGACGTACAGTATCATTTGTGTGTTGATTATTAACCTTTTCCCTTTGCAAACTTTTCTCAGAAGAAAATAGTCGAAACAAGCAAGCTGTTCGTCGCATGGTGATTTTCAATTGTTGATGTAAAAACGTTGCATATAATTTTGATCATTTTATAATTCTTATCAAGAGAATGCGTTAACAGTCGGGAGATGCTCTTTAAAAATGAATCACTTTTATAAAAGATTTGTAATACTAGTGTGATTGTTCTCTCCTGTTGCTTCCTTTAAAAAAAGGAATCCTATATCCTTGGACTTTTAGGTTTTTTTTTTCCATTCTAGGGGTGGCTAGAATTTTAAGTCAGGAAGGTGGAGTTACGGACATTGCAGTTTTACAGGTAAAAGCAATTTGATTCTTGTGTGCACAACATACCCCCCCCAGTAACAAACATGCAAGTACCTATGGAAGTATCCTTAGATACATGTCGGGCTACTCTCACTGCTTTAATCTGTACCAAATGAGTGACACATTTGGGTATGCATGTGTAGTTTACTTGCAATCTTATTAGAATAAACAATGTGAAAAGATATTTTCTTGTGTAACCCGAATAGTGTGCACTACATCAGTTGCAGTGTTCATTTTTGCATTAACAGATGTTCTAGGAATGGATTTGCTGTGTTTCTGCAGGTATGAAATGGTTAAGTAAATGAGAAGTATATTGATTTGTCTGTAACACTGCCTAATTTATTACCTTGAATCCGTTGATTAAATTTACATCTTGTTAGGATTGTATCACCTCCAGCACTGGAGGAGTTCAAATGTGTGGTCAGCTGTCAGTGAGCACGTTGTTGTGCCCCCCTGCAGGCTGCACTGCTCCATGACACAGTGGAGGACACTGACACCACCCTGCTGGAGCTGGAGGCCATGTTTGGGACGACAGTGGCGCGGATCGTCCAGGAGGTGACCGACGACAGGTCCCTTCCCAAACAGGAGAGGAAACGGCTGCAGGTGGAGCACGCCCCCCACTGCAGCCACCAGGCCAAGCTGGTCAAACTGGCTGACAAACTGTACAACCTGAGGGACTTGAACCGCTGCACTCCCACTGGTGAGTCCCCTACAGGGCAGCCACAGAGAGGCTCAGGGAGCTCAGCAGGTGTGAGCCTGGTCAGTACCTGGATGGGAGACCTCCTGGGAAAAACTAAGGTTGCTGCTGGAAGAGGTGTTAGTGGGTCCAGCAGGGGGCGCTCACCCTGTGGTCCATGTGGGTCCTAATGCCCCAGTATAGTGACGGGGACACTATACTGTAAACAGGCGTCGTCCTTCGGATGAGACGTAAAACCGAGGTCCTGACTCTCTGTGGTCATTAAAAATCCCAGGGTGTTTCTCGAAAAGAGTAGGGGTGTAACCCCGGCGTCCTGGCCAAATTTCCCATCGGCCTTTATCAATCATGGCCTCCTAACAATCCCCCTCTATGAATTGGCTTCATTACTCTGCTCTCCTCCCCACTGAGAGCTGATGTGTGGTGAGCGTTCTGGCGCACTATGGCTGCCGTCGCATCATCCAGGTGGGCCTGCACACTGGTGGTGGTGGAGGGGAGTCCCCATTACCTGTAAAGCGCTTTGAGTGGAGTGTCCAGAAAAGCCCTATATAAGTGTAAGCAATTATTATTATTATTATTTGAAAATACGATCTCCTTCACAGCTGTACATATACATTTTTATAGATCACTTTTTTGTGATGCGAGCCATTATGCAGTGTTTCAGATTTTGTCACAATAAGAAATGATAGCTTTGGGCCACAACAAAAATACGTTTTTGTTGTGTTGTAGCCTGACATTTGTGTGACTGCGACTGAACGTGTAAGCTCGTTTGTAGGGTTTTAAAAAAAACATTATGGCTCGAGTATATGTTTCGCAACAGGAACTCGGAGACATCCTGGTCTTGTAAATATTTGCATACCTTCTTTGTGCATGTTCCCCTTTTACTTTACCGCAAGATAGCTATTCCCTGTTATTGCCCTTTCAGTATAACTTGAACTTCCTTCTGTGCGTGCATAGGGTAATTTAATACTTTCCACTACAATGTGGTCAACCCCTTTCAGAGTGAGCAGACTCGAACGTCCTGATGTGTGTGATCTGCTGGGCGTGGAGCCGATGACTCTGACCTTGCGTTGTTTCAGGCTGGACAGCAGAGCGGGTGCAGGAGTATTTCCTGTGGGCAGCCGAGGTGGTGAAGCGTCTGCGGGGCACTAACATAGCACTGGAGGACAAACTGCAGCAGCTCTTCAGGGAGAGAGGCATCGAGTCCTGACTCCCATCGGCAGAGACACCCCGTCCACAATCTCTACACTACCTCTTCTCCGGTGCGGGGCTCCTTACTCACCTGACGGGAGCAGAACTGGCTCTGCCCTAGATAGCACTGGCCTCGGCACTTACAGCTCGCGTTGTCTTTTGGTTGTTTCTGTATTATTAAAGACGAATGATTGTATTCTGTCCCGGTCTTTTTATAATCGTTTTATTGTAACAGACTATAGGTTATGCATACAGTAATTCCGCATGTACAAGGTGCACACTTATGCAGTTTGTCTAATAATATAGTTACAACATAATTATCGTAGAACCAATATTATGTATTCTCTGCTTCAGAATACACATAATAAAATGTTCATCTGCAACGTCTTTGTCAAAGACAGTGGTTGTAATACATCATTGTTATTAGAAGATCTGCAACCATTTGTGGTCAGGTTAGAGACAGAGACAAGATCTCCAAACTTCAATATATAAACCACTCATGCTAAATTAACCATTCTGTTTCCTTATGAGAAAACAACACAACAAATAGGAAGCAACTACAGTAAATACTTAAGGATGCTCATTTCATAGTTACAGAAAGATTTTATTTACTGTTACTGTAGAACATTTGAAAGAACGTTTGCTTTCTGTAGAGCAATGCAAACTGAAAAGTGTATGTGTGAAACTGCCCTGATTTTTGTTCAAATGTTGAGCACTGTGAGAGAGACAGCTACAGTGTCATAAAGATAACCATTGTTTTGAACACCATAAGACCCCACACTACTTGAGGTTCACAATCTCATGAAACATTTAAAACTTTAAATAGGCTTGGTGGTATTATAGTAAGCCTATGCCACTGAGGGAACAAATAGAAACCAAATATTTGCTTCAGTCATGTCAGCTTCCTGTCTCTGCAGAATCATCCCACCCTGTAGGTGTTGGGGTGTGTTTTGTTTCTAAAAACGTGTTCACAACACTTTCTGACTGAAACTACAAGTTTGCCAGCACAAACAGGAAGCTACAGATCTGCATACTGCAGCAACGGAGACAGAAACATGAAGGTTCTCATGCTGTATTGGCTTGCTGTGTTCACTGCTGGAGTCAAAGGTAAAACAGGGCAAGACTAGTAATATATTCCTGAGAAGTGAGTACAATGTGAAAACAATTATTAATTTTAATATTACTCCTAAAACACGATGGGGAAAAGCAGTCTGTGGTATGTAAAAATACGAGATTGGTGGATAGTCTCATCTGCAAAGTTTTGTTTTGCTTTTATTTTCTAATGGTAGCTATGAAACCATAAAAAGACAGGAGAAGTAATTTAAAGAAATATGAAAGTATTGCTAATCGTATCTTTTATTATCTAAAAGAAATGCAACTTAAACTAAGTTTTACTTTTTTTTTTATTTGTAGGTTACCTTGAATATGACAATGAGTTTTACATTGAAATCTTGGGATTGCGTAAGTAAGAAATTCTAACTCAACCTGGAACTTCTTAACCTGGAAATCTGTAGTCTGTGTAGTAGGGCTCTAGAAATGAACTATTGAAACATCTTCCACTTTTACAAGCAAATGCTGAATGCAATAATGAATAAGTGACAAATCATTATTCTGTTATGGAACCTTATGGTTTGCCTCTGCATGGTTTATATAGCACTATCTAGTTTTCAGCAAACACATGTTGCACATTATCATTGCATGCAAATCTTTTAAGACTTTTGATGGGATTTATAGATGTGAAATCCAGTTTTCATATACTTTCCAATGTAATGATGACTGTGTTTATTGGTGTCTACTAATTCTTTCTGTGTGTACTGTATGTGTACCTAGCAATGAACAAGTGTCCTGTTCAGAGTGTAGTCCTGCCCCGCCCCCTCTATTTCCTGGATAGTCAACTATGACACCAGAAAAAAGCAATATTCTGATGGTGGGTGATTGCTTAATGGTCTTGGTCTTGTTGCAGGATTCCCTGGACCTTGGTTCTGGTACACATTATATGGTGTCTCAGTTTTTGACGCGGTCTGTGTTCTCATCATCTCTTCCCTACATGTGAATTTCCAGTTGCGCATGAGACAAGTGAGAAAAAGCACTGCCCGAGGACAGAGGAGTCTCATTTCCTCTTATGACTTTGGCCTTGTTTCTGTCGCAAGTTGAAGAACACAGCTGACCGACCTCTGTGAACTTCAGTGTTAACCCCATAGAAGACAGAATCTTCTTGCAACAATTTTCTACAATATACTATATGTTCACTTTTTCCTCCCAGTCTGAAAACACGAGAATGAAAAAAAAAAACCCAGAAACAACTACTTTTATAATAAAATGGCAGTTACAGTGCTCTACTACTAATACTCCCAGATGTAATAGCATTCCTGTAATTTTGTTTTTCTAATGTAAATTAAGTTCTTGAATAAAATAAAGTAATGTGACAAAACAACGACTCTTTTACTGCATGATCCTATTTCTTCCGGAAGGTGGTTGTGTGTTGTGTGTGAGAGAAGAAGGCGAGGAATCTGAGGTGAATAATTCTCGAATAAGAATCGGCACAAAATGATAAAAATTGAAACTCCAAAACTAAACTCACGTTATTCTACTTTTGAAAATATCCTCCATTCATGTTCTCGTCTTTTAAGTTCAAATGTAAAGAAAGATGTTTTTGATGGGACACGGCATAGAGAAATCAATGTAGCGATACATTTTCTTAGCAGTGTTAACTTATATGCAATGTTGACGTACAGTACATTATTTTCTATAAAATATACTAAAACACAAACCAGCTTCAAACCGTAGATTTACACTAGGTTTTCGTGCTTTCAAATTTTATTCCAGTAAATATTTTAATAAAAATAATCATTGCTATTTTAAATAATATTTCTATAGATTATAACATGTTGTTTATAAAACCTACGGAATTAATTTGTTGTTGTTTTTTTTCATTCGCCCACTACGTTAATGAATGTTGGTCCAAAATAAAGATTAAGGAGGAAGCTCTGTAGTTTTTTGTTGCAGTTCGGAATCCAAGCACTGTAACAACATCCGGCGGCTTGGTGTCGTATTTCCTGTTTCTCTGCTACGGAGAGGAAGGAGATAGTTGTTGAGTGTGTTGTGAAGCTGATCTGAGATACATTTGTTTCTTTTGCATTTGTTTTTGTCATTTTTACCGTCCAGTCATGGCGGCACCGAATTCTCTCAACGTGAAGCAGCCGCCGATTCAATCCACGGCCGGAGCCGTGCCGGTGCGCAATGAGAAAGGTGAGTTGTTGGACTGAGGCTCCGCGTAAAGCGAGGACTGGTGATCATCGGGCCCTTGTTTTCGGTTTGAAAGTTAGAATACCGAGAGGAATGTGTCCAAAATGATTGACTTTCCTACAGGTTGACTGTGAAAGTGCACGAAAATATTAGTTGAAGTAAATGTTAAATAATTATACATTTAAGTTAATTTTATATTGTAAGACATGATGAAATACTCGATAAATACTTGTATCGGTATTAATAAATATATGATATAAAGTTAACGTCAATAATTAATAACAAAGCGGGAGATTATTTGTTTACACTCGATACAAATACACATATAAGCTAATGAAAACGTAGACCCAATATTTTCGATACATATATGGTATTTGATAATACTACTGAATAGAGAAATGTTGGTATTTTTGTGTTGATTTGCGAAGTGTATGAATCCATTTAAGAAATTAAAATGCTACGTTTATGTGTGTTCTATAGATACAGATCATAATTGTTTTGGGTTATAATGAAACTCTTTAGCCCTAGTGTTGATTATTCAAACAGGTCTGATCGCAAGAAACGCAAAGGGTAATAAAAAACACCAGTCGTCATCGTTTCCAGATTTCTGTGACTATTAAGGGAGTTCCATGTAGCGCTTGTGTGTTATTGCAGTCTTCCAGAGGTGCGCTGTCTGGGGGAGCCAGAGAGAAGCAGGGAGTGAGGGACTCTCCCCAGCCCCTCTCTTGGGCAGCGCTGTGTGTGCATGTGTTCATGCGGAGGAGGGAGGTAATGGGGTTGCTGTGTCTTGCTGCAGGTGAGATCTCTATGGAGAAGGTGAAGGTGAAGCGCTATGTGTCGGGAAAGCGCCCGGACTATGCCCCCATGGAGTCCTCGGACGAGGAGGAGGAGGATTTCCAGTTCATGAAGAAGGGCAAGGAGGTGGAGCCGGAGGTGGAGCTGGAGGAGGAGGATGTGTCGGACCCCCGCCTGAGGCGGCTGCTGAACCGCGTCACTGAGGACGTGGAGGAGAGGTACCCTGGGGGGGGAGTGTTCATCCGCTGAGAACATCCCCAAGTGGCTTGACTTGGTGACATCCATCCATTTTCTAACCGCTCCCTCCAGTTCAGGGTCATGGGGGAGCAGGAGCCTATCCGGGCAAACAATGGCACGAGGCAGGGTACACCCTGGGCTTGACGCCAGTCCATGGCAGGGGCAGAGAGGCATAGACGCGTACACACTCGCACCAGGTCCAGTTAACCTACCGGTGTGCTTTTGAACTGAGGGAGGAACTCGGAGCACCCAGGGTTAACCCACATGAACACTGGGGGGACATACAAACTCCATCAGATAGCACACCGGGACTGGAATTGAAAGCAGGACACCCATGCTGCGAGGCAGCAATGCTAATCACTGCACCGTTGTGACATTATCAGTTAAAAATGGAAATTGTGAACAAACAGAAGTTCATTTATTTTATTTTTCAGTAAATGTTGTATTGCAACTTCTTTGTGTTTTTAAGTGGATGTAACTGCATGCAGTATAGCTGTCATTTTTATATAGTTGATCTGTCATTCCAAATAACACTTTGATTGTCGTGATGGTCAAAATGGAAAGCGGCCTGGCAGTGGGACTAATAACATTATTTGTGGGTCATGTCGTTTGGATTCTTTTGCTGTGAGGTCTGATTGCCCCATCCCTGACACAGACCCTGCTTTTCCTCAGGTTGGCGCGACACAGGCAGATCGCAGAGCCGGAGCTGGTGGTGGAGAGTAGCGAGGAGTCGGATGAGGGGGGCTGGCATCCAGACCAAGAGGAGAGCAGTGAAGAGGAAGAGGAGGAGGAGGTTGACGATGAGGTAAACGCAGAGGAATTGGGTGTAATAACTGGATTCTAGTATGAAAGTGCAGATCGGTGTCTTTCCTGGGACAGTAGTTTGCTTATAAATTGACTGTCCTGGGATTATTCAAGAAGTGGTTTGTTGAAATTTTATCAGTTAGCTACTAACAAGCCAAGATGGGTCAGATGGTATTCCCTTGTGTGACTTCTTGTGTTGTAATGTTTTGATGTTTTCCTGACACGTTAGAAGATTATTTCCTGCTGTTCTCAAATCTTTTCATTGCTAGTGCTCTGTTAAGATGCTGTCTGATGGTAAAGAAGAGTCCCCTGTGAGCCCCTCTCCCCCTGGTGTTTGTGTGTAGGAAATCGAGAGGCGGCGTGCCATGATGCGTCAGCGGGCGCAGGAGCGAAAGAACGAGGAAATGGAGCTGATGGAGGTGGAAGAGGAGGGGAAGTCGGGAGAGGAGTCGGAGTCCGAGTCGGAGTATGAAGAGTATACTGACAGCGAGGACGAAACCGAACCACGCCTCAAGCCCGTCTTCATTCGCAAGTGGGTAGTGCCATTTTGGGCGGAGGGTCCTAATACAAGATCGGAAGGTTTTGCTCTTTCAGTGACGCAGACTGTTATTGTTCTAATAATTTATCAAAAAGTTTAGTAAGCATCTGACTGCAGACAAGTAAAGAACTGGTACGTTTGGCAGGAACATTATTTCAGTTTCTTTTCATTCTTTGCTGTAAGAACACGTGGAGTGTGTTAAACGTGTTTCAGAGTCTGAGAAGCTTTCTGATCCACATATTACTGTATTCCAATTCTAAAGTTCAGAATTGGAACAGAATAATGTGAAGTCTGTGCTGGGAAGAAATATGCTGTTACAGCAGTCTCCCCTCGAAGCTAAACGTTCGTTTTACTGAGGACCTGCAGGGCTGCTCAGCAGTGTCTTTACTGGGGCTTTGCCAGTGTAAGAAGCAGTGAGCAGGTCACTGTGAATGCGTACACTGCCAGAGTGGACTGCGGAAGCAGGCCTTCATGATGGAGCTCTGCTGGCTCTTGCAGGAAGGACCGCGTGACGGTGGCGGAGCGGGAGGCCGAGGAGCAGAAGCAGAAGGAGCTGGAGGCCGAGGCCAAGAAGCAGGCAGAGGAGCGTCGGCGCTACACGCTGAAGATTGTGGAGGAGGAAGCCAAGAAGGAGTTTGAGGAGAACCGGCGCACCCTGGCCGCACTGGAAGCCCTCGACACAGATGGGGAGAATGAGGAGGAGGAGTACGAGGCCTGGAAAGTCCGCGAGCTCAAACGCATCAAACGGGACCGTGAGGCCCGCGAAGCGTAAGTTTGGGGGGGCACCACCCGGGTCCGTACGCACTCTGGTATGAGAAGTACCGTACCTGATCGGCAAATTACAGACGTCTGCAGTTTGGGTTCCCTGAAGGGCTGCGTGAATTTAATCGGCAGTGGGCATATGTTTTAATCAAAAAAGAATAATGCTGACTGTGGATTCAGCTTGGCTAGTAATTCGTGATCTGTAAAGACCGGTTTGCCATGGTGGGGTGTGTCTCACTGGGTGTTGTGTTCCCAGGATGGAGAAGGAGAAGTCGGAGATTGAAAGGTTCCACAATCTCACCGAAGAGGAGCGCAGGGCAGAGCTTCGCTCCAACGGCAAACTCATCACCAACAAAGCATCTAAAGGCAAATATAAATTCCTGCAGAAGTACTACCACAGAGGAGCCTTCTTCATGGTGAGTCTTCTCTTTGTTTGGTGGCTATGATGAGTGATAGACTGGGGTTGTTGCAGTACATTCTTAAAGTGATAGGCAAAAACAACTGGGAGCTTGATATGGGAGAAATTATTCTATTGAATTGAAAATCAGAAACAAAACCATCAGATTGACTTAAAGTAGTTCCATTATATTTGTGGTGATTTTGCTCTTACCTCTGTGCAATTTTCTCTGTGGCACTGGAATTCCTAATTGTGAATCTGACTGTTTAGGATGAGGAGCAAGATGTATATAAGAGGGACTTCAGTGCCCCTACCCTGGAGGACCATTTCAACAAGACCATCTTGCCCAAAGTCATGCAGGTGAGCTGGCTGGAGTCTACTCATATTGCTGAATTTATTCATTTCTGGGTTCGGCTGAAGATCAAATGCTAACTAACATTCTCTGGATTTTTGTTTTTACCACCATTTCTGTTTTGAAAATTATTGCATAGTTAGTATATCTTCATTATTATGCATGATTTGGAAATAGTCAAGTATTAGAATATTATCATTAATTGCGGCATGGAGAAAGGGAGGGATATTAGGTATACCTGGAGAACAGGTACCAGTTTAAAATGAACATTTTGTACTGCTTCAATCAAGGTATATTTTACATATACTTTTGTATTTCTGATAAGACATTCTGTAATAGAATTTATTAGGAGCTACAGATGAGGGTTTTTAAGCAGTTACATTAGAAATTTCAGGTACTAGGTATACAATGTTAAGTGTTTGTAAAATGTTGATTTTTTTTTTCCTAAGAAAAAGTAATGAATATGCATAACAGCCCATCACCTTAATTCTTAAATATATGTTTCAATTCTTGATAGTGGGTCAGTGTCAAGAGTCCATTTCTACATTAATGTTAATACTTAACTGGAAATCTGCTGTTCCTGTTCTATTCAGGTCAAGAACTTTGGCCGTTCTGGGCGTACTAAATACACACACTTGGTGGATCAGGACACCACTTCCTTTGACTCGGCCTGGGCACAGGAGAGTGCACAAAACAGCAAGTTCTTCAAACAGAAGGCAGGGGGTGTAAGAGATGTCTTTGATCGGCCATCGGTAAAGAAGAGGAAGACTTAAGTCCTGCGGACTGAAATGGCAAGGCAGGAATAGGGAGGAGAGACTGAGTAACTGTAACATTTGTGAGTTCTGCATTCAGTGGGAAGATCCTGTCACAGCCCCAGGATCCTCTGCAGTTGCAAGTGGTGCGCTTGGAAAAGAGGACAAGATGTAATATAGTGTTCCTGTGGACATTCTAAACGGCCCGGAAATTTAACTGTTGTGACTGAGGTGTTAGTTTGAAATGAAAGGACCTTTTATCGTGTAGATTTCTTATATCATTTCCAGTAAGTTTAATTTGTTTTAATAAAATTTTCTAATTGTTAACTGCATTTAGTTTTGTCTGGAAGCAAATGCTGTAAAGTCAGGATATAGAACTGTAAAATATTTCAGTATGCACTGCTCTAAACAATGCAAATTCTCAAACTGTTTTACAGTTACAGTTTCTCTCCACTATTGGATGCATTTCTTTCATGTATATAGTATATATAATCTATGCCTTGTTAAACCTTAAAAATAATGCAATTAAAAACGCCTTTTTTCAGTTACATATTTTTTAATATTTAGATTGAGTAGGAGAAGTGATTGTTTTAAATCTAAAGACAGGTAGGCTGAGGCCCATTTTTAAAACTGACTTATGGAAAAGGAGGGCTGACGTAGCGATTGTAATGCAAAAAAAAAAGATACCATTGAAATTAATTTTATTTCCTTTTATAACATTACAAATGAGAGATTTGTCCATATGCCAGGTATGAGGAATGAAATCCCAGTAGTATATAAATGCTGCGCTGGAAAGAAAAAGCAGTCCTTCCTTGGATCCGTGTGGATGTTATGATGCTGACAGGAACGCCAGAACCAGTGCTCTGAAGCATTGATGGCTGGTCTGTATTCACAGCAGTCAGTTTGTCAGAGCAATCAGTGCCTCTACCACATTACCCATGTGCTCCCTCAAGCTGCGCTCAGCCACACTCCTTGGAATCTCCATCTCGCCCATCTGTGGATAAGAGTTGGTTTACTATTAACACACGATCAGGGGTGGCCAACCCGGTCTCGACAGGCCACTGTCCAGCAGGACTCACCCTTATCATCATTTTTGAAAGAGATGGGGAACTTTATTCAAATTACTATATTAATGTGGGTCACATTCAGTAAGGCTGGCTAGCTTTGCTCACTGAAAGCTGCAGAGAGCTGGGTTTTTTCTTTAAGTTACTATAAAGCTTTAGTGAACAAGTCACCTGATGAAGTTATCAAAAACAAGTCAACTGACTACCACTGCACAAAAATATTGTGTCTTTACAAGTAAAAAAAAACAGCTTGTGCCCCCAAGTGTATTACTTTAATCAAAACCAATTTTCTGTTTTAGTCACGTCTCTTTTACATGTTTCAATAACATATCATATCTGATTTTTGTAAGAGTTACAAAATGTTCTGCGGTACATTTTTAACTTCACACGGTACTTACAATGAGTTCTACATCCTCCTTCTTGATGGTGACTTTGGCCAGTTCCTTCTCTCTGGAACAGAAATGAGAGCGTCATCGGGAAAAGCGAAATAATTTTCAAAGGATATCATTCTAATCTGTGACGCTTGAACAGTCGTGACAGTCGTGACGTTAGAACTACATTTTTCAGTTCGCAGCAGAATAAAAGAAAAGGAAGATATAATGACGATTCTCTGGTAACAGACCAGAGAAACACATTTAACATTAAACGCAACTTTACCTTTTTTAGATACTCGCCCATTAAACGAATTTTGAAAATATTCTTAAAAACCGCTCACCTCTCTTGCTTTGCTTTCTGCTCCCTTGATCTTCGGTCTCCAATCACTGACATGGCCTAGAAGCCAAAGATTCAAACAAAACGACAAGGTGTCTTTACTGCGCCGCCGTCTCGGGGTATACAAACATGTTTTTGTTATTAAACCACTAGGTTTAGGATTGAGAACACAAATCCGAGGGGACTAAGGTTAGTACGTCAAAATAAATGAACGTTCTACTTGGATATGAAAACATTATACAAAAAAGTTGTTGTATAGCGAACCGTACAGGTTTAAGGTGTGATTTTTTCATTCATTCGGAGCTAGTTAACATAACACAATTCATATAATCCATCTTTCGTCTGTAATTATTACGCGAAATATAAAACACCCCCCCCCATTTCGGTTTATTATATTAAAATGCCACAGAATCAGCACTGTTTAAAAGTGACTGTTTCTGTACTCCTACTAACTACTAGGCCTGCTTCCTCCGGCTCCACATGTGTCTCTGTCCCTAGCCTCACCGTTTCCAAATCGGAGCTGGAGATCTCCTTTTCCTCCGCATAGTCGGTAACCCTTTCCAAGTCGGCGGCTCCACTGTCATGTTTCCGAGGTTTTTCTGCTGGTTTACCCGTGCAGTTCTCTTCGGCTTCAAGATCCAAATCCACATCTCCTTCGGCCGCCATGTTCGCTTCTTCGATACCGGAACGAAAAGAAAAGGCTCGAGTCAGACTGGTAGGAAGATCGGAAGTAAATGCGCCGAGCACCTGGGTCACGTGATTTTTAACCGCCGACTTGCGTAGAGCCGAAGGCGACATGTGGGAAAAGACACTGTGGAGTAACGATACGTGTTATGTTTTGCTTCGCAATTTTATTGTGATCCCTTCATCAGATTTGATTTGCAAAACAATCATTCGTTCCATTAGAATACATGCAGCTGAGAAGACGTGTATCTTCTTGCTGGCAGGCACAGTAGTCCTGCAACACTAAATAACACATTGCAAGCTTTTTCTAAACTAAAACCTATCAAGACTCCAGTGCTGCACAGAAAGGAAAATTCTGTGAAAGGACAATTTGGGCCCTTCACTGCACTGCGTCAGTTATCGGATAATGAAGATGTTGCAAGGCTTTATGTGCAGCCTGGATTAAAGAGCCCTCCCTGCCCTTCCTATTTCAGTCCTTTAAGAGGGTTACTGTGACTTAGTGGCTGGATTTGAAATATAATCAGGGCAATTTCCTTGTGGTGAGGGAAACAAAGTGTGTTTTACGCCCACCAGCCAACACAAACCAATCTTTTGTCTCTGCAGTAATTGACTTTGCAATGAAATAAAGCCTTTTCCTATATTTATGGTCCCGGTTGCCCCATCAAGACCCTTCCCCTCCCCCAAGCACATCTCATCCCTGTGGAGGCAGTAGCTGGGCAGTAGTACCCAGTAGTACCAGGCAGTAGTAGGAATGGTGATGTTGCTGGGTAAACACTACTGTCCCATAAACAAACCCCTTCATTCTGGTATATGCCTAACCCAAGGAAGTCTGAAGACACTGGAGTTTTGGACCCTATTACCTGGATCCCAGTCTGGGAAGTGATGTTGAGACACTGGGTACTGGCTCAGGTAAGGTGCAGCTCCAATAGAGTTAAACAGCTGTTAACTGCTCTGGAACTTCAAGCCACATCACAGACCTTAACCAAACTATAAACAGCAGAAAGTAAGAGGGTCTGTTGTTCTTTTTTGATGGCGGTTTTAAAATCAAAGCAGGAAGGAATTGCTCTGCATGATTGATGTAGAGAAAAGAGATTCCGCAGAGTGCAGAGGAATTTCATGGTACACTGTCTGAGAGTACTGCAGCTGTAAAAAGCTGTAAAAGTGTCCATTACACCTGTAAGTTTTATCAACAAGTTTTCTGCAATGATATATTATCATGAATTTGAACATAAGAGTATGTTAACCTGTGCACACAGAGTTTTGCAGAAACAATACTAATTGCATAAGACTGTTCCTAAAATAGAAGTTAAAAAATGTGTAGCCTAGTACAGGTAATTTATCATGGTTAGTGGAATGATAGGTGTCACAGGTATGGGTGACATTTACCATTATATTATGTTTTATTATCAAAGTTCTAACTGTAGAAACATGAATAAATAATGAGTTTGTGCTCCAGCCAAGTTCTTAATCACAGGCTAATTGATTTCAGTTTTCTATATGGGGCAAATTTATAAATTTGCATTCAGCTCTTAAAAGAGCAAATTCTATTAGTAATTGGTATCAACTCAGCACCAGTTTCTGAGTTTCAGAATTGTTCTCGTTCATCCTAACCTGAACCTGACAGCTTAGTTACCTGATACAGTGTCAGTCCCATCCGTGTCAGTTCAGCATCAATTGATCAGCCAGTAAGAGCTGTGTAGTCGGAAAAAATGGCAACAAGCTGATTTGAGGCTGTGTGTGAAGTTCTGTATTCTGATGTTGCTGGAAACAGTTCCTTAGATGGATGATATTTCTAATACTCAGGACTCACCAAAGAAACAAGTTAAATTAAAGTCTAAACTGGAATGAAAACCAATAAACACAATGTTCCTCCAGGACACGGAGTTTGAACCACTCTCTAACCTTGTAGAAGACTCGCACTGAGGTTGCATTGAATTGGACACTAACATAAAACGTTTGTACCATGATCACTGAGACTTTAATTTTCCTTTCAGAAATCCAAAGTAGTGGAAATGTAAGGACCATTGGCAAAGCATGGGGATTACAGACAATCGTTAGCTTGAAGGATGATAGTGAGAACAATGTCCTGATCCAATTGCTGAATTGAAACCAAGTGCAGGAGAGCAAAACCAAAAACAACAAAGCTCTAGAAGTGCTTGAGAGACAACTTGGGAAGTTGAGATACAGTGCTGTGGGTTGGTTTTGCTCAATCGCACTTTGAAGTTGTTTATCACGGAGCACCAGACGTTATTATCATGGTTAGAGTTCTGGTTCGCCGTAATTGAAACATGAAGGCCATATCTATAAAATAAGTCTCTGCAGTAGTGAACAGTATTTTGACAGGGAAGTGAGTTAAGATTCTTGGTTGTCCCTCTTTAGATGTGCTAATCTTCAGGATGTTTTGGCCTGCCAGTAGTGAGGTTATCTGTAGGTCTGTAGAGAGTACATACAGAACAGCTAGCTGTGGGTTTCTGTATTCTGTTGCTGATGGTGCTATTAGACCATATTCTGATTTTGATAAATAATGGGTTTCTGGCATGCTTATTGCACCTCCATAATAATATTAAAAATATTAGTATTAGTTTGTAAGTTGTCTATACTAGTTGTCTGTAGTTTAGCTCTGTGGAGGTGGATTGTTGAATTCTTGCACTCATTAAAACATGGTCTGTTGATGGCTTACAAACTTACAAACTAGATAAGAGGTATGTCTGTGAAAGAGAAGCTTTTTCAGGCATTGTCCTATTATGCCTTCAACACCAACCAGTTATATAATCCCAAACATTTTCAGAGGAGGGGGAATGGAAGTGAAATCTCCTATGCACTGCTTTCTATGAATAATAATGGTTAAGGGTTATATAAATGGAACATGAAGCATTTTTTCTGTATCATACTATGAGGTCGCTCCTTCCTTTGTCCTGTTTCATTAGTTTGAGAAATATGTAATGAACTCAGTTAGGAACCTTAACCTTACTTTAGTGTCTTTACTGGCAAAAAAAAACGAAATAGTGCTCCCCACTTAACTATACTTAAAGATTGAAAATTGCAGCTGTTGTTACCAGACATTTTGTAGTATTCTTACAAATAGGGAAGATAAAAGGCTGGTCTTTTTTAACAGGATTTTTGTGTTGGTGTTTGTAGTAATTGTAGATGTGTTCTGACAGCTCAAATGGTGTGACACTGACATTGCAAGCAGCCCAGTGATTCCTGCATTAAAATATGACCTATACTGAGGCTAGCTCCTGTATTCAGATATTTTGTATTTACAAAGAGAAACTGCTTCTTATATATTTTCAGTGCAACAGCTGTGTTGGAATACTTAATAGGATAGACATTAATTCCATCCTCATAGTAATAAATTTGCTTTTTTAATATACCAGTTTGTAAAGTTTGACAGGTAAACATCAAAAGGCAATAATTTCTTCTGTGAAGATATTGTTCTTAATTTTGTGATGGAACAGTGAACAAAAAATTAAAAGGTGTTTGGATGATGTTGCACAAATTAATTGCACTTAATGCACTCTGATAATTGCTTTAAATATCTTTGTTTATGAAAGCCTGATGCTAGACGAGATACTATGACTGTTAGAAATGAAATATTCCTTTGGTTACTTCGAACATAGTTCTGATGGAACGTTTTTTTATTTTAATATCCCAACAAGATCCTAATGGGATCTGACTTGCAGTGTAGCAGTCCGAGACAAGACCTGCAGCCAGGACTGCCAGAACGTATTTGGGACTTTTGTGAAGATTAAATTTAAAAAATGGGTCTTTTTGGAATTATCCATTCTAATGTAATCTAAAAGCCACATTGAGAAGGATGATTTTTTAGTTTTAGGTTGTGTCAGATGTTTTCCTTTTTTTACCCACTTTTGATGGAGGCAAGGTGTTGTGGTGAAATATCAGGGATGGCACTGCGTATCAGTGTAGGAATCAGCTCATCGATTTAGTCTACAAATGTTTTTGTATTGTTTGTGAAACTGAAAAGCTAAGACATATTCACATGATTTCTAATTGTCACAGTTGGAGATTCTGCCAAACCTGTAAATCACCATATTACTTTTGAAATTTTATCATTTCCGATTGCTATAAATACATTGTGCATGATTATTTTTCTAATTACTAAATGTTTTTTCTTATGAGACTTGAGTTTCCTTTATTTGTTCTCCCTTATGTCTTTCCTGTTCCATTGCCAAAGAGACGCAGGCATTCTGTTCGGTGGGATAGCATCCTCCACAGTGTGAAAGAGCTTCCTGCCCTTAGTGGGGAGAGGGCTCTCTCTGCTCGACCACACACAGCAATAGTTCATTTACAGCCAGTCCTGTCTGTGAAGGCCAGAAGAGCTCCTAATTGGCTTTAAAAGGTTGTGGTTGTATGATTGAGGTCATGAGGAATTAAGGATCTAAATCAAACAGGCCCACCCTGAACTGGGTGTTCTGGGCAGGCTTCAATCTGTTATAGGATTGCATTTGAAATTGCAAGGCATCTGTGAATGTTATGAGCTGAGAGGGGTCTTAACAATTTGAGGGCAGGTTCGTATATTCGTATTTGGTGACTGAATAAAAAATGTTGGTCAGAACATGAAAAATCCTATTTTATTTCAGGAACAGCATCTAGATAGCCAAATAAATTTAAAGACATTTTCCAGGAGTGAACTGGACTTGACATCTTGTGCAAGTCCAGTTCGTCTTGAGTTAGGAAGTGTTCATATCAACCTGCAATTTCAAACTTTATTCATACTGAATTCTCCTCAGCTATGACTAATTTGGAGGGAAGCAGAGTATAATCATTTACTTGAAGGATAGAAGAAACGTAAAATAAACATTGCAACAAGACACACTGAGTCGATGCTTAGACTGAAGGAATTGCTGGTGTTGATTAACATCCCTCATCACTTTTGTCCTCCAGTGTTAATTCTCAAACATTATCAAAAAAATGTTGTTAAAAAATCACAGCAATTGTTTGCAGAAAAACTCACTCACCATGCAAGTGAGACTCATTCAAGGGTATTTCTCTAAATTATCAGTACTATAGATTTAATATCACATTTGTTTTTCAAAGCAAAATAAACAATTTAATGAAAGACCAGAACATTCAATCTTAGAAGGGAATCCAAGTTCATTGAAAAGTTATTCATCTTGTACTGGAGAATAGGTCTGATCCAATACTGTCAAATGATGTTTGTAGGTCCAGGTACCACTAGGAGGCCAGCTGGTTATACAGATGGTCTACCAAAGTGCTGCAACAGTTAACATGTTAATAGAACATTTGATGGTTCTGGTAGATCACATGTCAAAGCGAGTGTTGACATTCATGCATTTGTTTAGACAAGCAAAGCATTTGGACTATTGTTTTTAAAACGTAAAAACTTATCACTTAGACAGCAAACTTAAATACAGAGCATAGAATGTTGTGGTTACAGGGTATCCGGGTCTTCAAACCCATTGAGTTCTCTTCCTCAAATACCTTGATAATTCTTTCCAAAGGACAGAGTGGAGGCTAAACTAAACCTGTTACGGCCTGTTTTTAGGATGTTGTTTTGTTTTCACGAAGATATAGCAGCTGCAGAGATGAACATCATCATCATTTTTCTTCATCCCTAGTCCCTGCCAAGAGCAGAGAGGTGTGTCTGCCGCCGTACTGTAGTGATGATCAAAAAAGGTTTGAAATCTGAGTTCATCACAGCAGAGAAAGGAGAATCTGAGAGTTTGAATACTGCTGACAGGCTGACAGTCGGCCTGCAGTGAGGTGCAGTACAATTGAACAATAGGAGATGTCCTTCGCACTCCTAGTGTGAGCTTGAACTAACCGAATCTGAAGGGGAGAGCCATCTGCTTGCCTTTTGAGGTTGTAGGTGTCTTGGTTCAGAGGCCCTTGGGAAGTGAGCAGGGGTCACAAGGTGTAGAGCTGTCTGCCATGCTCACAAAAGAGTGACCTTTCGGCTCTCAGGGTCTGCTGACCTGATTGTGGTTGTATACAGCTTTGCAAAGCTGGCAAATTCCCGAGAAATGGCAATCAGACTCCCAGCCATGAACAATCCCCACAAGTGACATTGATGTCACGACTCCACAGCACCTCCGAAGTGTCTGGGTGCAATGAAAAAAAATCAATTTTCAATCTAAAGAAGATCCTGCATGTCCTCAATTTGCCCATTTAAAAGGTCGCTAGAAAACTGCCCAGTTCCTGGAGTATCCAGTAGGTTCTCTGTACTGCCTGGCTGTGTCTAGAAGGACCAGTACCATGGGTGAGATGTAACACAAGTTACTGTCTGTATCTCCTTGGCTGAATAAGCTCAATGTGAGAAGGAAAAGAAGGAAGTCTGTGCAGTATTGGGAACTCTGGAGAGGTAGTTTTGTAGTTTAATCTATTGACCTGTTGTGATCAATAAATCATAAGAAGATATATTACTTTGGTCACTTTCTTTGGAATTTATTGTTTGTAAAAATTAACAATTAAAAATTAAAAATATCATGGACCATGGAAAGCCTTAATATACCTATACCTAGCTGTATATTAAAAGTTACTGGTGCAAAAAAGTTCTGTTTTGTATTTTGTTTGTTGGATTGAAGCCCTTGTGATGATGTTGTGTAGGACACATCTCATTGTGCTGGGATATCTTGCTCTGAAGCCCCAGACATCATGAAGAGAAATGGGAAGAGATATGTGAGTGTTTTAATTTGACCTTTTCTATCTCAAACTGCTTGTGTGTGTATTAACCCTCAGAAAAAAAACAACACTTCCTTTTGTGTTCACCTGCTGGTCTGTTTGATTGCTTGGCATTCAAATGGCAGCTTCACACCAAAGGCTCCGTAGTCAAGCACCATTAACTGGACCTGCGGTTCTTCTCGTACTGAACAGGATTATCATTGCAACAACACATCCTCGGTAGGGTAATCTCACAATGGTTTAAACACAGCACAGATTCTCTATTAGTTGATGAACCATCCAACGGTTGAGAGTTAATCTGATTTACATGATAGAGGTTAGTTGTACTGTGAACCAAGATGTGATAGAAGCAGAATGTGTTTATTTTGTAAACCTGACTCCAAAACAGAGCAGCCAAACCAACATTGACAATTTTCTAAGCTCTCTGATTTTGCTGGTTTAAAAATCATTTCGGATTTCTTCCCTCTCCCAGGGCCCCACCTCCTCCACTGACACAGTTCCAGTATTGCATTATAGCATGATCATAGGATTAGGGATGTAGCCTGTATTGCTGGAAAATTAATGGGAGAGGTAGTAGATCATATTGAAAAATGAGGGTGGGGTAGGAGCAAGAGAGATGTCCTGAAATATTCTGATTGCGGACAGGCAAAATCACTGCATTGCAAGTAATTCCATTATTTTGGCTTAATCGCTTAAGACTCCGGACCAATCCTGTTGTGTTTCCAAGGCCTTGTGTTGCTGTAACTATTGCTGGTGTGTCAGTTGAGACAGATGGGCTGACACATGGTGCCGTTCACTGGCTGGCTAATCTCTCCGATTTGCAACAGGGAGAAGAGAGGTGTAGCCTCTCAGAGGTCCTGCAAACATTCCTGGGAACCCTCTGTTGTGACACAAGCAGCACAGGAGCCAGGAGGAGCCCATTCTGCATAGCTCCTAGGTGTTTATGGACCACCATTTCTTTAATTTGTACAAGTGTGTCTTTATTGCTTAAAAAGCTTTTTGCACAGAAGACAAGCTCTATTCCTGGATGAGGATATAAATAATCCAGCATGAATTAGAGAGGACAAGGCTGAAGGAAACGTGTGGGACAAGAGGCAGTGACAATATGCTTTTCAAGTTGGTTGTGGAATTGTGATAACCAACTTTGGTTGTGGAGTAGAAGCTGAATCAGGGAGCGCTTTACTTATTTTTTATTTTGGTCCTCCAAGATTCAAGATCAGACAGAGGAAGAACGTGTTGTTCTGGAAAAAGCCGTACACAAAACTGGCACATCCTCTACATGTGTTTTGATCTTGGTGTGGTGGAGCGTGATGCACATGCTCTTAGACAGAATGCAGAAGCCTTTCTGTGGACCCTAGAATCCCCTTTTACCATCGGCAAGGATCCAAGATGTCAGTTGGCCAGGCTCTCCGACATAGCAGGCTGTGCTGCTACTTCTTCAACACTGTAGCCTATCAGGTAAGAGAGAGCTCTTTCCAGACAAGCCAGAATGGGGGGAATTGTAGGCTGGGGTATTTGGAGATCATTCTGAGCAGTGAGTTAAAATACTTGGCCTTTGTGGTATAGCAGCTATGGAAAACAGTGCAGGAGGTTCAGTATGTGCTACATGTGTGAGAGATTATGCTTCCACTGGTCTTGGGTGCTGTGTGATTACAAACCTGCCATCAAATTTCCCCCTAAAAAAGTATCTCATTACACAAATGCTCTGCAAATACGACAAAGTGTTATTGAATATAATGAGGATCAAATTCCTAGTTCCTGATTCTTTGGGTTTAAAATCAAGGCCTGTTATTCCATTCATTGTTTCTGCTTTTGGCCATTGATAGTTAACTGGACTTGAAGCTGAACTATAGAAGATTTGTGTCAGTATAGCCTTACATGAACCTCTATCATAAATGTGCTGTTTTTGTAAATCATGACCTATTTACCCAGATGAAAAATGAATTAGAATATATCTCCTTATCCAGTACTGCTCTGTCTATTTTTGAGCTCTTGTGCAGAGAAATGGAATTGCTTTTTGAATTCCGCATCAAGAATGTAGTCTGATATTTTTAACTCATTCTTAATTTTTGTATTATATAAACAAGATGAATAATTAAGATGAATGTGTTTAGTCCCTCTCTTACTTGATACAGGTTTATGAATATAGGCCATTGTTAAAATCCTGTATGTGCATTATATTAATTTAGCTTTAAGCCGGAAGTTTTCCAATTGATACGGTGGAGCTGAAGGCAGCATGTTTGTTAATCTGTGTATTTTCAGTAATTGGTAGGAGAGTGTTAGTGGGTTTAATGCCCACTGTGGGCTCTGCATTCAGTGTAGGTTAAGAGCTCCCAGCTGGCTCCCTGCCAGTTTGATTCCTTCTCTCACAGTCTTCCTTGTTACAGCAGTAAAGTTTGCAGATGCTGTGTGTTATCTGAAATAATCCGTTGCCCGGGGCAGCTTCTGCATTCCAGCCGAAACTACAAGGTGTTTGCACACTCCTGGATATCTGGGGCACAAGCCCTTGCAGACTCTTAGAATGAACTGAGCCACTTGCCTCTAGTGCTTAGGTGCAATTTGCGAATGAAACATTGGCAGTTTGGGTGGCACAATGGCATGGCTGAATTGTAAATGTGGGTGCCTTATGTGTGGAGTTTGTAATTTCTCCTTGTGTCCATTTGTTTTTTTTCTAAATTGTCATAGTGTGCTTGTGAGTGTGTGCTGTGCGACTGATGTTACATCTAGAACATAGTCCTTCCTTGCATTGGATAGGATATGCTGGGCTCTGGATTTCCAAAGCTGTTACCAGGTGTAAGCAGTTTTCTGATAAAGGGTGGGTAGCTAGACATGCTATTGACTTCTTTGTAAATTGTTTAAAAACGAATCAGTGGGGCATCGAAAATCTACAGTTCTTCTCAGTGAAAGATCAATTTTTAGAAGTTCTGCTTGGCTTATGGATGAGTGAGTGGAATAAACATGATGCTTAGAAGTTGGAACTCTGTTTTATAGAGCAGGGAAATAAGATGAACTGTTTAAGGAGGGGTCATCTGAGTGCAGTGTATGCTTAAACTTTACAGGAGTCCTCCTGCTGAAATGAAAAGAAACTGTCTGTTGGTAGTAACTTGGTCCTTTTATGGGATTCTCTCTCTGTCCTGCAGGTATGTTGCTGCTGCGGCCCTGCCCCGTGCTCTCTGTGCTGTGCCTGCTGTCCGTCCGTCAAATCCTCCACGAGCACCAGGCTCATGTACGCGCTGTTCCACATCTTGGCCTGCGCAGTTTCTTGCCTCATGCTGTCTAGGACCATCTCTGAAGCAGTGCGAGAGAATGTGAGTGGCTTTCTGAAAGTGATTTTATGTTGTTCTTTCATTTAAAACCTTGATATGTCCTGTATGCTGAATTCATCTAGTGCTCACTCTGTAGGGGACAAATGAGATTATTACATTAATTTACTTACTTTCTATTGTCCCAAATGGGAAATTTCCTTTGTACTGTTTAAATTGACTGGTTCCACACAGGTGTATCCTATTAATTAAAGGTGATGTTTTACCTCCATGTTATGCTTTTATATCTAATTTTTTTGTAATTTAACTTTAAAGACTTAGGTAATTGCGATGTTTACTGTAAAAATATCTTGGTCTATGTAAGAATTAAGCCATTTTAACATTGAGCATCAAAGATCAAATATTATTTGTTTAAGCACTCAAAATCTTGAATCCACTAATATCAAAACTCCCTTTCCCAGGCCTTTGTTTGTTGTTTCCAGTCCTGTTCAATAAAGATCCAATTAATCCATCCTTAGGGTAGACAGTAACAAGATTAACCAGTGAACTAGAAAGATGCATTACAAAAACAGGTCCTGGCAGCTGATGTTTTAGTAAAAAAAGTTATTTTTTTACATCTCATTCAAAATAGTGTCGCTCTGTGTCAAAACTGGCTAAGCTATCCCACTAGACAGTTAAAAAAGTTAATTAGTAAAAGCTGTCAATCTTCCTGATGTAGAGTCAGGAACATTACCGCCTTGTTAACCTTCGACCTATTAAGTCTCTTCGACAAGACTCTGTGAAGTGAACCCAGAGCTGCTGTGATCACACAGCGGCAAAGGTTTCTGGAATCAGTCCAGAGAAGAGCAACCAGATAAATTCCTGGTCTTAAAGGAATGTCCTAGGCTGACATGCATAATAATCTGGACCTTTATAGCTCTAAGCAGTGAAGATTGTGAGGGGACCTCAAGTATTAAAAATATTGGAGTCAGAATCAACAGTGACGTACGAACCAGAGGGAACAAGTGCATAATGCATTCAGAACTTAGACCAAGCAGCACTTCTTTTATCAAGATCCTTTTATCAATTAGGTTACAGAAACCATACAGACTATCTGGGCTCCTCTAATTTGTGAACCCACTCATGTTTTTATGTTTGTCCGTAATGGGTGTTTTTGAACTAATGTTATACGAATAGAGAATGTGATCATCACAGTATGTTCGATAAAGTTCCTCTATCACTTTTATGGCCTAAGCTGTAACTTTCAGTTGAAGTGAGTGAAGTTTAAAACCGATGATTTTGTTGCTTGTAAAAGTGAAGGGGGTGAAGAATATTTAAAAATTTCACATACAGTATGTTAGTAATATTAAACATTGAACAAACCAGATACAAAAAAGAAAGAAAAATATTCCTGCTGAAAACGGTCATTTACTTATTATTCTCTATAGGTAATTCTGGTTAACCAAACCCCGGAGGTAGATTTTCGCATTGCATTGCATTGTACTGGGTGTTATTGTCCTGGGGCTGACTGTGCCAGGTTAAGAGCTTTTGTTTTTGTGTGCTTCTTAGGTGCCTTTTTACACCCTGATCTGTGAGCATGTCCAAGGAGGTGGCGACTGTGAGATACTGGTGGGCTACTCGGCAGTGTACCGCGTGTGTTTCGGCACTGCCTGCTTCTACCTGATGCTGGCCCTCTTCCTTATCAATGTCAAGTCCAGCCAGGACTTCCGTGCCCTCATCCATAACGGGTCAGTGCCACACACAGCAGGTACAGTAGGCAGACTCACATTATCCCAGCTCTACAGTGCATTTGTCTGCCTGCTTCAAGGGCACAATCCAGTGATGGGTTTGTGCCATTCATATTGCTTCAGGTGTTTTCCCAAAACTGGATCATTTTATTGCACTCTTAAGACCCTACTCAACACAAGGGGTTCATTTTTTAGTTTAGCCAATTGTGTGATTGAGAGTTTAGTACAGCAGTTATTCTCTTACTGTGGCCCTGAGATCTATAGAGTCTGGCACCTAAAATCTGTACCTGTTTAAATATGGGAATGGATCAGACATAGATTACAGGGTTAAGAGCTGTTGCTGGGCCAAATACGTTTTTCTGCCTTAAGAGTCTTATCGAATCAAGAGAACAAGCATGGACAGGAAGTGCTGATTGGTGTCCCCTATTGTAAGTAGAGATGAAAGGTCTGATATTGGCCATCTTCTGCCCACAGCAAGTGTTTAATTGCCTTGCCAGTTCTGCAGTTCAGTCTGCCAGTTCTGCAGTGGAGTCATTGAACAATGTCACTTTCACGTCTCTTCTAAGGAAACTCATCACATGTCCTTGTCCTTCAGACAGTGCTTCACTCATTTTTGGACATTTATCACTGTCTCCCATTATCATTTACTCTCCCTCTACTTCTCTTCCAGGTTCTGGTTTCTGAAGTTAGTCACCCTGATTGGGATGTGTGCTGCTGCCTTCTTCATTCCCACTGAGTCCTTCCTGCACGGTGAGTGAACCAGGGACCCAGTACTATATTGATGGAATACCATTGAAGAGATTAGAGACATTTAATTCTTTGTCTTCCAAAACATATATTCAGGAGTTAGATAAAATGATAGCTTGCTTACAATGCTATTTTTTGTTAAGTCAATCTCTCTGTTTAGGTCTCACACCCATTTCTGTATTGTAGCTGCTGGCAAACATATGCCTTTCCAGTCCTTTCAGGACCATATGCTTAAGCAGGCATAAAGAATTCTTACATACTTGATCAAAGACATTGGCAAAGGATTTGAATCACATTGTACCCTGTAGCATCTAGGCCCTAAGATAAAGACCTTCATGGATGTTAGCTTGAAAGAGATGAGTCTGAATTAATACCTCTTAATGTGAGAGCATGCTTAAAGCATGATGATGTTTACAGCATACACAATGACATTGAAGAGACAGAACTCACACAGCCCTCAGTACTTAATTAGGGAATTAAGTATTAATTCAGGGCAAACACTGCTAACAGCAGAGCTTATCAGATGAGCACTGAAAGTTATGTAAGCCTCACTACAGCGTGATTATAAACTTTCCCAGTTGATGGTTGACTAGAAAACTGGGTCTGACTGTGTGACTGAATAGTAAAACACTGACTCTTTCATGGTCTGCTATAACAAGATGGGAAATTAAATTAAATGTAAACGGATGACATGTGAACTAATTCACAGTACTTACAGAGCAAAGTGTATCAGTATGCCACCTCACAGAACTAAAATATACAGCATAAAAAGTCTACAAATTAGTTATGATATACAAATGATATACATGAATTAATATACTAGGCAGCTTAATTAAGGTGCACTTCTGACATTGACCACCAGATGACACTAGGCATCCGTAGCTCTTACTCTGATGCAACTAAATGATCAATTATGTAAAAATCATTACTATGTATCCATAAAGCAATGGGTTCTTTTGGTTTTAATTGTGTGGGGATTAGTGGCCTTATGAAAAAACAAGTGAAACAACGGCAGTGCTGGATCTGTGATTCCATCTGAGAGGAATCAATCCTGACCCTTCTACAGCTCCCGTTTGCACACTCCCTGATGAGCTGCAGTTTAGGGGCGTGAGCAGGTGGTGTGGAAGAGCCCAGTGTTAGAGAGCGACCTGAGGTTCAGTAGTGCTCTGTCAGTGAGCCCTGTCCCGAAAAACAGCTTGAGAGGCTGCTCTAGGGATGTGGTGGTCTTGGTGTGATCTTTATCTGACTTTAAGGTTTCTGTCTCTGCCCCTCTCTTGCTGCAGCCTGGCACTATGTGGGTGTGGTCGGGGGCTTTGCCTTCATCCTGATCCAGCTGGTCCTCATTACTGCCTTCGCTCACACCTGGAACAAGAACTGGTGAGTCCAGGGGGGTGAAGGATGGAGATGGTTTGGGTAACTGTGAAATGTGCCTGATTGCGATTGAATGGACTTTTGGATGAGGGTGGGAAGTGATCAGGAGGTTATGTAGATGGTACAGAATTTTTCACAAGCTGTTCAGCATTAAAAAGGATGAGTGGTTGAAAATATTTCTGAATCATCTTAAAGAGGGATTGAGGTGCTCAAAGCATTTCAACACAGGCTGGCAGCATCAAGACTCAGATGATCCCATCATTCATATTAGCATTAAACATCGGAAACACTGACACAGCCAAATGCTCTCAGTAAATACCAGGTTTTGAAATATATACCAGGAGAACAAGAACTTGGCATGTTGCATGCAGGTGCCTCAGGCCTGTAGGAGTGTTTCTGTGCTTTGTGACACATGTGGAGGCGGGTAGCACTCATCTGCACTCTTCAGAGGCCTGTCCATAACTACAGAAGAGCATAAATCTTTTATATTGTTTTCAACAAAACACTTCCATCATCTGCCTTCTGAAGGCTTCTCGGTTACTTCACTGATTTCCCCCTGTGAGTTTCTCCGTCTCTCTTTGTGCCCATCCCCAGACAGACACCTTGCTTCCAGATGTTGCCCGTAAAATGAAGTGTGGCGCACAGCCTTTCTGTGCTGTGCCAGAACGCTCGGAGATATCAATTAATAACTCACACTCCTTGACAAGTTGAAATGTTTGAGCTTAAGCGGGTTTTGCAGCAGTTTGGAGGCTCTCCAACTAAAACACGTGCTGTGCAAAATCCCTCTCTAGCACCAGCAGGTTCTCCGCCTCAGAGACAAGGGACCTGGCAGACTGCTGGACCGATTGAGCTCTAGGATTCTCGGGACCTGTGCAGCTCGTTCAACAACCCCGTGTATGAGAACACTTACTGCTTTGTCAGATGTAGCTTGAGCTTTGGTCTCTCTCTGTCTTTCTGCTTCTCCAGGTTGACAGGTGCTGCTGAAGACAAACGCTGGTACCTGGCAGTAGTGTGTGCCACCCTGGTCTTTTACACCATTGCCTCCTTGGCCTTCACTTTCATGTACAAATACTACACCCATCCTGCAGGATGCTTGCTCAATAAGGCCCTTCTATGGACCAACCTGGGGCTGTGTGTCCTGATGTCCAGTATCGCCATCACACCCTGCGTACAGCTGAGTGAGTGTACCACATGCGTCCCTTTCCAGACCTACTCGCCTGGCTTCACATGAGAACAGTGCGCCTTCCTGACAGGCACTGCTCAATCACAAGCCATAAGTGTGGCACACTGTTCGTTCAGCTCTATACTGAAGGCAGCGAATAGAAATCCAGACCGCAGGTCCTAAATGTGGATTTCTGTCTGGAGAGCTGTAAGAGTGGTAAGGCTACCCCGAGATCCTTCAAGAAGTGGCTTATTGAGACCCTGGGGAACACCCACCTGCTAACACTCAAGCAAGACAGATGGATCAAATGGCTCCTTCTTGTCCCTAACCTCTCTTGTTGTGTCCTTATTCCCAACAGTTCTGTCTAAAGTTGTCAGGGTAATATTAGCAACATGAATTAACAAGTTTTAAGCAGTATTTTTTACCATAGTTAAAGATGTTTTGAGTTATACCGTGAAGTCTTCAATATTGCCGGTTACATAGAAACCTTGTAGTGTGGGACAGGATTTGGTGAAGCGCATGTCTGAAACCTCTTTCCTGTGCTATGATTTCAGAGCAGCCGCGCTCAGGACTGCTGCAGGCCTCCATCATCAGCTGTTACGTGATGTACTTGACCTTCTCTGCTCTGTCCAGCCGGCCGCCAGAGAGAGGTACGTGAATGACTCACACCGGGAAACTGTGTCTGCTACTGACAGACCTGCTCCTTCTCCAAGTCTTGCTTGCATGGCCTATATCCCAGAGGGCCAGATCATATAAAAAAAGGGCAATTTAAATTTAAGACACTGATGAATACAAACCAAGCCAAAAAAAGACTGGCCTTTCCTGTCTTGGCGTATAACTGTTGTAGGAAATTCTTCAGCAGAAGAGCAGGAGACAGCCTTGTGCGGATTCAGCCGAGGTTTTCTAACCCTTTCTATGCAGTATAGTCCCATGTAGTACGTGACAGTTTGGTTTCTTTCATGCTTAGGTGGTTTACATCCTGTTCTTTGAAGTTGATCACTCTTTTTCTTGACAACATCATTAGGGGCTGATCAATTACCGTTGTTTTTGCAAGTGAGATCTTATTATACTTTAACAGACCTTGAGGCAGTTTGGTGACTGATAGAGGGCAGTATAGTTAAGTTAACATATTCTAGTAATTATTCCATACATATTAAGCACTAACACTGTAACCTTTAACATGTGCTGATATACAGTATGTGTCACACTTCAGTGACAATAGAAAGGTATTACTCCCAGGGTGGATACTAACTTGGAAAGGCAGAACAAGCCAGCTGGTTAATACAGCACTAGTCGTACAGGTTCCCCAATAAGTATTCCCTTCATACACTGGTGCAACAATCGTATAAATAAGATTGACTGAGGTTTGGCAATGGTTTCTAGCAACACCGCAGGGCTTTCAGAATAGACCACCCCAGCTTCATTTACCCACTGTTGCTTCACACCTAGCCCTCACAAACATATCTCTTTGCCTAGTGCAGCCTCAGAGTAACAAACCTACTCTCGTTTATCTTTGTATTCAGGATGTATGAGGAATTTCCTCAGAAATTCATCCAACCAGCAGAAAGCTACTCTTTCCTGTTTAAAATCACAGGAACCTGGAGCCTATCCTATCATACAGCTCAAGGCAAGGCAGGCCTATACCCTGAAAGGGAGCTCAGTCCATTGCAGGAGGCACAGACACACAAAACTAAACACAGAGACAACTTAGAGACACCAAATAACCTAATCAAGTCTCAAGGAGGCGGAATCAAACTGGGACCAAAATCTGCACATCCCTGCACAAGGCTGCACAGTCTGAAATTGAGCCCAGGACTTCAGAGCAGTGAGAAAGCAGTGTAAGCTGCTATGCTATCATGCTGCCCTTCCTCATTCATGCCTTTCTCTGTTTTACTTTAGCAACTCTGCTAATAAAGTAAATCCTTGGAATTACCACACACCAATCACTCATGCCCTTATTCTGTCTCGTGCCTGCCTCCTTTGAAATGACTCCAGGCTTGCGTGTGTGAGGGATAGGCCCTCAGATACTGATGATCCACCTAGCCTGCTGAGGGAATCTGGAGAGAGTTAAGAGTTTAATCCCCACACAAGAGCCACCACTCACGAGCTTTCACAAAGGAAACAGTGTGTGTCATTCAGAACTTCACACACCTCCCTCAAGCGTGCTTTGTCAAGTAGCATTGTCCATTGTCTAGTACCGTTTGGATAATTATCCCTTGTTTTACTTAAGGTTAGTGAAAAATTTGAAAGGTGCAAATAAAACTGGAAACAGTGGAAGTGTAGGGATATTTTATTTTATCCTGTATAAACATACAGCGTGCTTGAGAAAAAAACTAGTGTGGAGTTTATTTGTTATGTCCTTATACTTCAAATGATGAATTATTCAAATAATTATCAGAGGAAAAAAGCATTTAATGTTACCCAGCCATTGGGTTTCCTCCGTAAGCCAGGCATCTGTAAGAAAAAAGGTTTCTATGGAAACGCCTGGCTGAGTGTTGATGGCACCATGATGGCAGGGCCTCCTATTCAAAGCGGGAGGAGGCTGTGGGGCCTAGCTAGGGTCAGTGGCCCCTGGATGGGCAGAGCCTTGACTGGACGCTGGCTGTGTGACAGAGTGTAAGAGAGCCCCTCCTCAGAGAGCTAGCTAGTGCTGTCCCGGGGCTGTGCGGCACCGTGCTCTGACTTGTTGAGCAGCTATGCACCACCAGCCTGCTATTTAAATATTTCTTTCTTTTTTTTTTAACAAGATACAATGTTTTAAAACCAATAAAGCTATTATTTTGCTTTTAATTGAAAAGCTCGTGTTTGTGGGGCACAAGACATAAAGAAACACATCGGAGGACTTGTGCAGTTGTGCAGGTCAGGCAGTAAGGACAGCGCTGATTTCTCAGAGGTGGGGAGAAAGGAACAGTGAAGGGAGGGGTGTCTCGTGGGCAACTTGAGCTGGACAATTAAAAATGTTGAACCGCAATAAAATCAATTTTCTCCTGCAGCGCCCGTGTCACAGAGGTGTGTGGAGGAGAATTCTTGGGTTGCGTGTTAAATTGTGCTGATAAAAACATGTAATTAGCTCGTGTTTATCCCAGCGCTCAGGAATGCTGGGTGTTTGCTGTGGTGTACAAGTTCAGCACAGAGAGCTCTCTGCCATGCAGACAGCAGGCTGTGAAAACACCTCGGGGTCTGGGTGCCGCAGAGAGGACATGTTCTGTCTGGGGCAGCGCAGACGAAACCAGCCCACTGCCATTCACCACACACTGCAGTCAGGGCTTTGGCAGAGAGATCTACTGTGTCAGTCAGCTCCAAAGGCTTTTGCCCCAGCACTGAGAGAGAATAACAATCCTCTATTGTCAGAAGTCATTTCCAAAGCAATTAGACTTGTCAGTTCTGTTTACAAAATAGAAAATTGTCCTGGATTGGAGCTTTATAAATCAAGCTCTAAGTGCTTCTAGCACAAACTGTACATGTTTAGCACACTACTACAATAACTGAGCTTCAATCACGGTGTTCATTCATCATTCTCTGGGTGTTGCAATATTTTGGTAATTTAACAGACTGCCAGTTCTACTGAAGAAGACTATGTCACAAACCCTCTTTCATTGTGCGTCTATGTTTATGTGAGTACATCGTTCAGTTTGGAGAGAAAACAGTTAAGGTTGAATGAAAAAAAAATCGTTGTTTCTTTAAAAAGCAGTCAGGAAAGCTAGGAAAGAGTATAATAGTGGCCTCTGATCCTACAGGACAGTGTTGAAAGAAAGATGGGGTCCGCTTTTAGCCACCTGTGAGTCTGGTTGGTGGATTTCAAAAGCTTTGTTTCGGATGTACAATCTTTAAAGAAATGTGAGGTGCACCTGCACAATTACTGAGGCATCAGCCAAAGTCACAGGGCCCTGACCGCCTCACGGCTGTGTCTGTGTCTTCGCTGCAGTGGAGTATCAGGGACGCAACATGAGCGTGTGCTTCCCCAGTGTGAGCCGGGACGGCCTGCAGACCGAGGACAACGCGGTGGCCATCATAGGAGCGACCATCATGTACGGATGCGTGCTCTTTGCATGGTAAGCATGGGCAGACGGGCAGCTGGGCCTCTCTGGGTCACACACTGATCCCCTCCACCCCTGCATGAAGGCCTCTGGTTCACTTTCCTCCGACAGCAACTTTTAAAGGATTTCAAAGAACTGTCAACTGTTTTTATAAAGAGCAGAACAACAAAATAAAACATGTGCTCAAAACTAAACACTAAGGATGAAAGAAATGTTTTGACACGCTGACCCTCAGCCAAGGTTCAGATTAGACAACAGTTTTTTTGCTTTAGACTCAGCAACTGGCATCCTTAATGCTCTTCAATGTGATCAATATGATTGACAGTTTAAAGATTTTGCTTTGTTTGAAATTTGCAGCATTGTCCTCAATAAAAGTAGGGCTTCTCAGGTTTAAAATGTAATTTTAGTTCACTCATAAGAAGAGTGAACTAAATACACTTATCATGCATTGGCAGATATGTACAGTTACCTTGATAAAAATATATACAAAGCCATTTCCCTGTGGATATACAGTATTTGTCTTCCTTAGTAGTAGTATCATTATGGAAGATTGTTTCAGAATGTATCGGCCTTCATGCCAAATTCAAATTGTTTTATCCTATGTCTCCTGCTAGCAATGAAGCCTCCTATCTGGCAGAGATGTTTGGCCCCTTCTGGATGATTAAAGTTTACAGATATGAGTTCCAGGTGAGCAGTTCTCCAAGTGCTGTCACAGCAGGTGTATTGGCCCTGTCAAAATCGCTTAGTAGCAGTGAAGACAGACAAAGTTATCAAACCACTTCTGGTTCACTGGAGCATTGTGGGGCAGCTCAGTCCAGTATATCAGCACTATCAATGTTTAAAGTCAGCTCTTGACTTTAGTCCTTCATAGTTTGCAAATAAGGCTTTCAGGTTATGTTTACTGGGGCAACTAGTCATGGTTGTAAACTCTCTTCTTCTCTGCCTTTTCAGAAAGCCAGCTGCTGTTTCTGCTGCCCTGAGGAAGATGAAGGTGAGTGCTAGGACTGCATGACTTTTTTCCTAACAAAATTTAAATACAAAATATTTTTGTGGAATATAATGATAAAGTATGGATAGCACAGTGGAAATGTGGGGTCCTGGGCTCAATTGCTGGGTTGCTTTGTACATGAAGTTTGTAATTTCTCCTTGTGTTCCTCTGGCTCCAGTTTCTGCTTACAGGACCATCATGACCCTGAGTTAGATAAACAGTTATTGAAAGTGATGTGATGATGTTGTGATTATAAAGTCAAATATATTCTTATCCAATACAAGTAGAGTAAAGCTATTTGTAAAATATTACTATCAGGTATATTTTACTTATTTTGTATCTTAGTGGCCTTTAAGTGTTATACTGATAAGGTAGCAGCTGAACTAAAATGTATACCTTCATTTCTATAATAAACAGTTTGAATTAAGATATTTATGAACATAGATAATGATTAATAATTCATATATGTTCATAGATCTGCTATTTTATTCATGTCTTTTCCACAGCAATGCGGAGTTTTGTAACGCTGGGTCTGCTGGCCTGTGCCCTGCCTCCTGCAGTGAGTGATACTCTACCTCTCTCCTCTTTCCTCAGACCAGGTGTTTGAAGTTGATGATGACAGCAAGGCTGGTCAGAAGGTGATCCACAATGAGACCCAGCGTGTGGTCTACAGCTACTTCTTCTTCCACTTCGTCTTTTTCCTGGCCTCCTTGTACGTCATGATGACACTCACCAACTGGTTCAGGTAGGGAGGTGCCTCATTGACACATTAGTAGGGGTGTGTGATCTGCAAAGGCTTGGAGAGCTTGATAACTAATCATCTCTGTGAATGGCTTCCCAATTAGTGGGCCTTCCAGGTCACTGTAATGCCATTTCATATCATAATTGATGTTATTGTCATTCACTTAGTCACTGAAAGTGCTGGTTCTGTGCTGTCATCAAGTGGAATGGACAGAAAACTGCTCCATATTTGCATTTGCAAAAGGAAGTTAAAGTGAGGCACAATACTGTCACTGGTGCAAATTCTGTGATAAATACATACAGACTGGTACATGTGTTTTGATATGCCTCTCTTCTAAATAAGAAATGAAATCTAATTTCATTGAAATTTAATTTCTAGGAATAGTAACCCTTTGAGTGCTCTCTTTTCATCAATCAGAACATTATCGTAGAGATTCACTCATATCACACGAAAGCCTGAGGGTCTTCTGCTTAGCTACTAGCCAAGTGCCTGATAGTCAGAGGTGTATCTCGCTAACACCAGCTTCTCTTGACAATATATAAACACTGCGCTAAGCAGGGTGCATCGATCTCTTAGAATTAGTGTGTACCAGTGATGATAGACACAAGATGTTGTTTTACTCTCTTGCAGTCCTGCAATAACCTAATGCAGTGCTTCCCAAAGTATGTTGTGACACACTGGTGTACTATGGAAAGCTCTCAGGTGTACTGTAGAATCAGAAGAGATCATGTTTAACACATGTGAATTAGAAGGTCCCCCTTACTCTTTCCAGGATTTAACTTATTAAACAGTTACATGTACTAGAACAAGCTCTCATTTCACATTTAAATCTTTGTCATAAATGTTCAATGAAATTCTTCTCATTAAAATTGTAAACTATGTTTAAGTTCTCTTTCAGTATCGATGTTGATAATTTCCAAATTAATTTCTGTGAAAAGTTTGACTAGTTAAAGCCATGCCACAAGCTGAAAAAGTTTGAGAGGCACTGATCTAATGAAATCTAAAAAAGGATGAAATGGAGGTCTCTCTCAAAATGTCTGTGGCAAGGCAGCATCAAGGCTCAAGAGTTCTAACACCTCCATAGATTCAGATTTTGTACTTCTCTGCTTGGTTTCAATGTGAGGATTTGGGGTGAAATGCCTTATGTGGAAGTCCTTTTTATACTTGGAAAAGTTCCTTAATCTAAAAACACAAAAGATTTTAGGGCAGTTCTATTTTATGGCTAAGCATTCTAGGCCAAATGGGAAGGGAAGTAATAGATTAAGCCTTCGCCAGGTCTCCAGAGGAAAGCAGAGAGAGAAAAAGTGCAGTTACCAGAGACTAGGCTGGTAACAAGAAAACTAGGTGGAGAGACATTAGCAGAGTATTGATGGAATGGGAGCATACTCTCAGATTGTTCTCCCAAAAGGTGGTGGTCATGGTTGGCTGACAACCGTGGGGAAACATCAACAAACTAAGAGATGGCCTGAGAAGATACAGGAAGATACACAGTCATGTGCTCTTCACTATTCTCACTTTCACCATTTTCTAAGTAGATTATCTCACTCCTCAGTATCTTTGTATATAATAGGAGACAGCAGAGCTGTCCCAGGAGCTGCAATTGAACCCATGCAAAAGAAAATGTCTCTCTTGTTCCTTTGTCCAGCTTCTTGGTCACTATCAAAATTGTGTATCCCCTCAGCCCATCTCTCCGCTTCCTCATAATCCCACTACTGCTACCATGTGTAAGAAGGTCTATGGTTCTTGAGCACTGAGTCCTCGATGTAGTTGTGCAGTCTCCCACTCTCCATCTGTCCACTGCAGCTATGAGTCGGCCATGCTGGAGACCACCTTCACCCATGGAAGCTGGTCCACCTTCTGGGTGAAGATGTCATCATGCTGGGCATGTGTGGCCCTCTACTTGGGGATCTTGTTGGCTCCACTGTGTCGCCCGCAGCCTAAGTCAAGGCCCAAACGCTCCCGCATCAAGAGGCGCTCAACCATACAGCAGGATGCCAGCGCGTGACCGTTTATCCAAAGACACAGGGGCAGGAGGACAGGAAGGACAGTACCAGCTAAAGAGCACCAGGACTCCAGACCCTGAACTACAGTTCACTGCTGTGCTTTGAGAACTTTGTTCAGAACGCAGTTTTGAATCAAGATTATCAATCTACTGTTAAAAACAAAAAATGACATGGAAACTTGGAATTTCTGACTCTGTATTCACTTTACTGATCTAAACGTGTTCCACAGTTTCTAGGTGACTGTGTATAGGAGCAATATGGAGCTGTTGTCTTACTGCAACAAGTGATTTAAAAAAATTCTGGAACAGTGAATCTGCTAGATAAATGTACACTGCCAAAGCACAAGGCTGCAAAAACATGAACCCAATTCTTAAATCCCAAGGAGTCGTTTTCTATAGCTTTCAGAAATATAAAAAGTAAGTAATCTTATTTTTCTCTTCAGAAGGTGGTCTACAGACTCAGCCTCAGATGTATGCAATAATTATTACATTCATTTTATTTATGTTTTTCTATTTTTAACTTGTAAACTTTTCAAATTTTAGTTGATCTTTTACATTTCTCCAGAGCAGTACAATCTGTTAGCATGACGTCTGCAGGATTTGCACAACATAAGTGCCTCTGCTTTCAGTGATTTGTAGCCACTTTTTCATTTCCCTCTGAATCCCCTACCAGAGGCTCGGAATGCACAGCTTTCATCTTCAACAGAGAACTTACTGCACTTCCCCCATCCCATCGTGCCCATGGGAAGAATAAGCTACTGAATGTTGTGCAATACAGTGAGCTTTCTACACCTGAAGTAAGAGAATATAAATTATTAAAGACGACACAAGTTCCAAGTACTAGTGAGAATGAAGTGTTTTTAAAATATTTAGAGTGTGTTGGTGTAGCTCTGTGTGGAAAACTTTCCAAGTACAGTATATTTTACTGTTATTTTTGCACACTTCACTGTTTAAAAACCTATAAACGGTGTAAAATAAGCAGGGTATCAATGCAAAATGTAAAAGTTCCATAAGAGAGCTTTGAAGAATTCCAGATACAGTATGAATCTTATGTTTTAGAGTTTTCCTTAAAATTAATCATTACAGAAAAAATGGTATAATGTTTCCTGGCAAAAGGAGAAGAGAGAATGATCTGCTAGCTTTATTTTCTTTAACTCCTAACAAAACACCAACACAGTTTAAAAAGGCCCTGGAGTGAGTGAAAAGCAAGAAAAACAAAGTAAAATAGTTCTGGTCCATTGTTTTTCATCTAATAAATATTTGAACACTTTCTAGATACAAATAGTGGTGTCTTGATCCTCTACACATCTTTTCAGTCCTGCTAAACTCTTACCTGCTTGAATGCGTTTAACCAGCTTCAAACGTGATAAAATCCTGGAAAACCTACAGAAACTTACTGGCTCTCCAAGACAAGGATTGGGTAGCTCTGTCCGGGATCCCACTCGCCCCCCCCCCGTCTGTATCTACAGATAGAGTTAGAAACATACAGGAAATCCCACCTGTAATTCACACAAGGATGGCCTCAGGATGAAATGTGATATTATATTCTCAAAGGATAATAACAACATCACCAGTAATAATTATAATAAAATACACTTTGTTGGGTTAAAAAAGTATTTTAAAAACAATGCACAAATATAAATGCATGTGACTCAAAACATTATAAACTTTATAAAGTGATTTCATTATATTCTGTGGTTTCATAAATATGGTCAGCACTATGCATTGCTCTGTACTTAAATCTATAGGGTTATGATAGGGAAGCAGAAAGCAACCCTGGTAAGACAGACAATATTTTTGCGCTAAAAACAACTGCATTGAAAACATAAAAATTGATGTGCTGGTGTAGAAGTCTAGATCGGTACATGAAATACTGTGAGGATCTACAGCATGAGGTGTGTTGTAGGTTGTTTACGTTTCTACGTAGAAAATCACGGCTAGAAATGTAGGCTTTCTGTGCAATAGTACATTTCACCACGTGTTCGCTTTTGGACTGTTGCCCAAAGTGAAATAATACTGTGTGCAGCTTGAACATCCCATCTTTGGTATCTGAAATTGTAAAATGGCTGTTGTTTCCAGAAAGAGTTCTCCTTGAAGGTGTTAGCAATGAACTTAGCAAACAGGGTGTCTCCTTCCTTCTAGAGACCATTCATTTCTGTTTGCTTGTCCTAGGGTCTTTGTGTTCTCTGAATTATATTGGCTTCACATGTTGCCAGCTGTGTTCTCTATTCCCATTTCTACATTGCACATGTCTATGTTCCAACATGCCCAACACGCTTTCTGATGATCTTGGGGCCCCCTGTCCTCCGAGCCCTTTCAGTCTTGCCACTGTTTCTGCACGAACACGCCATATAGTCTCCCAAGTTTGTTGCAATCAGAATGTCGTGTGTACAGCTCCCCTGGAGTGTGTGTGCAGACAGGATGTGGAGGCCGATCTGCCTGGACTGCATGTCTGCGGAGTCTAGCTCTTCAGCTCGGCGGGCAGTCTGGAGCGCCGGTTACTACACTGCTGCTCCAGGGGCCGCAGTAGCCTGTCCTCACGGGGATGGTAGACATGAGCGTAACTGTCGGGCTCCAGCAGGATGCGATTGAGCGTCCGCTCGAAGTTGACATGGCGCCGGGCCATCAGCACATACTGGCGGCCCTCCTCCAGCAGGGGGCAGTCACAGACATCAGGCACCCACAGGAACTCCCGATGTTCCAGGCGGAAACGGTTGCGGTAGGTGTGGATGATTTGCACGTCATAGCGTGTCTCCTGGCCTCGATACTGCTTCCCCATGACCTTCGCACGGAACACTGTCAGGACAGAGAGGCAGACAGGCGCACAATGACTGGAGAGGTGGTAGACTGCACGATAGGGCACTCAGGCTAATCTGTCAACCAGCTTTTCCTTGCTTACACACCCTCTCCCTGTATGGCACTCAGGCCTGAAGATCTAGAGGTAGGGCTGTCCCTCAAACCTATAAGCCCCATGAAGCTCCACTCAGCCAACACAGCTCATTGACAGGTCCAGTGCTGGAGACTCACCAAAGTCCTTCTGGCAGTACTGTCTTTGGCGTTCTCCTCTGCCCCGGACCCTCCTGCACTTGCCACAGTGCCCTGCAGCAAGTGGACAGCAAGGACAACAAGATTAAGAACGACAGGCTGAAGAAAGTGGTCAGGTAGCATTCAGATTTCGTAAGAAGTCACAAAAGAAGAGGAGGCCATTTGTTACAGTTCCAATAAATGATCTAAGAACCTTATCCAGTTCCTCTTTTGAAATGTGCCAGGTTGTCAGCTATAAAAATGGGGCTGAGTGACTTATCCATTTACCTGCAACCAATAATATAATATTTCACGTTCTCTCAGAGAATCACAGGATCCTTTAGGAGCTTGTAATTGTTTGGACATCAGCTGTCTGTGAAAGTATTTACATTCAGTCCTGTATGATCCATGGGGGCTGGGCGGGGGGGGGGTGACTGATCAGAGTCCACTGTGTGTAAGGATGGCATTTTGTCACGGCTGTGTTACTGGCTTGTCAAAACGATTTCAAATCGGCTCTGTGAAACATGTTAAATAAATAAAACCAGGCAGCCCGAGAGCTGTAGCAGTTCTCACTGGCACGAGGAGGCCGGGGCAGCAGGTTGCTTTGGTTCTCATCTCTCTCCAGCCGGGCCTGGGGTTGATTTGATGGGTGTCCCACTGGCCTGGTTCCTAAGGGGACTGAGAAGGACAACCGGTCAGACCTGTCTGCTGTTCAGGCATCTAAGAATAACAGAAGTATTAATTGTTCCCAGAGCTTTATGCGTCCCTAATACTCCACCCCTCTTCCTTATCTCAGTCACGTAGGGAAGCAGAGCAGAGATCACTGCAGTGACATAAGTGTTTTTTTTTTAGATCAAAGCTTTTAAAAAGGCCATCAGAGTAGCATGAGATGGAGAGTAGCATGAGATGCAGTCTTATAAATACTCTGATACACACCTAAGAAATTAGCATTTAATTCAGGTGTCTAACCATTGTTAGGCTGTTTAATCCTGAAAATGCCCAAGTTAAATTCCAGAAAGTAGTTTGATAGGCTGATGTTACTGGGAACAATGTGGTTGCATGCCCCTGGACTTTAGTCTTGGGAAACTTGTATTATAAGCTTGAAGAGGAAGCTCATCCCACAGAGATCATTTACCGAAGTGAGGAGGTCTGGTGGTGGTGGTGGTGGTGGTGGTTGTTGGGGTGGTGGTTGTTGTGATTGGTGGTTGCCAAGGCGTAAAGCTGGCAGCATGATGTGGCTGGCGCAGCTGGCTCCTCCCTCCGTGATACAGAGCATACTGGTCAGGGGGCAGCCAGTACTCGTACTCTATCCCAGAATTCCTGTCAGTGAACAGAACCTACAGAAGAACAGAAGTATATAAAGTCATCCATATCAAATACAATATTATGTTAAAGGACAAAGTTGGAATTATGTCTTTGTTGTCCTAGGATCAGTTCTCAGTCAAGGAGTCAGGCGTGTAGCACTTGCATGTTTTGATCATGTTCACACAGGTGCACTGGTATCCTTCCACTTTGTAAAGACATGCTGACTTGCTTAACTGTGCATGATCATGCGCGTCCGCTGCAAAGTCCTGGCAGGGCACAGTCCTGCCCTGCTCTCCAATGCTTCTGGGTTTAGGCCACTGGTTGTACAAACTTTACCAGAATTAAGTGACTTCCTGATAACAGCTGGATACAAGTACTTTTGAAATTGATTACAATAATTTTGCTAAAAGAACACATTAGGAATATTCTCCCCAAGGTGGCTAATGCACGTTTCTGTATAAGTATGAGGTTTCTGAGCCCTGTCCAAATCCTGGAAAAGCTGCAAAGCAAAAAAAAACTGAAAGGGAGCTGCCCCCCCATCCCCCCACCCACCACAGGTACACACACGTGAATTAATCCCACTAATCACCAACTGACCATAATGTGCAGGTCCTCCTGTGTGGGCCCTGGGGCCTCGAAGCTCTCCCACAGGTCTGCAGAGCGCTTGTACACCAGCTTGGTCCCTGCCACGCTGTACTCCCCCGGTACATTGATCTTCCAGTTTCCGTTGATTATGAACTGGGAGCGGCCGTTCTGCAGAGCTGAGGGATGCGACAAGAAGCTACTGACCAGTCTGGCTCAGCCAGGAGCGGTGCTGTTTCTTCAGCACTGCTGCCAGGGAAATCATGCATTGCAAGTGCTGTGAGCACTGCCTGTCTGTGCACTAGAGGAATCACATTCATTGTGTATGGCGCTTTAATTACAAAACCTTCATGGGAAGGCATAAACATTTCAGGATCAATGTTTCTTAACTAGAAAAACAGATACTTGAATTTAGCACTAAAGTTCTATACCTATTCTTTTACTGGCCTAGCAGGCTGTGTCCACTAGAAGATGCCTGTGATCGCAGCCGGGCACTTACTGTGAAAGAGAACAGACTCTTAAGGTATCTTGTTCCCAGTGTTTGTAATGGCAGGCAGAGGCAGCCAATTATTGGCACATTTCTCTGCTCCAGGTTCCCCAGTGTACCCTGGCTAGGAATAGCAAACTAATTTATGATGATTGTGCTGATAAAATGCATGCCAGATGATACAAGGCTCTATTGAGGCCTACTCTTCAACACCACATTATTAAAATCTATTGATGTCTTTTTATAGCATAATGACCTGGTTCGAAGCTATTTTATCTAAAATAATGTTTCAGTCCCCCAACTTATTCCTCCACCCTTGTTATCGCTGGTTTAATTGTCTTTTCCATTTGAACTCACATTATTTTTGTCCCCAGCACAGAGTGGAAAATATGCAGGGCGGTGTGTTTATAGAGACAAACACCCATAACACAGCAGGACCATGGGGATTTAGCAGGAAGAGGCAACAGCTGGGGAATAGCGTTTTCCTAGTTCTGCTGGAGGGTCTCCTTCTCCAGCTATTTGTCCATTATGGGAGAGAATTTATTGTCCCAGCAAGATTGGTTGGATCAATTGACTGCTGAGCCCCATTGGAAATGATGTGAAGGGAGTCCAAAACCTGGTTCTTTTCCATACCTCGTTTGAAGAACAAGAAATGTGGAGAACATTTATCAGGTCTGCGAGAGCGTTGGTTCTTACCCAAGTAGTTCTTGCTGTTGTCAGTCACACGGATGTGTGTGGCTCCTGCAGGAATCATAGTAACTTCATTGTATCCAAAAGGACCTGAGAGGAGATGGAGAGGCTTGGGTCGATGGGCACACATACCAGTACACGCATTCACTTGATTATTGTATATAATGCAGAAATCTCTTTATATCGCTCTCAACTGTGGCATTGTGAAATGATCAGAGCTGTATAATATTCATCTATCCATCCATTTTCACTCCGCTTTTCCTGGTGAGGGTCATGGTATATAATATTCATTTATCCCATCATTTATATGGACCTACTCACTCTTAATAAGTAACTGAGAAAGGTTATATATACAGTATATCGATCTAGGCAGAATATACACTTGCCTTTGTTGACCTGCTTTTATTTGCTCTTTGCATGGCACTTACTCTTGAAAATGAAAGTATTATGAATTTTGCACAAAGCCAGGATAATTTTCAAAGTTTTCAGCTCCCAGGTTAAATTTACTCCTTGTTTTCTGGCTGGTGAGACTTCTGTGGTGTAAAATTGAACGGCAAACATCGGAGGTACGGAAGTGCTTCAAAAATCACTAAGAATCATCCATCCATTTTCTAAGCTCTTCATTCAGTTCAGGGTCAAAGAGGACCTGGGTTGCCTTGAAGCTTGTGCTGTGAAAAAAGGCTTTCTATATTCTCCAGCATCAGTCCTTGAGCCCATCTGCAGTCTTGGCTTTTTTGCAGCAGAGCTGCACAGTGTGGAGATGCAGAGGCCCTGCCCTGCTGGCTGTGGACCTAACTGCACAGCTTTGTACCAGCCACTTCAAATATGTTTTATTTTATTCGGTAAATGGGAGTGGGAGAACTGAAACACGTTTTAGACTCTATAAACAAAGCAAGCATTATCGCCTGTTTTCTGCTCACTTGAATTATGCCAAGTATTTTCACTCTGCCTACACAAGGACTGGCATAAAAGGACTGCTGTTTTACAAGAAAACATGTTGCCGAGTGAAGTGCTGGAGGTGTCCGGGCTGTATGTGTGACTCACTTTTTTATAAAGACTAGGGGTTAGGGATCAGCTGCACCTCAACTTTGATGCTGTCAGTAGGTGCCTTCTTACTTGATTCAGCTGAACACTGTCCCTCTTTTCCTTATGAGCATTTAAAATCCACTTTACTGAAATCTTTGGTGTAACTGGACTACTGTACCATTGGTTGTACTGTATAGTAGGTGAGTAGGACTCATGTCAGATTACTCTTTTCAGACATAGAACAGCAGGACTTGGTCTTAACCCTGCCAAGACTTGGATGTGATCTTGTAACTCCTTGACTTGGTCTCTTGATCATTTCCTTCTCCCAAGATTCAGTCTATATTTGTCTCCCAGGATATGAACTGGAACCATGTTGACTATGTTGACTTGATACAGTATGAGGCCTACTCGACCACAGGCCTGGTCTGATGAATTTTATACCACTCAGGTTACAAGAATGGTTAACCACTGAGAAACTTTTCCACCATGATGCCCTAGAAATATCAATCACAACAAATTTAAATGACAAAAAAGCATTATTGAATCATGTTGATTGCCCTCACAAGGTAAGCTGGCTCTAGGTTTAAATCCAGACTGAGCTGCCTGGAGTGGAATCTTTCTATTTCTATGTGGGTCTTTTTCCAGGTGCTCCAGTTTCCTCACACAGTACAAAGAGACATTATAGAGGGTTGTTGGCTTGGCTTAATTGTTTGGATTGTTTGGGTGCCCTGCAAAGGACTGGCATCCTGTTTGAGACACATCCTGCCTCACACCCATTGCTGGGTTTGGCTCCAGTTTACTATAACTCTCCGAGGGACTAAGTGATTGTAGAAAGTAGATGGACTTTATGGATGGAAAGTGATGGACAGATACGTGGTAGCTCTATTAATGAGTGAATGTACCGTTTTTGAACGGTTTTGCTTAGATCAGTGCAGGCACTCACCGGCAGCCTGGCTGTGGCTCTGGTACACATTGTGATGATGCAAGCACGTGGTGTTGTGCCCACCACACACCATACAGGCATCTTCCTTCTGTGCTGAGCCCAAGATCAGGTCACAGCCAGGCTCCTGTGACCAAGAGAAAAGGTAATAATCAAAAAATAGAAATGACAATCTTCCAGTACACAAGTCAGTCACCTCTCCCTTTGCCTTCATTTTCTTAAGCTAACATGAAAGAATGTCTTTTATCAACGTGGTTAGGTGTGCCCAAGTCATGTGGATGCAGAGCATTTTTCATTTTGACACAGTTTCCTTCTACAGAAAAGCGGTCATATTGCACAATATCAGCCCCCTCATTATTTCTGAAAAATACCGTTCAGTCGCACGCCCCGGCCTTATCTCAGCTAGGGCTGAGACTGGGATCTCCTGGGGCGACAAGCGCCGCATAGAGAAGAGGGGCCTTCACGCCATCCCCATCTCACACACATGTCATTCTCCTGCTGGGTGGTGCCAGCAGACTGTATCCGCCCTCCACGTCATGGACCGAAACTGCCCTGACCCTGCAGATATTTACACAGGAATACCACAGGGAAAACAAAGGCAGGAGGGGAGGGACGGAGAAAGATTAGATAGGTGATAAGAGGCTCTCCCTGGACCACGGGAAAGCGAGGGTGAAGGAGGAGAGGGAAAGGGGGAGGCCAGAGGTGGCGGTAATGTTGTTCCACAGCACGGGGGCTGCATATTCCCTGAAAGAAAATGTGGGGAGCCTTAACATTTTGAGCTTCCTGTTCCTGTGGTGTAAGCGCTCTTCTGAGAAATGGAGCAAAAGACGCCAGTGCCTACCACCACCCACTGACTGCAATCTTTAGTGGAGCAACTGTGCTTCAGGATCAGAAGAGCTACTGTACCACACTGACATGAAAAATATTTGAAGGAAGACTGTTCAAGCGTTCCACAGAATTTCGAGAAACATATAGTTAAATACACTTCCTCCCTCGTCCTGCGCTGATTCTATCTATGCATTGGTACAGGATCTGAAACGATGTGATATGAATCAGTATATACTTACCAAGTCAAGCGCTTAAGGGCATGGTTTCACAAGAGTTAAAAAAAACCCACAAGGCTGGGTCTGTGAGCAAAGGTACCCTGAAAAAAGCAGACTGCTAGAGCAGGTATCCTAGACCGATAGTGGGGACTGGGGTCAGAGAGCAGGTCTGGGTTCAATCAAACATAATCAGTGCCTCCCATTCAGCTATAATCTCCGTCTGCCTCTTCTCTGGAGCAGTCACACTCTTGTAATAGCCCTCAGTGCCTGCCCAGGTCAGGAGCACTGCAGACCTTACAGTCCATAAATTATACCTTGACATGAACACAGCCTGTTCTTTTTCCTATTGGCTAAGAACCAATTGTGCTCCTCGCACAAAAAGCACAGCCAACACGTAACTGCTCTCTAGACCTCCAGCATCTTCCTTTCAAAGGCAGCCAAGGGAGAAAGTGTCCCTTCACTAATGATCAGATATACACCTGATAGCTAGTTACAACTCTTTGGCTGGGGCTCTTGGAGAATGCAGAAATTAAAGATTTGGTAACCTTTGTAAGACCATAGAATCACTGCATCTTAGACTAACGCCACCTGGGAGAAGTGCAGAAAACGGAAGCCAAAACATTCAGTCCAGATCACTTTGAGGTTTAGCAGTCTGCATATTCTAAATGCATTTCTGTAAAGGCTGATATGTATGTTGGTTAGTTCCATCTGTATAACTCACCAAACACTGCCCGTTGACGCAGACTCCCTTTGGCTCTGTGTGGCAAGGTGTGCCATCCAGAACACGCCCAAAGTTATAGTAGAAATTGTGCCCTACTGCCAGGCAGCTCAGCTCACAGCGGTTGGAACCTGGAGAGACAAAACCAGGAGAGATATGGGGGACAAACAGGAGAAACAGCTATGTCTAGTAAGGTACTTGAGACTGGGCTGGCCATGATTACAGATGGGAAAACTAGCAAATACACAGGATGACACACAAACAGATGTGCAAGAGAAAGACAGACCTACATGAGATCAGGCACATTCAAAACTTAGAGGTATGCACAAAATGATGCAAGCAGGGAACTGCTATTTGAGATACCTCAGCTTGGAAAGAGGCAACGGTAATGCCACAACCAGCAATGCTGAAGGACTGCTGCAGGAAAGGCCTGGGCTCTCTCACCTCCATGGAAAGTTGTCCACCTGTATGTAGCTCTGCCCATTAGGGGTCGGTCATTGAATGCCGCACACTGGAGTTCCCGAAACTCCACTGACCCCGGCAAGCACTCCTGCATGTGAAAAATGAACTACAGTCACATACTCTGACCATTAGAGAGGAAGACAGCAGAGCAGAGAGCTTGCAGCAACCTGCTCCCCGTACTTGGTCATCTCTGAAGTATGCCTCTATTAAGCACTGCCGCCTTGATCAACACACCCTGTGCTGACTCATTCATGCACACTCCCTGCACCTTTGGCTATATCTGCAGCTTCCTCACACACAGAACTGGAGATTAAAAAGAATAACAGGGTCTAGATGTGGGACCATAAGGGTTCTGGAATAGCTACCTAGTAATGTTGTTAGATTTGATAACTCAGCTTCATTCAAAAAACACGAAAAATAAATTAGCTACCAGCTACCAGCAACCAGCATGTAAAATGGCCCAGTTGACCCCATCTTGTTTGGAACCTTTCTTACAGTCCGATGATTACTTGGTGCTCATGACCTGTTGCAGTTGCTGAAATTTCTCTAGATTACCAGATTCTTCCAAAACAGTTTTTGAATTCAACAGAAGGGTGAAAACATGAGTCAATTTTGATGCCAGAATGGAGGGGCAAGTTATTGTCTACTCTTACTCTATGACCACAAGTTATATCAATGTCTCAGAATAGGCTGTCTGTATACAACCTAACATACCTAACATTAGGTACGGTGTAGCTGGTGCTTCCTAATATTTGCTCATACACTTAGTACATAGTTCCCTGTGTGGAGAGGCAAGCAGGAAATGGTTGTGATATAGTGTAAACACCTTCTAATTCCCAATGTTAAACACATATTACTAGGACTGCCATGTACATAAAGATGAATTATGTTATGTTTTGCTTCTCCATACCCTCAGGTCATCAAAAGCAGCAGTTTTGTCTGAACAGCACTGCAATGGAAAATCCGATCACATAGTAAAAACCCAAAAGTGACCTCTTTAAATCACTCAGAGTGATAACTGAGTAAATCTCAGCCTGCGCATTGGTGCAACAGAATATATCAATCAAAAATAAATGCACACGCTCCATGATTACTGTGCTCAGAGAAATGGCTCAGCACAATTGCTTCTTTTGTGGCAGGTACTTGGACGTCTTAAGTGCTGGAAAGATGTCTGATGACATCATAATCTCAACTGCTCTGCAATATTATCAAAGTTCAAATCTGCATATGCAAACCTGTACCGTCAATATCCAGCTGCTACACACGAGCAAAGAATCAGGAAGTTGGCCCAGTTCTCAGAACATGAGAGCTGAGGAGCTTTGCATAGGGCTGTGTGGAGATCCTCACCTTGGAGTTACAGAGTTTGTACTGCCTGGGCTCTCCAGGACACGGCCCCCCAAGTGGGTTCCTGCAACAGAATGCCCCAAACATTTCAGCAAAGCCTGTGTCCATTGTTTGGCATCAGCGGTTGTGATTTTTTGCAAAGTGCAGATGTAGGAGCCCCGCTATTTGTCAGGCATTTCCTTATTGCCAAGGAAGGAGGTGTGGTTTTAATGATTGGAATACTGCTTCCCACTTTATCATCAGAAGTGTTTAGAGCCTATGTAAGAGGAAAGAAGCAAGAAGAGGTTAAATCCACAGAAGAGGTTAAATCCACAGGAGGGCTTTATTACTAAATCATTGTGGTTTGTACTCAAATTTTGTACTTAAGCTCCACTAAGCTCCACTCATTCCTGTTTTGTCATCTGCGATAATAAATAGTCTGGCAACAGACTATTAATATTTCAATAAAAATGTGCATGAATATGGCTTTTTCCAAAAAGAAAACTTATAAAAATGAATATCTTCTTTTTCAGGTATAACACCTGCTGCAGTTTTAAAGGGTAGTGAAGATGTCAGTGTTTCTACCCCCAAGTACAGTACAACAGTACATGTGAAGCCAGGCTCTGCCATGCTTGCATCTTGCCCGGTCCTAACCTGGTGATGCAGGTGCGGGTTCGGACAGAGGCCCCTCCCCCACAGGTGCGCGAGCAGGCTGACCAGCCGCTCCAAGAGCTCCACTCGTTCCCAAATCGCAGCTGGCGACGGACACGGCCAGGAGGCACAGTTTCGTCCCCGGCTGAGCCCAGGAGCACCTGAGGCAGGGAGGCAGAGAGGGAAAATGAGCGAGGAGGAGTGAGACTGAAAGGAAGAAAGAGAGAGAGAGGAGGAAAATTCCCTGAAAGATATGTGCAGAGACGGAAACATGAAAAACAGAAGAGGAGTGCAAGAGAGACAGTGCAATAGTGGCAGAGGAAGAGAACGAGAGAGGCAATGAGGAAATGGGAAAGTGCAGAGGAGGAACAGAAAAGGTAGAACAGACCCACCACAAAGAAGAGAACAGGCTGCCTTCAAAGACAAATGCCATGAAATGTGTGGAAAAAAAGCAATCTATGGGCTTCACAGCTTCTACCAGCAGCTCATTCTCAGTCATTCTTGGAAGCATTGTTTTTACTGACCTAGTAAATTCTTCCCCTTTATCTGATTTCAGCTCACTGTCTATCCCCCAAGATAATTTCTCACAGGGTGTCAAGATGCTTGCAATAACTGTTCAATCATTTATCCCCACAGCATTCATCAGCCCAAACAACATTACTACCCCCTGGGACAGAACTACTAGCCATCCGCATAGGTGAAATAAATGCAATGTTTCATAGCTGAGGGCACATTATTCTGCCTTACAACAGTACAGCTGCCTTTTGTTGTTAATCCCCTAGTCTTATTCTGGGAATACGGGTAGAGCAGCGTCATTGTTTGCCTCAGCTATTGGTCATAAATAGCTGGTCTTCCCCTTAGAGGTGGAAGTGTTCTGGGAATGTAGAACGGATATGAGGAGTGGGGCACTCCCTCCTCTCTCCTGTCTCAGTGAATCCATCCTTGGCAGCTATGTAATTTGAAAGCTCTTGGTGTGAAATCACAATAAATGTATAGCAGTTCCATCATAAGATCTATTTCAAGCACTCAGTACGAATTGTTAACTGTAAACATTGCTGAACAACCTCAAACAACTCAACAGTGCAAAAGCCGTTTTAAACACATTCCAATAATTTTCCCTAAAGGTGGATTTCACTGGCACAGCTCCATACAGGGGAGCTGTGTGCATGTTTAACTCAAAAGGTTTAACCCTTTGCATCCTCCACTGGCAGCGAAACCTCCATTGTGAGTATTTGTAATGTAGCACTGTAAGAAGTGGTGCGTTCGATTATATTTCTTACCGGTTTGCATAAATTAGACCTCGGGAAAGATAAAAAAAACTCATGGCCAATAAGAAAATGTCATTATTCCTCTTTAAAAACAGCACTGCCGTTGCTGGCTTTTCACCGCCATCAGCCCACTGTTGTATATGACTTATTATTACTGAGTGCCTGACCACGCTGGGCTCAGGTCATGAAGGGTGAATGATACATGAGTGCACCATACTGGAGCAGTAATGCTTTATGATTAGAGTCTATCATTTCGCAATGCAGACTGACCTGGAACTGCCCTCATTACCGCCAACAGGGAAACTCAAATTAGTGTTGGTAGCAGTTGGAAAGGGGGCTTGTCGATGCTGGGAATTAATGTACCGGCCTTTCACCTTTGAAACCCTGGGCTCCCTCTGGCTATTCTTAGAAAACAGTGATGAAAGGAGGGCCGCAGAGGGAAAGCCTTTGGGGTTCGGGGTTCACACACACTGCTAAGATGCTGGAAAAAAGATCTGGATCAGGATGGAGAACATTTGCATGTTGTAGAAGGCCACCGCATTATAAAAACCAGAAAAAAACATACCATGTTTTTTTTTATTTCAGGAAGCGAAGGCACAAACAAATGACATTGAGCCAGGATGATAGCAAAGGCCAGGGGTTGCCTGGAGGCCTTTAAGCAATGATAGAGGCACGAATGAGGCATTAACCTCACATCATTTTTCTGTTGCTGTTTTTAGCAGTTTTTAAACCTGTGCCCTAAGCGGCAAAGGTAACTTGAGAGGCAGTGCCTGTGTGCCTTTGACGTCTCTAGCGAGCTATTTGTGGGGAAAGGAATTTGGAGTTAAAGCCGAGTTAATAAAAAAGATGGCCTCTTTGTCTTTGCAAGTCTGCCTCTCTCTCTC